CTCCCTCATACCCTCCCTTCCCTCTCCCCCTCATGCCCACGCCAGAGCTGCATGTGATAGACGGTGTGCCATCACTCATCTTCGTCTCTTCCACATACACCATCGAGGTATTAAACCTTGCCTCGCCACCACTACCACTGCCACCACCGCCCCCACCGGCCCCACCAATTCCACCAACCCAATCACCCAGCCGACCCCCACTACCACCGCCCGCACCCCCTGCCGCCGCCAGCAGCAGCGGTACCAGCTGCACTGCCATTTACTGTGTGCTTTTGAAGAATATCTCGCACATGCACCCGTGCGTGCTGCAAGCTTTCTGTCACTACCATCCCATGTGATGTGAGGATGCACAAAAGCATCGCACAAGAGTGGTGGGGGAACGGACAAACAACCAGGGGAAGGGCGTAATGAAAGGGAATCGTGTTAACCTGATTTTTCCTCCACCCCATCTCCATCCCCCTTGTCTGGGCATGCGCATGTGCATGTGCATGTGTGTGTCTGGGCGATTGGGGGCAACAGACGGTGGAGGCAGAGCGCATATCAGTGGACCACGTGGCACACATCAAGCCGTCCGATGGCAGCTCAGCAGCCACTCACTGTGAGCCACGGGGGTGCCATGCCATGCCATGCCATGCCATGCCATGCCATGCCATGCCAGGCATTGAGTTGGTTGAAAGTGTGTTGTCTATGCACATGCCTGAACCTACACATGCACATGCACGTGCATGGGTTCTCTCTCTTCTGGTATCTGCAGCCCATCCAGTCTGTGCGCTGTGCATCGTCATCTTCATCATCACTGCCCTGCCCTGCCTCTATAATGCTCGCACGTGCATGTGTGTGTTTTGGAGACTATCTCTCTGCATGTTAGCATGTCCATGTGTGCCTGATCCTCCCTGTGGTTCCCTCCCTCTGCCCATGCATGTCCATGTGTGCATGGCAGTGGCAGCGCATCTAACAGGGATGCACAGCGCCATCAAGATGCTGACCACGCGGGTCAGACTACTGCACAGCCATCTAGCCGCCATGGAATCAGGTACTGTAGTCTGCACCTACCCTAGCCAGCCCAAGCCAAACCGAGCCTAAGCCAAGCCAAACCGAGCCAAACCAGCATTGTACAGCATCCCTCGACATTTTCCCTCTCTCCATCACTCCCCCCTCCCCTCCCCAATCTCTTCTTCCTGCTTCTCCCTTCTCCCAGTCACGTTTTCCCCGCTTTTCCCCCCTTGCTGCTGTTCCCTATTGCATCCTCTTTCTCCCTCGTTCTCCCCTTACCTCCTCCGCCCCCCACACCACCATCTCTCACCGTCTCCCCTTGTTCCACCCCCAACTGTTCCCCTGTGCACCCATCAGGCGCAGTACCGTACGACCACTCGGTGACGCGCCAGGTGTCCAGCCTCATCCGCAGGCTGCCAGCTGTCGACTCCGACCGCTTCCACCGCCACTTCCTCACCGTGCGCCCTCCCTGCTACACCATCCCCTCCACTCCCCCTATCCCCCACTGCCCTCCCCCTTCCCCTCCCCCCTCCAACTTCCTCCTTCCCCCTCCCCCCACCGCTCCCACCCCCACCGCTCCCCACCCCTACGCCTACCCCCACCCACCCACTCACTTACCTCCACACCTCCGTTGACTGCCTGACTGTCCACCTGCCACTGTTTCCCCTTCCCACCATCTTCCCTCTGTTTCACCACTCCTCTTCCCCTATTCCCCGTTTCCATCTCAATTTGTTGTTCCGATCCACTCTCTTCCCTACGCTGGCTCTTTTTTTTACTCCTTGTAAGCCCGTCTCATCTTGCTCTAACATGACTATGTTTGTCTGTCTGTCAACTCCCTAACTGTTGCCCCTCGACAGGAGTTCAATGACACGCTCCTCATGACATACCTCGCCAGCATCACCAAATCAACTAAGTATGTTCATTTTTCTGTTACTCCCATCTTTCAAACCCCCACCTCTTTCGTGCCCCACTCGTTTCCTCTCCCCTTTCATCCCCCGCTCCCCGGTTTCCCTCTTTGCTTTCCATGCCAACTCGTCTCCATTTCATGTTTGCTTGTCTTCCCTGTACCTCGCTCGCCTCCCCCCGGCCAATAAACCTTTCCATCATTTACTGCCTCGCATTCTCCCTGTGGCCCTACCGTATGGCCGCGCAGCACGATAAACGAGCTAGTGGATCTATTCGATGTGGTGTACGACAAGCAATCGCGCAGAGCAGCTCGCACGGCGTTCGTCTAGGGCTGGCTGGCCATGGTAGCCCCGACGCCAGTCGCACATAGAGCTGGTTCGAGCGATTCATATGCACACTGTATTCGTAGTACGATATACGCCTACATGCCCCTTGGTGCGAGTGCACACAAGCTGATCCTCTGTTTTCTAACTGGGATGATTTCTTATTCAGAGGTGGGACTTCAGGTGGGAGGAGAGCTAATGTCGAGTAGATGAGGGAGGATCCTCCTCAGCAATTTGGCAAAAAATGGGTGGTTATTTTTTGGTGTACCAAGATCCATGCTATCACAGTGTTGATTCAGTCTTGGCTTGAACTTGTGTGCTGCTGCAAATGGGATCTCCCGCACCACACATTTTCATAACTCTTCTATCCTGATGCACAATCTCACATTCTAGAAGATTCTGGTCAAAGCCCATCACTTCCCAAACCTCATCTTTCCCATCTCATATTTTGCACGCTCAGAGTATTTATTATTTAGCATTTGCTTTGCACACAGAAAATACATCACTAACAAAATCAAAGGAATGAAACAATGGGTGGTAACAGCCTAAAAAACGAGGCTGGAAAAGTGTTGCTGGGAGTGGAGGCCACTGCAAAACAGCCCCTCTTTAGACTGCATCCGTTACTAGACCCGCACATCTTCGAACGGAGCTGTTGAACGAATGGAATACCTTATTCTTCCTACAGGCCAGTCTCCAAGCACAGGTATATATTTGGTGGCAGCGAGCCGCGCCACAACCTTCGACATTTGAACTACATTCAACCAGTTTTCCGGAGAATAGAAAGCAGTTGCTTTGCCTGAAACAACATCGTCAGGGGGAGAACGGGATAGAGAGGTGATTAATAGGGTGTCCGGTAAGCTTAAGTGAAGGTACGAGAAAAAAAAAATGTGAGGCGAAAATGAATGTAGTACGGTAAAAAAAAAAAAAAAAAAACAGCGGCTTACCTTTTCTCGTGCACGAGCCGTGCCCGTCTGCGTGATCCCGATGAGCGGAGGAATCACCACCTCCTCAAGGATGGCCGTCCGATGGGCTTCGCTGTGGTATGCCAGCTGGAACAGCACCACCGTCGCATGCTCCTTGCCTCGCGGCGTGCCCGCCTCGAGATTTTCCACCAGATGCAGCACCGCATCCTCCTCCTCCATCACCGCGTCGCGTCCCGCCTCCACCGTTACCACGTTCGCCAGCACTGCAGCCGCCTTTTCCGCGGTTCCGCCGTTGCATTGGGTAAGAATCTCTACCAGAGCTGGCACACCGCTCGCCTCCAGAACGCGCGTCTTATTGCATCCAGCCATGGAAAGATTAAAGAGTGCTTTGCACGCGTCGCGCTTGCCCTGTTGCGAGCCGAACCGCAGGATCTCTACTAAGTGCGCAACGGCGCCCGCGTCGCCGGCGGCCACTTTAACGTCGTCCTCCACCGAGAGACTGAAAATGGCGGCGGCGGCGGTTTCCCGAACAACCATAGGTTGAGCAGCGCTGGCAAGCGCGCGAACAAGGGGGAGAAGGATCTTGGATGGGAGGAGCCGCCTATTGGAATCACTTGTGGTAAGATTCAAGAGAGCAATCACCGCTTCTTCCGAAACGCCATCGCTCGGCTCCGATAGTAGATCAATTAGTTCGTCGACCACCCCGTCCGCCGCGACAAGCAGCGTGCGGTGCGCGTCGGACTCCTTGGACAGCGCGCGCAGCGTCCTTGCGCCATGGAGCCGCCTTGAGGTGTCGGAAGATCGGCAATCCGCCAAGATCGAGGTGATTTCAAGCTCGGAAAGGTCCTCCGCGGATACGACGGGGACCTTGGGCGGAGAAGGGGGAGCGACGAGCTCTGGCGCGAGTTTCGCAAGGTTGTCGCGGTGCTGCTGTAACTCGCTCGTGGAAGAGCAGTCCTTGGGCACGTGGACCATCACACCAGAGTAATCCGTGCCTGCTTTATCGATTGATAGACCGGATCGCGCACCGGGTTGGAACGGCAGTTCTCGCGAACCGGGATACGCGCTGACGCCGAGTGCGCGTACCTCAACTTCCTCGCGCGTCATGATGCCCGTGGGGTGCGGCTGAAGACGCGGGGATGCCGGCGGGAGTTGCGGCGAGGAGGGCGGCGGAATTCGAGGGGATTGGGCTTCGGGTTGGGAAAAGGTTGGGGGTAGGGACGCCTTCGAAGGAGGAAGGGGGGAAGGTGTACGGCTTTTCTTCGTGCGAGTGAGGATATCCAAAGCTCTCATGGCGTAATGCTTGGGAACGGGGAGAGAAATATCAGGACTGAACGACCACAGTTGAGAAGATTTTGCGGAAGAGAGCCGTGATGATCTGATCAGATTGGCGCGCAGAAAATGTTATTTCTGATCATCTTACCCACGGGTTTTTGAAGGCGGTCGGTGGGTGCTCAGAAGAAAGACTCAGTCACTGAAGACATGGGAGAAGCGCGCGCGCTTCGAAACAGTGCCACAGCTTGTGCTGAGGTGGCACTGGGAGGCAGGGATGCCAGCCAGTGAATGAATCGAGTGAGCTGGCCTTGGCCTGAGGAAAGGGAGTGAGCTCTGGGGAGGCGAGAAGTCGTGTTCTGGGCGAGGGGGGGAGAGAAGGAGTGAGGGAGCGAGGGAGGGAGGGAGGGAGACGAGTTGATGAAACAAGCGGAACTGTGTCCTGTACAGCAGCAGCAGCGGGCCAGCCAGGGCTGTTGAAAGAACAGAGCTGGGGGAAGGGGCAAGGCGGTCCGTCCCCCGCCTGCCTGATCAGTGGTTGGAACTTGGAAGAAGCGACAGTGCAACAGTGAACGTGAATCCCCATGTCACGCGACGCGCGAACCAGCATCACCGTACAACCAGCTCTCTCGAACTTGGTCCCTTGATTTCATCGAGGCCAAATCGCAGATTGTGGCTGAGCGTGATCGCGGCGCGATAACCCCAAGGTTGTTGCAGACAGTGTGTATATGTCCTCAATGCCTTGACATGGCTGCCTTGATGAAAATGCTGCTTTGCTCCGATTCGCCAGTTTACGTGGATCTACCACCTCAGCTGTACAGCCTGGAAGCTCTTTCCTAACGTTGTAGGTCAGAGCTTTGGGTCTTGTGTACCCTTCCTTACGAAATGAACCCGGAGCATTATTTTGCACTGATTCAGGACATGCTCAGGCCTGAACTGTGTGGCCCAAATTGTACGGGGGGGATGCAGCAGCTGTCTTCTACGCTGGCAGTCGTACAAAAATCGCAATGCACAGTGCTTTTCCAGATACAGCTAAAACATCAAGAGTACAAAATTATAATGCACAGTGCCTTTCATTGATGTTGGAAAATTGTTCTTAGATTCAGCCATGATATCCATGCACATATTCAAAGCCAGCAAATTCTAAGAAAGGATGGTGATATTGTACAGGAGCTGGCACACAGCATTTCAAGGCACTGGCAATCCTTGTCCGCTAACTCAGTTCACCATCACCCATTAGTGATCTTTCCAGCCATGGCATCCATGGCTGCCATAAGCTCTGCATTCCTCAGCACAACCGCCTCAACCCTCCCCACTAGCCTCCGAAGGCCCTCGGCCACATGCACCCCACCCTCTCTGCCGCCCCAAATTCCTGTCCTAACAGCAGCACCCTCCCCCTCCCTCACATCCTCTCCCTTGCCTACCCTACCAGCAAATCCAAATCTCCCCCCAGCTTCCCCCACATTCAAAATCTGCTCAATCCGAGACAGCTCCTGCCACAACTCCATCTCCTCCTCCCCCCCCACACTCGCCCTCCCCTGCCAACCACCACCCTCCACGTCCCCTCCCCCTTCCACCCTCTGCCTCTGCCTTGCATCCCGCCCCTCTCCCCCACCTCTCCCGGTCCCCCCGCCAACGCCTGTGCCTTCCCCCCCACCAGTCCCCCCTCCCCACTGCAAAAGCCCTTGTGTGTTGAAGAGCAGCAACTGCTCCCCCTCCCCTGCCTTGCGCTTACGAGCCCCCGGGTCTCTTGCCCCCTCACCTGCCCACAACTGCCCCTCCCACCAACGCAACTCCTCTGGAAGCAGGGGAAGGTGGAGGGGAGAAAGAGCGGGCAGAAAGAGAGTGTGTGTGAGAGAGAGAGAGAGAGAGAGAGAGAGAGAGAGAGAGAGAGAGAGAGAGAGAGAGAGAGAGAGAAAGTGAGGGGGGAAGCTTGTTTGTGATGAGAAGTGGGAGGATGGCATGGGGAGGAAGGAGATGGGAAAATGGGGAACCGAGAATGATGGCTGTTTCAAGATGCTACCCCTGCACCCATGCACCCATCCACCCAGCAGCCATGCACACATGCACCCCTGCACCCATGCACCCATGCACCATGCGCCATGCACCATGCGACATGCGCCATGCGACATGGGCCATGCGGACATCCACCCATGCACCCATGCACCCATGCACCCATGCACTCTGGCACGTTGCAAAGGAGGGTGTAGAAAGCACCCACCTTTGCCTGGTCTTGCCCCGCCAGTCCAACCGCTGCTCTGCCCACTCCTTGCCACTGCTGTCCCCCCTGCCGTCCCTCCCTCTACCATGCCCACACCACTTCCCCTCCCCCACTCACCACTCTCCCCTTCACCTGCCACTCCTGGCCTTCCCCTCTCTCTCTCCCCCACTCCCACCTCTCCTCCTCCTCCTCCCCTTCTTCCTCCTCCTGCGCCCCCTCCTCCTCTGCCCCCTCCTCCTGCCCCTCTCTCCCCTCCTCCTCCGGTTGCTGCACTCCCCACACTCACGCTCCTACCAACCCACTCCTGTGCCACTAGCGCCTTGGACTGCAGGCTTCCCAGCAACGCACATGCCATGGCAAGGTCATGTGCCAAAGCCAGCAGCTGCAAATGCACATCCCCCACATCATTATCACCATCACCATCACCAGCAGCACCAGCACCAGCACCAGCAGCAGCGGCAGTAGCAGCAGCAGCAGCATCCCCCACCCTGTTGCTTTCACCACGCCCAGGCTCTGCTGTTGCTCCTTCTCCTGCTGCTCCTCCTGCCGCTGGCTGCTGTTTGCCTTCCTCCTTTAACGAGCTCTTAACTCCCACCACGGCTCTTTCCCCTGCCGTTACCGCTGCAGCTGCTGCCGCTGCTCCTTCTGTTGCTGCTGCTGGAGCTTTCATTTCTGCACTGTTACCATGCGCAACTAAGACCTCCTTCGCCCCTCTCCCCACCGCGCCTCCGTTCTCCTCCTGCCTCTGCTTCTCCTGCTGCTGCTGCTGTGATGGCTGCTGCTGCAGCAGCCACGCGCTGTGCAGCTGAGACAGCGCCTGTGCTTTAGCGAAGGCTTGCTCCACCATGCCTCGCACTGATACTGCCTCCTCTGCCACTGCCCGCACTGCGCCTGCTGCCTCTGCGCCTTTCTCCCCTCCTGCTCCTCGCCCACTCCCAGCACCAGAAACAGGCGCTGCTGTCCCCACAGCAGTGGCACCAGCAGCAGCAGTAGTGGCGGCAGGTGCAGCAGCGTGCGTAGGCAAGGAGGAAACAGCATGGGGCATGAGGAAACCAGCAGGCCTGTTAGTGAGTGAACTGCCATCACCCTCTGTTGCTTCGGTTACTTCTGTTCCTGCTGTTCCTGCTGTTGCTGCTGTTGCTGCTGTTCCTGCTGTTGCTTCTGTAACTGCTGCCACAGCCACCGGAAGGGGCTTGGGACCGCCTTGATCCAAGACATCAACTGTGGGTTCCAGCTTCACTCCTCCACCAATCACTCCTCCACCAATCCCTCTTTCAGAAGCAAACCCATTCCTCGCACCTCCTCTCCCGCCCCCCTCCCCGTCCACCTCACCCTCTCCCTCTCTCTTTCTCCTCTCCTCTCCCTCTCCCTCTTTCTTCCCCTCTCCCTCTCCCTCTCCCTCGCGCTTCCCCACCCCGTGCGTATGCATCTCCCCTTGCAGTAGCGGCGAGAGGGCATGCATGTACGAGAGGGCTTGCTGCATGTGCTGCTGCATAGCGGCCCACATGCCCCCTGCCATGCCCGCATGACTAGCAAGCGCGGCAGGTGGAATACCCATTACCACAAGCGGAATATTAGCACTTGTAAGCGTGTTGGCAGTGGCAGGGGCGCTGGCATGCGTGTTGGCATGGGTGAAGGCAGGGAGGTGAACAAGAGGAGACACCGAACCTCCCATGTGATCTATGTGGTCCGAACCCACAATTGCCCTGTTCATATCCAAGCCTCCCTCCTTGTCCCCACCCTTGTCCCCACCCTTGTCCCCACACTTGTCCCCACTCCTATCCCCATCCCCATACATGCCCAAGCTACGACCTTCACCAGTTAAGACCTTGGCACCGACTACTTTCCCAGCTAACTCTCCTTCCCCGCACACAGCCCCTCCCGGTCGAGTGCCCAACATCCCCCCTGTTCCCCATTCCACCCCTTCCATCCCCCCTCTTCCGTCTCTCCCCCCTCCCACCTTTTCTTCCCGTACCCCCCGCCTCCCCTCCCCTTTATCCGCGCCCTCGTTCCCCTCCACCTCCCCATCTCTGCCTTCTCCCTTTCTCACTCCCTTCGAACCACCCGCTGCCACAGCCACCAGCCCGCCTTCCTGCCCGCATGCGTCTCTCCCACTGCTGCCACCCTCTAGATACGACGCCCTGTTTTGAGGCGCCTCAAAACGTGTCTCTCTCCCGCTGCTCCCACCCTCTAGAAACGACGCCCTGCCTTGCACAAGCCGGTTCTGCAGCATCTCTAGAGTCACCGCATCAGCATCAGCATCTGCATCAGCATCAGCATCCGTACCAGCGTTCGCACGGCACATCGCAACGCCTTGCCCTCGCCGCTGCTGCTGCTGCTGCTCGTCCCTCTCTATCTCATCACCAACCACTGCTGCTGCTGCTGCTGCTGCTTGTATCGGTGCCATCTGCCCTGCCTGCCCCATCTGCCCCATCATCCCCACCTGCGCTACCTGCTCTAACTGCTCTCTCTGCACCGCCACCTGAGCCTCTAGCTGCCCCTTCTCCTGCTCCAACCCCACCACCTTCTCTTTCATCTTCCTCAGCTGTTGCTGCAGGTTATCTCGCTCATGCTGTACTTGCAGCACTCGCCCCGTCAGCACCACGATCTGATTCTCCATTCTCTGGATTGCCGGCTGTAACCATCGGCTCTGCTGCCCTTCCCTCCGCTCCTCCCTCGCTCTCTCCCCTCGCTTCTCTCCTCCCTTCTCCGCTCGCTTCTCCCCTCCCTTCTCCTCTCTCATCTCTCCTCCGTTCGCTCCTCCCTTCTCGCCTCCCTGCTCCCCTGTGCTTGCCTTGGCTCTTAAGCTATCCGTTTCTTCCTTTGCTCGCCGTGACTGCTCCTTCATTTCTTCCATCTGCCTATTCAGTTGCCGATTCACCAGAAGCAAAGCTTCCAGCTCCCAACCGGAAGCTGCTGTTGCCGCTGCTGCACCTGTTGGTGCTGCTGCTGCTGCTGCTGCTGCTGCTGCTGTTGCTATTGCTATTGCTGCTGGTAACCCTATTCCTCCTCTCCCTTCCCCTCCCACTCCACCTCCCCCTCCTTTCACTCCCCCTCCCACTCCCCCTCCCATCTCCCCGCCTTCACTGCTCATTCCCCCCACTTGACCAGCAGCACCAGAATTTTGCCAAGGCTCATTCCTCATACTCCCCACACCACCCACACCACCCATACTCCCCACACTCCCCATACCACCCACATTCCCCATGCTTCCTCCGAGTTTCCCCACACTCACCCCCCCCCGGTCCCCCTGCCCCACACCCATCCCATCCATGTTCACAGCAGCAGCAGCAGCAGCAGCAGCAGCAGCAGCACGAGACGACAACGACAACCCCTCCGGAAAACGGTGCTCAAGGTGCGCACGAGCGGAAGCGGCAAGGCCAGAGCGAGCAGCAGAAGCTGCCGGAGCAGCAGCAGCAGCCGCCGCCGCAGCAGCGGCAGAAGCGGAGGAGGAGGGGGGCGGCGGCCCCTCTGCTGTGCGTGCTTGAGGTGGCTCGAAAGCATCTGAGGTGTCTGGCGAGCGCCAGAGGATCCGGGCCCCTGAGGGCGGGCAGAGATCGTGGTACTGTGGAGGGGGCTGACCCAGGTGGAACATGGATACCTGTGGGAAGGGGGATGGGGGATGGGGGGATGGGGGGATGGGGAGAGGAGACGGTGAGTAGGAAGGGGGAAGGAAGGGTCAAACGCATGCGGAGCGTCTAGTGAGCGCCATAGAATACGCGCTCCTGAGGGCGGGCAGAGATCGTGGTACTGTGGAGGGGCTGACCCAGGTGAAACATGGATACCTGTGGGAGGGGGGGGAGATGGGGGCAGGAGGGAGGGTGGGGGTGGGGGAGTGGGGGGAGATAGGGTGCGGGAGGGAGGAGAGGAGGGAGGGATAGGACGGGGAAGAAGGCCTATGAAGTGGCTAGGAAGGCAGATGTGCGGCAAAATGGGGGGACAGAGGGGAAAAAACAAGGACAAGTCTGAGACTAATGTGGTTGGGGTCAAAACTGCTCAAGGACGCCAACAGGCGAGGCGATTCTCCACTGAAACTGGCAATCTATTTGAATTGTCGCCACTTTTGGACCAGAAAAGGCATGCAAACTCGTCTCTTTTGCTCGCCTCTTTTGCTCGCCTCTTTTGCTCGCCTCTTTTGCTCGCCTCTTTTGCTCCTTTTTACGCTTCTACACCACAAGTACCTTCATCAAACGGAAAGCTCATGTTGCAACAGCACAAGAGGAGGGCCCATCTGTGCTTGCTTGCTTGCTTACCTTGACTTGTCAAGCTTGGAAGGACTCAAGTGACCTGGAAGCACAGAGACCATTAGAAATATAAGAAAGATGTGTATGTGGGGGGAGGGAGTGGAGTCCCTCACTCACCTTCCTCTCAGGCTGCCTCCACATGGGAGTATCTCCATACGCGCCTTGCTCTTTCCTGTTGTCACCACCACTACCACCACCACCCATCCGCGTCAACCCCCTTGCCTTTGCACCCCTCTCTCCCCACTCCCCCCGCTCCCCCCGCTCCCCCCGCTCCCCCAAAATTCCCCTTCCCGAAACGCCCAACCCTTCCCCTTCTCCACCTCCTTCCCCTCCCCCTACTCCTCCCCCTCCCCTTCCCCCGTCCGCCCCCCCATGTGCATCTGCTGCGGCTGAAGGTAAACCACTAGATCTCTTCAAATACGAATCACTAGGGTCTATGGTGTATTGTGTGGGCCCAGATTGGGGCCAGGGGGCAGGAGGAAGGTGGGAAAGGGGGGATGCCGAAGGGAGGAGTGCAGGGGCGGAAGGGGGGACGGTGGAGGCGGAGGGGGCGATTGCAGGCGCGTAGGCGGAAGGGGCCGGGGCGTTGGCGGAAAATGGGGGGTATTGGGGGAGAGAGGGCGCAGCAGCTTGCCCATGATTGAGCCACCACGCGGGGACTGGTTCCGGGGCTGCTGGGGACGGCGCTAGCTGAACCAGGTAGGTGCGCCGTGCACCCAAAGGGGGTAGCGGAGAGGAAAGCAGGAATGGGGGAGAGAGGGGGGGGGGGGGGGGGGGGGGGGGGGAGGGTTGAAAAGGGAAAAAGGGGGAGGGGGTTGAAAAAAGGAAGGAAGAGAAGACTAAGCAAGGCATAAGAAAATATTAATCCTACGTGTTGATGAGCCATTTTACATGACAACCCGCCCATGCTGTCTTTGCTTTGATTATCTTACCAGGCTTAGCCCATGCCCACTGGCCCCACTGCCACCACTGCCACCGCCACCACTACCACCACGAGCACGAGCAGCACCAGCCGCAGAAGCAGCAGCAGCAGCAGTAGTGCCACCAGCAGCAGCAGAACCACCACTACCGCCGCCGCCACCGCCGCTGCCTCCACGCAGCAAGCCATCAGGGCTGAATTGTCTCGATCCCGGCGCTTCCCCTCCTCCCACTTGCCCCACTCTTCCTGCCTTGGCCCCCCCCACCACATGCACCCCCTGCGAGTGCTGCTCCTGCCTCTGGCCACCCTCGTACACACGAAAATCTCCGCTCCCTCCGCTACCCCCGCTCGCACCGCCGCCCCGACTTCTCCTCACGCCCCTCTGTGCTCCGCTGTTGATTGCGACCGAGCTCTTCTTACTCTCAGCCTGTTGCTCCACCTCCTGTTGCTGTTGCTGCTGCTGTTGCTGTTGCTGTTGCTGTTGCTGTTGCTGCTGTTGCTGTTGTTGCTGTAACTGCTGCTGCTGCTGCTGCTGCTGCTGCTGCTGCTGCTGCTGCTGCTGCTGCTGCTGCTGCTGCTGCTGTTGCTGTTGCTGTTGCTGTTGCTGTTGCTGTTGCTGTTGCTGTTGCTGTTGCTGTTGCTGTTGCTGTTGCTGTTGCTGCTCCCCTTGCTGCTGCTGCTCTTGCTGCTGTATCTGATGCTGTTTCTGCTGCTGCGCTGGGGCTCCCCTTTCGAACTGCGCGAGCATATCACCAGAGTCCCCCGATTCCCCTGCGCCATCGTCCCTTGCCTGCGCCTCCGCCGCCTCTAGCGCGCACGCGCGCGCCCCCATCCTCTCCCCGCGAAACCCCGGTCCCAAGCCCGTCCCGCCGTCCCAGCTGGAAAGCCTTTCCGCATGCCTCTCCCCCTGCCTCCCCCCATGTTCCGCGCCCCCGCCCCTCTGCCCCGCCGACTGCTGCTCCGCCTTTCCCCACATCCGCACGTGTCCGCGGTAACCCCCCGGTCCCCCCGGGCCCCGGTTTCCCACGTCTCCGCCATCTGCGGCGCCGTCGAACCTTCCGCTGCTCACGTGCCTGCTGCTAGGCAAGTCCATGCTTACGTTAGACGAAACAAGTGGCCCTCTCCCGCCAAACGCGGCCGGCGCGCTGTGCTTCTGAAAGCTGGATTCGCCGCGCGCCTGCGAAGACGCGATCTTGTTCCGCACCGCGCCGTCGTCGGACCATGCCTTCGGCGCTGACGCAGGCCACGTCATGCGCGCGTCAGCAGCATCACCCGGGTTAGCGCCGCGGGAATAGCCGGACTCAAAGTGCGCGGGCACGCCTGCCCCGCGGCCATGTCCCCAGCCCTGAATACCGCCGTGACCCACGCCGTGAGTCATGCCGTGCCCACCGCCGGTGCGCAAAGAGACATTACTATTTCCTAACCCTAACTCCAGCCTCCCGATGTTAGTGAGATGATGAGAGGTATTATCAAGGGAAGATAAACCGACGCCGCCAATTCCACCTACCACATGCACGCCGCCACCCTGATCTTGATAACCGTCGAACCCGCCTGACGCCTCCGCGCCGCCGTCCGGCCGGTACGATCCGCCGCCGCTGCCGATCGATTGGCTGCCGTCAGCCATGAGAGTTATATTTTCGGAAAGCTAACGCTAGGGGAATTGGCCGCCTATTAGAGGTGAATTACGGGTATTTCAGGTAGAATGGCGTGTTGGACGGGTTTTAAGGGTAGCATACCGCTCGCTGGGAGAGCAGTCCTGGCAGGCGATTATTCCCGTCGAAGGAAGCAAGTGAAACAAAGCCCTACGCGTGGCTCCTAAAGCTCGGGATGGTCAAACCAGAAAGTTGGTCAAACCCCAATGCGGCGGTGGGGTGGGTGGGGACTTGTCGATTAGCTGGTTCCTACAGCACAGTGGTTGGTTGGATGATGATTCATGTGCTGTACAATGGTTGGTTCATGCATGCCGCTGTAGGAAAGGCGCACCGAAGGGTATAATGTGGATGCGGTGCGGATAGCAATACACTGCACGTCAATGACAGCGTATCTCCTTACAGAAATTCGTCAACAGTAACTCTCCTAATACCTTGTTTACATAATCTGCTGGAAGAATAGTACCGAAATAGATATGCAAGAAATCTACATTGATTGCTACAAGGAAGAACGCTAAAGTTGACAGCGTGGACATACTTAACGAGGAAATAAAATATAAGCTACTGCGTGAGCAGACATAAGCACCAGGTTGGCACCGCACGTCATAGTCGTCTCATCTGCTGGCCGCTTCTCGCTTACACCTTGGCATATGGTAGCATGGCATGGTGAAAGAGAGCAAACCGGAACCTGAGAAACCACACTAAGAGAGGGAAAGGCAGGCACATCAAATTGAGAGACTTGTGAGGGCATGAACTTATCTGCTCAAGCACCAGGCACCCACCCACCACCAGCATCAGCAGCACCAGCAGTAACACCAGAAGCAGCAGCAGCAGCAGTAGCTGCCACCACCAAGCCCCAGCAAACACCAGCAGCCCCAGCAGCCCCAGCTTCACTCTTGCTTCACCTCCTTCCCAGCCCCAGCCCCTGCCTCCTGCGCTTTCCCCTCCTCAGGGAAAAACACCTGCAGGCGCGCCGAGATGCTGCTGGTAAGCCTCTCCATAGCCACCACAGACTGTTGCGGCACCTCTATCAGCTTCACTGCTGCTGCCACAGGGAGACTCAGCGACGCGATGAAGATGCACGCTGCGAACTGCAGCGGCGTGAGCGGCACGGTGGAGGCGAATTTGCCGAGGTATTGCACGAGGCAGACTTGGAAGACGGTGGAGAAGAGGAGAATGGCGAGGAAGATGACGTTCTGGTGCATGCCGTGCAACACATTCACCTCGTCCAGCTCCCGTGAGTTGATCTCGTTGAACAGCTGTGCGGAGGGGGAAGGGGGGGAAGATTTTTGAGTTGACTCATAAGAGGAGGCAGATGGTGAGGAAAATGATGTTCTGGTGCATGCCATACAGCACCTTCACCTCGTCCAGCTCCCGTGAGTTGATCTCGTTGAATAGCTGTGTGTGTGGAGGGGAGGAGGGGGAAATGGGGAAAGGGGAGAGACGGAAGAGGTGGAGATTGTTGGGGGTGGAGAAGCGGAGCTGATTAGTCCCCACGGCCCTACCATCACCAGCACTTCCAACTTCCATGCCTCCTCCCACCCCCCTCAACTTCCCTCTCTCCCATCCCGTCCCGGCCCTCCCATTCCCTCCCATTCCCTCCCGTTCCCCCTCCCACTCCCCCTCCCCTTCCCCCCTCCCCCTTACCTGGCAGAAGACAAACGTGTTGAACACGAGCGTGCGCTTGGTAGCAGCAGCCAGCGGCCCATACAGCCCAAACAGCGGCGCCGCAAACTGGTTGAGCAGGGCGAGCACGAGCAGCTGGAACACCACCTGCCCCGCAATGTTGCGCCACATGGAGGGCGTGATGAAGGGCGTGCGCCGCCCCACGGGCTTCATGTGCATGAGGGACTCTTTTGGGGGCTCGGTGGCGAGGGCGAGAGCGCCGAGAGTGTCCATGATTAGATTCACCCACAGCAGCTGCACTGCTGTCAGCGGGGCCGTGCCTGGTGGGGCGGTGGTGGGCAGGGGGCAGTGGGGTCGGGTGGGGTGGGGTGGGCGAAAAGGGCAGTGACAGGGGAATGAGTCGGAAATGGTTTCGTTCCACGAGGTTGGAACATGTGGGTGTGTGGTGGGGTTGTGTGTGAGGCGTGTCAAAAGCCCCCCACAGGCTTCATGTGCATGAGGGACTCCTTGGGTGGCTCAGTGGCGAGGGCGAGAGCGCCGAGAGTGTCCATGATGAGGTTCACCCACAGCAGCTGCACTGCTGTTAGCGGCGCCGTGCCTGGTGGTGGTGGTGTGGTGGGGTGGGGTGGGGTGGGGTGGGGTGACGGGGTGGTGATGGGGTGGTTGGGTTGATCCGAATGGGGAGGGGTGTCAGGGAGTCAATGTGTGAGTTGGTTGAGCTATGGTTGGGTGAACGGATGCCAATGATGGGAGACATTTTGCGTGTTGTAACGAGGGATAGAAAGACAACAAAGAGAGGGTATTAGTTGGTTATTGGGAGCTCTCAAACACCAACTAGACTGATGGACATGCGGAACCGAGAGAGAGCAAGGAGGAAGAGGTAAACTTAGGGGAACAGAAAGGTATATGGGCATGTGGCCATGTGGGCATGCGGCCATGTGGGCATGCGGGACAGCACCTGTGATGCAGGCGGAGACGAAGTTGGTGATGAGAGCAACGATGTTGACAGTGAGCTGGAACTGCACAAACTTCTGGATGTTGGTGTACACACTGCGCCCCCACTTGGCCACGTTCACCACCGAGGAGAAGTTGTCGTCCATCACTATCACGTCCGCACTCTCCTTCGCCACCTGTGGCGGGGAGAGGAGAGAGGGGTGGGGGGAAGTGCGGGAGAGAGGGAGACAAGGGGCAAGGGAGCCAAGTTGTCGTCCATCACTATCACGTCCGCACTCTCCTTCGCCACCTGTGGCGGGGAGAGGAGAGAGGGGTGGGGGGAAGTGCGGGAGAGAGGGAGACAAGGGGCAAGGGAGCCAAGTTGTCGTCCATCACTATCACGTCCGCACTCTCCTTCGCCACCTGTGGGGGAGAGAGGGGGAGAGTGGGAAGAGAGGGGGGGCATGAGTGGGTGAAAGAAGGGGGCACAGGATGAAAGGAGGCAAGTTGTCGTCCATCACTATCACGTCCGCACTCTCCTTCGCCACCTGTGGGGGAGAGAGGGGGAGAGTGGGAAGAGAGGGGGGGCATGAGTGGGTGAAAGAAGGGGGCACAGGATGAAAGGAGGCAAGTTGTCGTCCATCACTATCACGTCCGCACTCTCCTTCGCCACCTGTGGGGGAGAGAGGGGGAGAGTGGGAAGAGAGGGGGGGCATGAGTGGGTGAAAGAAGGGGGCACAGGATGAAAGGAGGCAAGTTGTCGTCCATCACTATCACGTCCGCACACTCCTTCGCCACCTGTGGGGGAGAGAGGGGGAGAGTGGGAAGAGAGGGGGGGCATGAGTGGGTGAAAGAAGGGGGCACAGGATGAAAGGAGGCAAGTTGTCGTCCATCACTATCACGTCCGCACTCTCCTTCGCCACCTGTGGGGGAGAGAGGGGGAGAGTGGGAAGAGAGGGGGGGCATGAGTGGGTGAAGAAGGGGGCACAGGATGAAAGGAGGCAAGTTGTCGTCCATCACTATCACGTCCGCACTCTCCTTCGCCACCTGTGGGGGAGAGAGGGGGAGAGTGGGAAGAGAGGAGGGGCATGAGTGGGTGAAAGAAGGGGGCACAGGATGAAAGGAGGCAAGTTGTCGTCCATCACTATCACGTCCGCACTCTCCTTCGCCACCTGTGGGGGAGAGAGGGGGAGAGTGGGAAGAGAGGGGGGGCATGAGTGGGTGAAAGAAGGGGGCACAGGATGAAAGGAGGCAAGTTGTCGTCCATCACTATCACGTCCGCACTCTCCTTCGCCACCTGTGGGGGAGAGAGGGGGAGAGTGGGAAGAGAGGGGGGGCATGAGTGGGTGAAAGAAGGGGGCACAGGATGAAAGGAGGCAAGTTGTCGTCCATCACTATCACGTCCGCACACTCCTTCGCCACCTGTGGGGAAGGTTGGGGCAATGCGGTAGGAGAAATGGGGCCGGGAGCAAGGGAGATCGGGGTTGAAAGAGAAGGGAGGGAGGGGGTGGGGGAAGAGGAGGGAAAGGGGGGAAGGAAAAGGAGAAAGAGGATGTTCGCAGTTTCCTTGGCCACATGAAGGGGAACTGGGGCACAATGCGCACCAGGGAGGAGCAGAGAATCTAGGAGCAAGTGAGAAAACGGGCATCGGAACTCAACTCAGCTACTCTCCATCACAATCACTCCTCACAACCTGCGCATGATGATAGAACTATCCCCTCTCTACCGCCCGACTTCATGCCCGAATGTCCATAGCAAGAGCCTTATCCCTCTCTATCGCTCACCCCCCCAATGCCCATGCGAGCCTTATCCCTTCTCGACCCCTCACCTCCGTCCCTGCGATGCCCATGGCGAGGCCAATCTCAGCCTCCTTGAGAGCGGGTGCATCGTTGGTGCCGTCCCCTGTGACGGCCACCACCTCGCCCATCTCCCCTCTGTCCCAGATTACCCATACAAGAGACCTATCCTGTCTTTCTGCACTCACCTCCGTCCCTGCAATGCCCATGGCGAGACCAATCTCGGCCTCCTTCAGAGCGGGTGCATCGTTGGTGCCGTCCCCCGTGACGGCCACCACCTCGCCCATCTCCCTCAGCAGCGACACCAGCAGGTGCTTGTCCGTGGGGGATGAGCGCGCCATCACCTGGGGGGGTGGGGGAAGGAGGAGAGGGGGGAACAGTAGCCAAAGTTATGGGGAATGGTTGCTTTGAAGGCGCCTCAAGCACAGACATCATCTCCCGCAGCAGCGACACCAGCAGGTGCTTGTCCGTGGGGGACGAGCGCGCCATCACCTGGTGGGTGGGGAGTGGGGGGCGGGGTGGAGGGGAAGAGCGAAATGGTGGAGGGGGTGTTGCCGCAGACATAGACGTCTCGTGCAGCAGCGACACCAGCAGGTGCTTGTCCGTGGGGGACGACCGCGCCATCACCTGGGGGGGTGTGGGGGGAGTGGGGACAGCAGGCGCAGCCAGTGGGAACGGTGGCGAGTGTTACTCAGAACTGTCTAAAGCTTCAGCAGGTGCTTGTCTGTGGGGGACGACCGCGCCATCACCTGGGGGAAGAGGTGACGGGGGGGTCTGTAGCCAAAGTCGGGGGAGTGGAAGAGGCATGCATGAACACGCGCACATACACACGCATGCACACGGCACGGCAGGCAGCACACGAGCCTGCAGGCGTGGTACACGCCCTTGCAGCCCCCCCTCCCCCCCCCCTCCCTCCCCCCCCCTCCCCCCAGCACACACACCTGCAGGCGTGGTATGAGCTCTTTCCGCTCCTCGTCGCTCATGAATCGGAACTTGGGACCCTCCACCGCCACGCCCTCGCTTGTCAGAATGCCACACTCCCGTGCGATGGCTATGGCCGTGCTCAGGTTGTCACCCGTTACCATGCGCACCTGGAAATGGGGGAGGAGGGGAACGGGGGTTCAGGTGGTGGGGACACATGAAGAGGGTTGTGTGAGCTGACTGAAATGCCACACTCCCGTGCGATGGCTATGGCCGTGCTCAGGTTGTCACCTGTTACCATGCGCACCTGGAAATGGGGGAGGACAGGAGGGAAGGGGGGCAGGGGACAAAGAGAAGGATAGTGTAAAAAGGCAGTAAACAAAAAACGAAGAACAAAATAATGAATGGACGGGAACAAAAGAAAGAAAAAGTACAGGAGAAAGCAAAGCAAAAAAACAAAAAAACAAAACACACACACACACACAAAAAAAAAAAAAAAAAACAACAACATCCGTAGCACCACACAGCACCGTACCATGATCCCCGCACGCTTGCAGAGCATGACAGAGCGGGTCACTTCAGGGCGGAGCGGGTCTTTAATCCCCACCACTGCCATCAGCGTCAACCCCTCATCCGGAATCGCCACATCCGCCACCCACTCGCCTCCCTTCACCAACCCCATCTTCTCCACCTCCTCCGCACTCAAATCCCTGTACGCCAGAGATAGAGTGCGCAGCGCTGCAGTAGCTGATTCTTCCACAATCTTCCCCAAGGCATCAAGATCTATAGGCGCTACTACTGCCTCGGAGCACCCTTTCTCTCCCTCCCCGTCGCCTTTCCCTTCCCCTGCCGCTACCCCCACCACTGCATGGGTGCAGCTTGCGAGAATAATCTCCGCAGCGCCCTTCCACATGACCCTCACGCCCCCGTTAGGCAGGCGAACCGCTGCCGCCATGCGCTTGCGCTGCGAGTTGAAAGGCTCTAGCTTGAGAATGGTGGCGGAGGAGCGAGTGGAGGAGAAAGCGGAGGGCGAGGCGAGGTGCATGCCCCAGGTGAGAATGGCCTGCTCTGTGGGCGTGCCGAGGACGACTGGGGCAGAGGAGGGCGGGGTGGGCGGCGTGGGCAGCTGCACGTCCCCGCTGGTGTTGATGAACACGTTTTGCAGGAGCGGGGCGGAGAGGGATTCAGGGAGCTTCCACTCCTGAGAGGGGAGAGAGGGAAGGGAAGGAGGGGGGAGGGTGTGGGAGGGGAGGGGGGGTTGGGAACGAGAGGGGTGTGGGGAACAAGGGGGGCGTACAAAATACAATTACTACCAGCAGCGGCACTACCAGCACTAGCGCATACCCCACGAAAAAACACTAACAGTAGAAACCACATACCTCCATATCGCGCATTTCCTGAGGCTGCAGCAGAGGTACCTTGCGCACGTGTCCCAGCACCCACGCCTGCACCACAGTCATCTGGTTCGCAGTCAGCGTGCCCGTCTTGTCACTGCATATGGTCGTGGCAGATCCCATGGTCTCGCACGCTGCTAGCTTGCGCACGAGCGCCTTGTCCTTCATCATCTTCTTCATCGCGAAGGCGAGGGAGAGGGTTACCGCTAGGGGTAGCCCCTCTGGGACGGCCACGACCACTATGGTGACTGCCACTGCGAAGTAATCCACAACCTGGGGGGGGAAGAGGGGGAGGAGGGGGAGGAGGGGGAGGAGGGGGAGGAGGGAGGTGGGGAAGCTCTGAGATGGCTCACCACCGTCATCTGATTCGCAGTCAGCGTGCCCGTCTTGTCACTGCATATGGTCGTGGCAGACCCCATGGTCTCGCACGCTGCTAGCTTGCGCACGAGCGCCTTGTCCTTCATCATCTTCTTCATCGCGAAGGCGAGGGAGAGGGTTACCGCTAGGGGTAGCCCCTCTGGGACGGCCACGACGACTATGGTGACTGCCACTGCGAAGTAATCCACAACCTGGGGGGCGAGGAGGGGGATGAAAAAGGCAGGAAGGGGGGGAGAAGGAAGGTGAGGAAGGAGGGAGATGGGAAAGCTGTGAGACGTCTCGGAGGTGGCTCAGGAAAGTCTCTCTGGGACAGCCACGACGACAATGGTGACTGCCACTGCGAAGTAATCCACAACCTGGGGGTCCAAGGAGGGCGAGGGGGGAGGCAGGGAAGAAGGGAGGCAGGGAAGGTCTGAGACGACTGGCTTGGTATGCTCTCTGGCACTGCCACGACCACTATGGTGACTGCCACTGCAAAAATTACCCACAACCTGGGGGGGGGGGGGGGGGGGAGGGAGGAGGGAGACGGGGAAGCTCTAGAACGTGGCACAACTGGCTTGAAAAATACTCTCCGGCGATGCCATGTGATATTCCGATATTAGGTATAAGCAAAAGGTTATTATTAATGTTAATTTTAAAATGAGTATGGTGACTCCCACTGCAAATACGATTCCACCTAAGGGAGTGGGTGGAGGGAAAGGATGGATGGGAGCTGGGGAAATAGGGGAGATGGTTGGAGGGAAAAGAAGTTGCAGACGGGGAGACGTGGTGAGGGGAGGGAAGAGGCGGGAGAGGTGGAGTGGAGTGGATGGGTGGGTGAAGGGAAAACGAGGCGGGCCGGCCTGCAACAGTGTGTGGTGGAACGGGCAGTGTGGTGGGAGGAGCAGTCCCTCCTGTCCCAGCACTCTAGTTCCAAGGCATCACACAAGGGGCAGCCTGGTTCTGAGGCGTCTCAAAAGGGGCGCCGGCGGTGTCACCTGCAGCGTGTGGTGGAAGGACCAGTCTCATATGGCATATGCTTGTGGAGCGCAGCAGGCGCGCAAGCAGCACCACGCCACGACGTGGCTTTTGAGCCGACTCAAAAGACGTCTCGAACGGGGTGGGCAGACTCACCTGCAGCGTGTGGTGGAAGGACCAGTCCCATATGCTGGTGGAGAGCAGCAGACGCGCAAGCAAATGAAGTTATGCACCTGAGCAAGCAAATAGAGTTTTCAGGATGTCTCAAAACAACCTTACCACCACGTGACTCACCTGCAGCGTGTGGTGGAAGGACCAGTCCCATATGCTGGTGGAGAGCAGCAGACGCGCAAGCAAATGAAGTTATGCACCTGAGCAAGCAAATAGAGTTTTCAGGATGTCTCAAAACAACCTTATCACCACGTGACTCACCTGCAGCGTGTGGTGGAAGGACCAGTCCCATATGCTGGTGGAGAGCAGCAGACGCGCAAGCAAATGAAGTTATGCACCTGAGCAAGCAAATAGAGTTTTCAGGATGTCTCAAAACAACCTTATCACCACGTGACTCACCTGCAGCGTGTGGTGGAAGGACCAGTCCCATATGCTGGTGGAGAGCAGCAGACGCGCAAGGAGCACCACGAACACCACCAACGCCACGTACAGCCCCACCCGCCCTATCAGCGTCGCCACTCCACTCAGCTTCACCTGGTGTGATGGAGGAGACGAGGAGAGGGGGAGAGGAGGAGCACGGGGAAGAGGGAGAGACGGGAAGATCGGGAAAAAAAGGGGGAGAGAGGAGAGGGGAACGAGTAGAGAGATGGGGGGAAGGGCGTGGAGGGGTGAGGGATGGGAAGAGAGGAGGAGGGATGAGAGAGAAGGGAATAATGGAGAAGGAGGGAGGGAGGGAGGGAGGAAAGGAGGGGGAAAGAGCGTGGAGTTCAACCTGGGCGCAGACTGGTGAGCACTAAGGGGCAAACGAGAGGTTGAACCAGATTCATTCTCTCAGCACACTCATACCTGCAGCGGCGTCTCATCATCCCCACTGTCTGTGAGCTTGGCAATGAGCTGCCCCCACTCCGTGTTCATGCCCACGCCACCATCAGCACTGCAAATTCTTGAGCGTTTCCAGAACCCAACTGCTGCACCAACTCGGGTTAGCCCCTGTCACAATACCTGCAGCGGCGTCTCGTTGTCCCCACTGTCCGTGAGCTTGGCAATGAGCTGCCCCCACTCTGTGTTCATGCCCACGCCTTTTGAGACGTCTCAGAAGGAGCACGCACCTGCAGCGGCGTCTCATCATCCCCACTGTCTGTGAGCTTGGCAATGAGCTGCCCCCACTCCGTGTTCATGCCCACGCCCACCACGAGCGCGGTGCCATGGCCGTCCTGCACCTTGGTGCCCGCCAGGAAGAAGGGCGCGTCCTTGCCCTTGTACGCCGGCACACTCTCCCCTGTCATGCTCGACTCGTCCACCACCAGGCTGTGCCCTGCGGGAGGGGGAGACAGGGATGTTTTCTAGTTTGGGACTGCCACGAACCGCAGACGTGTGTAGTGTAGTGAGCCGGGCCAGTGCCAGTGGGGAACAAGGGCGGACGTATGATGTGTCCTTGCTCTTGTACGCCGGCACACTCTCCCCCGTCATGCTCGACTCGTCCAGGCTGTGCCCTACGGGGGGGCGGTGGGGGAGAGAAGGAAGAAGCGGGGGGGGGAAGAGGGGTGCACTTCTCGTTCTGAACAACTGACAGACTGTGGGGAGCACAGGGCATGCGAGGAAGAAGGGCGCGTCCTTGCCCTTGTAGGCCGGCACACTCTCGCCTGTCATGCTCGACTCGTCCACCACCAGGCTGTGCCCCTGCCACACGGTCGTAAGCAAGAATCACTGCCAGCATTTGGTGCTGAGACATCTCTCTCGGAAAAGCGCGTTACCTCCAATAAATACAGCATCGGCGGGGACTATAGCTCCCGTGGACAGCACAATCACGTCCCCTGCCACGAGGTCGTATATGGACACCTTCTGCCGCACTGCACCGCGCACCACCTCCACCGATACCTTCTTCTTTTCCCGGTCCAACATCTGGAACTGTGGATGGGGGAATGAGTGGGGGGGATGAGTGGGGGGAACGAGTGGGGGGAATGAGTGGGGGGAATGAGTGGGGGGAATGAGTGGAGGGAATGAGTGGAGGGAATGAGTGAGGGGAATGAGTGGAGGGAATGAGTGTAGGGAATGAGTGACAGGAATGAGTGAGGGGAATGAGTGGAGGGAATGAGTGAAGGGAATGAATAAAGGGAATGAGTGGAGAGGGTAGTGCAGAGGTGAGAAAACTTGTATAACAAGATGAAATACGACAGCATTCAGTTTAGTGTGTCAATGCACGACAGGACATGAGGGGCGAATGGAGGGAGATGCAGAGGTGATGAGTAGCGAGACGGGGGGAGGGCGGATGAGAAAGAAGTGATGAGGGGGGTCGGGGCAGGAAAGAGGGGGAACGAAGGAAGGGGGGGGCGGAAAGGGAGAGTGGTTGAGGGAGGGAAGGGCTGGGAAGTGTGTGTTTAAGTCGACTCAAAGTTCAAACCACTCAGAGACCGGACGAACCTGCAGCGATTGCCTGTAGTCACTAGTGGCTGTGACGAATACGACAACAAGCACAACAAGCGTGTGCTCAAGTCGACTCAAACCACTCAGCGCACTGACCTGCAGCGATTGCCTGTAGTCACTAGTGGCTGTGACGAATACGACGAGCACAATGCTCATGAGGATACCCACTCCGTCCGTCGTACCACCCCTCCTGCCACCCCTCATGCCACCCCTACGTTATGACGCCCACCAGCAGGGATACCACTGCGCACACTGACCTGCAGCGATTGCCTGTAGTCACTGGTTGCTGTGACAAAGACCACGAGCACAATGCTCATGAGAATTCCCACTCCGTCGTACCACCCCTCCTGCCACCCCTCCGTTATGATGCCCACCAGCAGGGACACCACTGCGCACACTGCCAGGATCCACAGCGTCATGTCCTGCATATGGAGGTATAGATAGAGTGGGTGGACCGGCAGCATAAAGGACGGGGCAACCCACAAAGGATGGATCGGGAACAAACACTCCAGGCATGCTAGGAAAGGCAGGGACGCAGGAGGTAGGGGGTGCAGTGCAGGATAGTGATATGATAACTACAACGCCAGCCACATGCCTCGCTAACTCTTCACTGCTCTGTTTCTCCATCAAGCAAGAGATTTCCGAGTACCTGCTCCGGCTACCTACAAGCAACTCAACTCAACGCCCCTCCTCTCATCTCCTTGGCATCGTTTTCTCGCGGCGCCTAAAAAATCAATGTGTCTCAAGAGTCAAATCCAGTCTTGCCTGCATGCCTCTCACCTGCATGGCGTCCCACACAAACTGCACGAACGTCTTAGCAGGCTGCTCGGGGAACGTGTTTGCGCCATACACCTTGCGCCTGCGCATCAGGTCCCCCTCCCCCCCGCCTATGCCCTCCGCCACGTTGCTCCCCAGCAGCCGCGCCACCCCCTGCGCGCCCCCGAACGAGTCGAGCGCGCTAGCGTCCTGGCCCCCCACCATCACTGCCAGCTGCTTCGCGCTCACGCCAAAGCCCTCCGCGCGCGCGGCCTTATACGCCGCGTCTGACAGGCGGGGGAGCACTGCGGGGTGGTAAGCGGGCGGGGGTGGAGGAAGGAGCAGGGGGGGAAGGGGGGAGAGGGGAGGTTGGGTACAAGGAATCATTAAGGGTTTTGAGGGGGCGGAAAGGGAAAGGAAGGGATTTGGAGGGGAGAGAAGGGAGGAGGGAGAGTGAGCTGAGGGAAGAGGCGAGGGGAGGGACAGATGGGGAGGAGAAGGGAGTGGGGGAAGGGAGGGCGTGAGTTCAGGGGTTGGTGATGTGAGTGCATGTGGCCAGAATTAAGCTGATGTTTCACGGTTTTCCTCATAAGCCAGATCGTGGGGAGGGAACGCCAATAGCGGGACACGGGGAGGGAGGGGGGCGGAAGGGGTTGGCGGAGACAGCAGCAGCGCGGGTGTACGATGGCGGAGGCCGGAGGACGGAGGCCGGAGGACGGAGGGCGGAGGCAGGAGGATGGAGGGCGGAGGGCGGAGGGCGGGCGCACCTGATTTGAAGCGCGCCACTGCCTTGAGAGCCTTGGCAGCTCCTCTGAAACGAGAGAGACCGGTAGACATCTGGGTGTGGAGCCCGGGTGTGGGGTGCGATGGGGTGGTGCGGAGGAAGGTGAGAAGGCGGTGGGTGGGGGGAACGGGAGGAGGGGAGGGGGACGGGGATAAGGGGAGAAGGGTAGGAGAAGTTACATGGGCGGGCAGAAGGTAGAGTCAAGCAGCAGGAGGGTTGGGGTGGGGCGATGTGGAGGGGAAAGGAGGATGGTTATAGTCACGGGGAAAGGGGAAACGGAGGGTGTGTAAAGTGTGTGCGATACGAAGATAAGAGAGAGAGTTCAGAGGGGAAGGCGCGCGGAGAGAAGGGGGGGTCGAGTGCGATGCGAGCATACCTTAGGAGTGGGCGGTTTCGATTCTTGATCTCGTCTCTGCTGCAGGTCCGCCGTGTATCGGAAGCGCCTCGTCGCGTTTCTGACGAGCGCCATGCGGCGCCATCGCATGAGCGCGTCGCTACTTGCATGCTTTGGATCCACCACGTCGAAGTCCGAAAACCCCGCCGTCAGCGGAAGCAGCAGCGCCTCGCTCCACGACTCCCCGCGCCCTATGCGCGCGCGCCACCCTTCCTCCCCCGGCCGCGGAGTGCGCGGAGTCGGCGGAGGCACGCGCATATCCTTCTCCCCCTCTCCCACTGATGCCGCGCTGAGACGCGAAGCTTCGCTGCCCTGCACCTCTCCTTCTTCTGCCACGTCTTCGAGCCGCACGCGCGATATCTTCGCACTCGCGCTTCCTAGCCCGCCCCATCCGCCCTTCCCCCGCTTCACCTCCGAGCCTTCCGCTGTTCCGCCGGATCCGCTTGTCGCGGCGGCGACCGCTGCGCTAATTGCCGCTATCTCATCCGCGCTGCGCGGAACCCCCGCTCCGCTCCCTGGAGAGCCCCCGCCTGATTCGGGCCGCTCCCCTTCCCCTTGACCCTCCGCTCCCCCTCCCGTCTTCTCCCCCGCTTCTTTACCCTCCCCCTCCCCTCCCGATTTCACCTCGCCTCCTAGCTTCACCGATCCTTCAGTAAAATTTTGCGCCTGGGCACCCAAACCGGCATCTTCCGCCAGCAGCGGAGTGGCGGAGTCATCCGCGGAAGGGGCGGCGGGTGAAGCGGAATCGACGGGTGGAGTGGACTCGACGAGAGGAGTGGACACTACAGGTGGAACGGACTCGACGGGTGGAGCGGAGTCGACGAGTGGCGTGGACACTACAGGTGAAACGGACTCGGCGGGTGCAACTGACACTACGGCTGGAGCAGCCTGAACAGGTGGAGCAGATTCGACTGGTGGAGCGGACTCGACGGGTGGAGCGGACTCGACGGGTGGAGCAGCCTGGACGGCTGCAGGGGACTCGACTGGTGGAGCGGACTCGGCGGGTGGAGCAGCCTGGACGGCTGCAGGGGACTCGACTGGTGGAGCGGACTCGGCGGGTGGAGCAGAATCCACTGGCTCTTCCGCCATGCTGAGTCAGCTGCGTCGGGAGTGGGATAGCGAATGGTGGAGAGGTGGAACCATGAGAATGTTGGGAGGAAAAGGGGGGTGTAGGGGCGGAGAGGGGGAAACACAAACGGGAGCAAGATCACACCATGCATCAGCAATGGCTTGAACATGCTGTGAGTAGCGAGCAGAAATTATAGCCTTACAAAGCTCGCGTTTAGAACCAGGTCGTGGAATGGACGACCATGTGAGCAGAGAAAAGACGACGTTAGCAGCGGGAATGTATGCCCTAGTAGAACGTGAAACCTCGAAAATCTACGGAAACAACCTGATATATTGCAGCCTAATGAGTGCTGCCGAACCGATAAGATCTCCACGGCGACGATCAGCTCCCGGATCGTGTTTCTAATCGACGCGTACTGACCGGACGACGACCGATGCGACGTCATCCACGTCAAAATGCGACGGAAAAGGCGATACGAGCGCGCCAAACGAACATGCAGTAATGCACTAACTCTTGTGCGATGCTACTTACCGAGTCTCAGAGCAAAGGGTTACCGCACGAGGAAGCTCCAATGTGAGACCCCTCAACTCAGTGTTTCAAAAAATCGCGACCTTTTTGGAAGAATAATAGCGTCAACAGGTAGGTCTAGCTCCGCCTAGAGCAACCATTGTTTGGGGAGAAGCCAAGCAGAGAAGGTGGCTTCAGGAGTTTCCACACAACGTGTAAGGGCGTATTCCTGGCTTCGGGTCATCCCGTCTTCGGGTCATCCCGAATTAAATTCACGAACCGCGGGTTTTCCGACTCGAGCTTCGGGTCTTCCGCCTCGGAAGCTTGCGAGCTTCAGCGAACAGGGTAAACGAAATTTGTTTTTCCCCTGCAAAATCGTCGTAAGCCTGCAGTGCGACATTTCAGCCGCTGCGACGAATTTCACATTGAAATTTCTGTGCAACATTGCACATTTGAGGCTCGTGCAGAATCGTAATCGCTCGCCAGTTTGCTCTGGCGATCGTTAATTACAGTGTCGAGAGCTGCGAATTTAGGTAACCCCTTATATATTTGTCTAAAAAAATCGTGAACAATTTCAGGTTGTTGACCCGAGCTCGTGTCTTCCCAATATTTCGGATGACATTTTTAGCGGATGACCCGAAGCCAGGAATACGCCCTAAGTGCGGAAACCTGAGAAACACACAGCAGTACTGCTGTTGCTGGAGGAAACATACACCTTCAGCACTACTGCCTGCCATCATTATGCGTCGAGCTTGAATTTCGCTCAACCGTACCCAAACGTTTCCATTATAAACAGGCCGCTATGAAACGCACACAATCGTAATTTACCGCACTACCTGAGCTTTTGATGACACTGCTATTCCCAAGGTTCGCCGAGTCTCCCCCCATCCCCCCTCGAACTCCGCTCCGCTCACCTTTCCAAACCAAAAACTTGTGTATCCGCGCTTCCGCGGGGAGAATTGCAGGGAGGATGAAGGAGGCGGAAATCGGTAGGCAGGCGCGAGGCGGAGGGATTAGTAATGGCATGGCGCGCGCGACTATCCCAAGGCTGGAGTTTGGTTTGGTTGTGTTGGAATGGCATGGCGATGGACTGTACATCCCTGGTGTGCCGTGCCGAATGCTTGAGATCGGCAAAAGCCATCAAGATGTCGATGAGAGATGAACATGACAGACAAATCCGTTCTTGTAATGAGTGAAAACAGTTCTAGGAACAGCTTTTCCTTTCACATATAAAACCCCAAACCATATTCGGTTTCACAGAGCAACCACCTCCCTTCATCAATGTACCTCCCTCAACACTTCATTTCTTCAAGTGAAATTCGCCCTAGCTTTTGCCATAAAGCTCCACCATGCGACGTGCCGCCTCCACAATGTTCTCTCGATGCCCAAATGCACTGACACGAACAAAGCTTTCTCCACCGGGCCCAAACCCACTCCCAGGAGTGGTAACCATGTCAGTGCGAGCCAGAATCTCCTCAAACACTTCCCAGGATGAGCGGCCGGGGAAGCGCACCCATACATAAGGAGCGTTCACTCCTCCATATGTCTCTAGACCTGCTTCTGAGAAGGCGGTCTTTAGAATGCGCGCATTCTCTTTGTAGAAGGCAATGAGACCCCGCATAGCCTGGATGGAGCAGGAAGAAACCACAGGGGGTAGCAGATAGAGTGAACGGATGAGGAGGACTCGACAGGCGCATGCGAAGGCAGGGTTGTCAAGGGATGAGAGGCATAGGATAGTCCGGGGTGATATTGAGGCAAGTGGTGAGAGGACGTCTTTATACACTTGGGATACACTGACATGCAGTGGCTTGTGAAGGGACGGATAGAAGTGCCAAGCGGGAAGCAAGGAGTCAGGCTGACCTGCAGCCCCGGTTGTGGCATGGCAAGATGAATTCTGAGGCGCCTAGAAGATTGTCCCAGTGGGATGCAAGGAGGAGTCATGCTGACCTGGAGCCCCTGTGATGAGACGCATGCGGTGCCGCCCGCCTGTGCGATGTTGCTGGCGCCGTTGAAGGCGGTGTTGGCGATGCGGCTGAAGTCCGGTCTCACTGCATGCCCGTTGGCGTAGCGCAGGGTGGACGGCACGACCGTCCACCCCAGACGCACCCCTGTGAAGCCCGCGTACTTGGAGAAAGATGCGGTTTCTATGGCCACCTGGGTGGGGTCGGGAGTGGCGGAGGGACAAGGGAAGAAGTGTTGGAAGAGAGGTGTGGAATATGAGCATGTCAGCTCCTGGCGCGCACCCCTGTGAAGCCCGCGTACTTGGAGAAAGAGGCGGTTTCTATGGCCACCTGGGTGGCCATAGAAACACTGTCATACACCACAATGGACCCGTCATGCACCACCGCACTCCACCATGGCCCATTGCACTTCACCACACCACCACGGCCCATCGCACCTCATGAGCGCCTTCGATCTCGTAAATTGATTTGGGGCTGTCATCCTCAATGTAGATGCCGTAAGCGCTGTCATACACCACAATGGACCCGTTGCGCCGTGCAAACGCCACCAGCTCCTCCAACTGCGCCCGTGACGCCGCCTTGCCTGCGAGAGGGCGGAGAAAAGGGGGGGCGAGGGCAGAGAGCAGAGCAAAGGAGAGGAGAGGAGAGGAGAGGACAATGAAGGGCATTGTGCAGAGCAGGTGGAAGATACGAGCGCTGACAGAACCGGATGCTGTGACGTGGACTGCCCATAGGAGAAACAAATGGGCACCGCACCAGTCTGGTCGAGGAAAGACACGGCCAGGCACTATATGGATCCAGATATGGTGAGGTGTGCTTACTGGGCTTTGAGAAGACTTTTGAGTCGACTCAAAAGTCACCTCGATATGGTGTGGTGTGCTTACTGGGCTTTGAGAAATCCTGCCCCGCACACTCACCCGTGGGTTTTTTGGGCGAGCAGAAGGAGATGGTGTTGGTGCGAGGCGCGGAGGATGAACGACAGGATGAGGTGGGGGAGGAGAGAGATGTGGGCTGACTGGTGGTGGGATTGGTGCGGAGAGAAGAAGATGATGAGGTGGCGTTGGTACGGTCCAGCAACCCTGCTCTCACTCACCAGTGGGGTTGTTGGGCGAGCAGAAGAAGATGATGTCGGTGCGCGGAGCAGCGGCAAAGTCCCACCCAGGGGTCCGCCTTGCTGCTCATTCCCATGTGTGAGGTGAGCTCCCATGGGACCTCACGGTTTTCGTATCGTTGCCCCACGCACTCACCGGTGGGGTTGTTGGGCGAGCAGAAGAAGATGATGTCAGTGCGAGGCGCAGAGGCAAGGTCAGGGAAGAAATCGTTCTCAGGCGAGCAGCGCAGGTACGTGATGTTGCCGTAGTGCTGCGAGGAGGGGTCGTACGTGCCGGTCTGCCCCATGATCACACTCGTGTCCACATATGCCTGTTGGGAGGGGAGGGCAAAAAGGTGGAGGGCAAAAAGGTGGAGGTAAAGGGGAAGGGGGATTGGGACCGGGAGGGGGAGGGCGAGAGGGGGAGCAACGGTTATGGGATGAAGCGTGTGGCTTTAAGATGCGTCAAAGAGGGGGACATAAGAGCTCGTGTGCCCCATGATTGAAGCCGTGAGCCTGATGAGGTGGCCAGAACGGTTGTGCGCAGAACACAGAACCGTTTTGAGCAGACCGGATGTGGGCAGAATGGATTGAGTCTCTGCTGCGATAGGAGCTGATTCTGTTGGAGCAGGCCTCAGTAGCTGCTACAGGTGCTGCTGCAATCAGAAAATTACAAGGAGAGGAAGCAGGCTCACATGGGGGGGTATGCATGCTGAATGAATGCACGGTGCGTGCATTGTGAACTCATGGCGAGGCCATGACGAATGGGTGTTGATGAATGCACGCACCGGGTATGATGGGTCTTGGCATGCCATGCTGACGTTGGCACCGAACATCATCTGGAAACAAACAGACAATAACGGTCATGAGAACAGAACAAAAATGAGGGGATGAAGGAGAAGCAGACTCAAAACAAAACAGCAGCAAGGGGTGGTGGCGTTTCAATATGGCACTTATATCTGATCTGATGCACACCACTGAAAATAGTTTTTCTTGAAGGAACACTTCGGGGTGACGTGCAGCAGTGTCTGTGTGTGCGAGCGAGCATGCGGATGTGTGCACGCACGCACGCACGCACACATTGCACATCCGCATGCTCCCATCGGACACGAACACACCGTCATGCACCACCACGCCCAAATGTCTCGGTGGGCAATGTGTGTGTGTGGTGTCTTTGTGCGTGGGTGCATGCAGATGTGCAATTTGTGTGTGCCTGCATGAGTGCGTGTATGCATGGCACCTGCAGGCGGGCAATGTCGCACTTGGCCCCATCGGACACAAGCACATCGTCATGCGCCACGTCCAAATCTGTCTGGTGAGCCACCTGTGTATGTGGTGTCTGTGCGCGTGGGTGTAGCTGTAGACGTGCAATGTGAGTGCGTGCACGCGCACCTGCAGGCGAGCAATGTCGCACTTGGCGCCATCAGACACGAACACATCGTCATGCACCACGCCCATGCCCTCATAGAACGCCGCCACTATGCCGCGACGAAGGGCCTGCACGGGAAGTGAGGAGGGGTGAGGAGGCGTGAAGAGGTGTGGAGAGACGTGAAGAATCACAAAGAGAGAGCACCGTTCAGGAGCCTTAGCCATACGTGGCAGCGAGTTGGCGTAGTATTTGTCTCAGTAAGAACAGCAGTAAGACCACGCATCATTGCTGTTGTTCACAGGAAACCCACACGGTGCAGTTGACTCAAACCGTTCGCACACATCCCTACCCACACATTCCACGCCTCCTGCTTTTGAGGCGCAGCAGGAATGGGCTCTTCCTGTCAATGCGGGTACATACCTCCTCTCCTTGGCTGCCCGCATAGCCTGTGTACCCCTCCAGTGTTCCCAGCCCTGCTGCTCTCTGTGTGAGGGAGGGGGAGTGTGAACGTGCACACATGCACACAAATGCACACATCCACATGCATGCGTATGCATTCACATGCACACATGCACACATGCGCACAGAAAACACACAACTTGGGGGGGTGAGTGACTGTGTGTACGTGAGAGCGACCCTTGAACGGCCGTAAGGGGCAGCCACTGCCAGTACTAGCTGCTAGCAAACCAGCAGTTAACGAAAGTCTTATAACGACCCCTCCCCTTCACCCCCTCTTCCCCTTCCCTTCCCCTCCTTCCCCCCCCCCACCCGTCCCCCCGCCACTCACGTCCGCCATGGCTTGCGCAATGACGGCGGGGATGGGCTCAGTGGTGTCGCCTATCCCCAGGCTGATCATGCGCGCGCTCGCGGAGGGCGTGCGCGCAATGTGCGCCGCCTTGCGCCGCGCCACCTCGGGGAAGAGGTACCCCGCCTGCAGCTTCGCGATGTTGCCGTTGCGCTGCACGCCCGTGCGGAACTCCGCCGCGCTGGGCGCTGGGCGCGCACAGGGGGCGCACATGGGGGGGGAGGAGGGCGCACCAGGGCGCGCAAACAGAGTTGAGCGGAGGAGAAAGCGGAAGGGGAGGAAGGAAAGGGGGGGAAAGGGGGAAGAGGGGAAGGGAGAACGGTGAGGGAAGGAGGGGAGGGTGCGCAGGTCAATGCGCTCAAGGAGAAAGGTGGGAAGGGAGCGGGGGGAGACCAGGGAAAACAAATGCGGGGAGCGGAGGGGAATGGTGAAATAGGGTCACTGAAAGCCCAGGTGGAGGCGGTGGAAGGGGGGTGGGGGGAGGAGGGGGTGGGGGACGGGGGAGCGTCTGTGCGGTAGACTGCAATGTTTAGCGGGGGAAGGATACCGCAAGCAGCGACCAGGGCAGGATATGGGTTCTATTCGGGGAAACGGAGAGTAATACCGGAGGAGGATGCGGAGGCGGACGAAGGCGCGGCGGAAGCGGATAGCGGAACGGAAGCATCGACGGGCGCGGAAGAGGGACGGGCGGTATGCAAGTGGCGGAAGGCGGTGGCGGATGGTTGGGGAGATGGGCGCAAACTGAGGCGGAGATGGCATGTGCAAGGGAAAATGGGAAGAAAAGATAGGGGAGAGACATGCAAGCTTGTGTAAAATGGGAAGGGGATGGAAAACCAACTTGCGTAAAATCGATTTTTTACCACTGGTCGTACAGATACTTGTTTCCCCATTTGACAGTTGCAGCGTAAGCGAATGTTTACTACGCAGTACGCGACATTGAGTTCGGATCGCCTATGACTGCCATTATTTGCGACAAAGCGCTCGAGCTGCCTAATGAAGCGCTTGTTAGGACCGCATTTAGTGGTATTGCTTACTCCTTCACATGCGCGAACTGCGCCTCGCCAATAACAGCACTGTTGCTACAGTAGCCGCTTAGTTGGCGGCCAAGCGACTGCGAGGTGCGACGCGTCGAATTCCTGGCGGCGCGAAAAGCGACAGCGGTGAACCCACCCATGCTTGCGAATGGGAGCGCGCGAAGCGACGAGAGCGGCAACAACGAGGCGCTGGTAACACGCCTCGAGAGGGAGGGCTGCTAGATAGCAGCGGTGGCGAGGGAGTGGTGGAGGATCATGGAGTGGGACGGATTATGTATGTTGGGGTGGGAGGAATATGTATGTTGTGAGAAATTGGAAATTAGGCGGCAGTGGAAGCAGGTTGGCGGGGCGGCCAATGTTTTCGCACGTGACAATGGACTCTGCCTCCTCGGCTCGGCAATGCTGCCCAAGCCGCTGTGGCAATGCGTTACTGTATCTGGTTAGGTTTGGCAGCGGCGCCGTTAGGCTGAGGAGGACGTTTTCGACGGCGCACGAGATGTTACATGCCCTAGCGAAGTCTGGTTACAAAAGAGAACGTAGGTATGGTTCGGGTCACGCTGTCGCTAACGATTTGCTGCATAGGCTCGGCCCAGATTTTCCGCTGGACACGAAGTTGACTGGATGCGTGGCAGTCGCGCAGGGAACACAAAACAAGCTGAGCTGGGACACTGCGGCCATACCCCAGTGGTCAACGTGAATTTCGCCAATGTCGACTCAGCAAACCAATGGTCTGACGTCCACATGTCCGTGCTAATGTCTGGTTCACTACCACCCGTAACTGGGCTCCCTACAAACTGCACGAAGGAGCATGTTACACGCTGTACTTTTACTGAACTCGTTTCTACATACTTTACAGCTTCATGCAACTTGAAATGCAATATTCAACAAATTCCTACTTTTTTAACAATGCTGCAATACAGATTTGTTCTACTGACGCTAGATGGATTTGGGTGATCTAATTATTATTCTCCTATATTCCAATGTCAAGTTCTGGTGTAGAAAACTACACATCTCCGACTCTGCAAACAGCAAATAGATCAACCACGGGGTAACAGCATGAAGGTTATGAACACGGAGGTCCAGCAATTTCAGGCCCCATGAAAACAGTTACTGACGTTGGAACTATGGAAATAGTATGACCACTGACCTCTGGAAATTTCTCTTGCTTGTTGTCGTTCGGATTCAACCAGCCAACACGTGGCAAAACGAGGTTATCCATGTAAAGAAGAATACACTTTAGGCGGTACTCCTGCAGGGAAGAAGGGTGTGGGAGGAAAACCGGGTATTAGGAGGACGCCTAAGATAAGACCCTGGCAGAGGAATAGGATGTGTGTGTTTTCCGTGGCTTGGGTGACAAACAGCTCGTGCATACCCTACAGGTGCACCTTGTATCCAAAGCGGTGGAGTGCGGTGTCACCTGGTAGACGTATGTGGGGATGGGGTGGTGCGCCAAGCAGTTGGCCGCCATGGGAAAGCGCCCGCCGCCCGAAGGCCCGACGGTGGGGCTGGTGAAGTAGAAAATCGGGCTGCACTGGGGCCCCTGCACATCAATGAAGCGGACGACACGGATCATGCGACATGCGATGCGACAGAAGTAGGCGACATTAGGTACGCATCTCACAAAATGGGTCACTCAGCGCAACGTAATACTACTTCGGACGAGAGTTCCGGTTTCGGCAAGATTTTCAGACGGCCTCAAATTCAAACAAGGAGGCTTTGCACGCATGGAACTCGACTTGAGACGTACATTGCAGCTCATGTTGCCGTTGCTGTTCGCGGAAATCACTTTCACCCCAGACCTGCAAAGATTCAGGGCACACATAAGTTGACCGGCAGGTTCAAGGCGATGTATTAGTCGGCTGGCAGTGCCGCGGAGGTGATATGGATAAAGCATCAAGCCACGCGCATCGTCCATAGCATGTATCTTAACGAGAAGAAACGTGCCCATGAGAGGACGCGAACAGGATACTGCCAAAAGTAGGATCCTAATGCACTCACCAGTCCCGCTGCCAGTGGCAGCGACAGGACCTAAGCGCGTCTGGATTCGAAAGATATTCGGTTGAATGGGATTAGAAGGCGCTCACCTGTGGTACACGGGGGGGCTGAGCAGGCGGTTGACCTGCTGCGGCGAGAGTCGGAACACGGGCGGACGCGCTCGATTATAGAGGAAGAAGAAGTCGCATTGCTGCTCAGGGGCGGGGAGGGGCAGTACAGGCGTTAATTTCCGCGTGCCGTGGTACGCAGAGGTGATGCTGGTGAGGCAGTAACGTGGTGTGATGTAACGCGAACGCGGCTTGTTTTGGAGGGGGGTTCGGAATGTTGTTGCTAGGTGCTGTGCTGCTCGTGACGTCAGAGCAGGAATCTATCTCACCTGAAACGTCCGCGCGCATTGCCCGCTCGCAGATCCCACGACGGCTGCGAGAGGCAGGAGCGGGTTTAAGAATCGCGGGAATCGGGGAGAAGTGCGGTTAGGACGTTACATGGGGAAGAATCCAGGCAAAGTTGGGAAGTATAGGATGATACACGCTACGGATGGGGCAGGTCGGGGCTATGGCGAGTAAAAGGCGGCTCACCGAGGATTACGCAGAGCGCTAGAAGACGTCGGACGGCGGACATGTTGATAGCCTACTCTCAGTCTGCGTTCGTTCGTCTAAGCCTGTGTTTTCGTAAGAAGCTTGAAGAGTGGGAAACTGCCGTGAGATTCGTGAATGCGAGTGGTTTCCGCGCTTTGCCAGGTTTTTATTATCTGATATGGTCGTTGCACAGAAGTCAGACGTCTGTGCCGCCGATTTTGAGTGCTCGATATGGTGTTGGTCTCGCCGAGTATTCTCCAATGACGTTGCCGCTCGAGGGACGATGTGCTTTTGTGCAAGGCTGCTACGGATGGGGCCGTAATGTGATGATGTGAGCTTGTGGCAATGGCGAGAAGGGCTTCAAGGGAATTGATTGACACGAGAGACGTCCAGCAGCACCAAGCAGTCTCAAGGGCGACTTGACGGGCCGCATGGCACTCGTACCGCGGTTCGGTGCTGCTTCAGAATGAAGGAAGATTGAAAAGCGTTCAGTTGCGAGGACACCCTAGGGCAGTTTCGGAATGGGGGGCTATACTCCACATGCAATGCTGAGTGAACCCCATTTCACCAGGCCTATTAAGGATACATCTCGATCAAAATACTGGTAATAAGGTATCAAATTTACGGAATGGTTTAAAAGCGAGAGTGACGGCCAATGACAGCTCTTCTGACAAGCTCGAAATTGCTTAATTTGACATGGGCGGTCACAGCTCGATATTTTAGGGCATGCGACCCCGCAAAAATGCCACCGTGACACGCGCGTCACGTATGGGAGTCGCAGTGAACAGTCAAGCTTACCTTCGACCGCACCTTGTAAAGAATGGTGCTCCCAGTTTGGTGCAATTGAGGCGAAATGACAGTCAAGGGAGACAATTACATGTTACACACCCACTTTTCCATCTTCCTATGAGGGCAAAAACTAACCCAAACTAAGTCACAGGTGGCGAAGCCACCCTTGAATTGGATGTTGCGAACATCCAGTATGTAATATTACTCTTATAAACGAATTTTATAAGATACTACATACGGTATGACGAAAATATCTTCTTTCGTCCATTCTATTTCTATGCCAGATGTTGTCTCCCCATGACCTGCAGCCCCCTCCCTGCCCGTAGCTACATCTGCATCTCATTGCCGTTCACCACAACACTCCCTTGTCCAGAAAGCTCTCCTATCGCATTTAGAGTCTCATTGACAATACCTCCTGGTGTCACTGCAGCTGCTGGCGGGGCAGGGCTCTGAACTTGCTGCTGCTGTGGAGGTGGAATCTGGGGAGGCGTCGGTGCTGCAGACTGAGCGGCTGACGCCACGGCCGAGCCTGCAGCAGCGGCAGCTGTGCCAGCAGCAGCGCCCAACGCACTCCCAAGCACAGCGCCAGTAGCAAAATCCCTTGAAGGCACAGCAGGAAAAGTAGGAAAACCTCCCCCAGCTGTGCCTGTTCCCTGTTGTGCTGGTGACAGTGGTGGGGTCAGCTGCTGCTGCTGCTGCTGCTGCTGCTGCTGCTGCTGTGCTGGCGGCAGGATCAGCGGTGGTGGCGTCTGCAGGACTGCAGGGGAAGGTACAGCAGCCATAGTGGCTCCTGGTCCTGTAACTCCTGCTCCCTGCCCTGCCCCTCCTGCACCAGTGGCGTTTCCCTCGCCGCTAGCAGCAGCAGCACCAGCAGCAGCTCCAGCTAAGGCTCCAGTGGTAGCGCCTCCAACAGCCCCCAGCAAAGCACCCCCTGCTGTAGTCACAGGATTCGGAAAAACTGGCGGGAAGAACGACCCATGAGGACCAGCGACAGCAGGCGGGGCAGCACCAGTTGCTGCCGAACCACCAGTGGTGTTCGGGGCGATAACGGGTCCTCCGGTCATAACTGTAGCTCCCCCAGGCGAATTAGGAGTGCTAGTGACGGCCACAGAGTTGGGAGAATTCGTTGTCGTGGTGGCAGAGGCGTTGAAAGACAGCTGAGCAGTGATGTTGGTGCTGGATACAGAGGTGCCGGGGGGAAGCTGTCTCACAGGTGGTGGGGCTGGTGCAGGGGGGAAACCAGGGAAGGGAAGGAACTGGAGCTGGCGTCGATAGGATTGCATGCGCCTTTGTCTTACAATCCCGCTGTTTTTCACTATTTTTAAATCCGTCGCATGAGGAATCAGGACAGGTTTTGAGTTACCAGGGACTGGATTACCGCATGAGATGGAACAAGGGAAAAGAGAAGGGATGAAAACGAGGAGGAGGGAGAGAAGTGGGATCAGGATCAGGAGGAGGAGGATGAAGAGTTGGTTGTCATGGAGGATTCGAAAAGCAGTGGGTGAGGCGGACGAGGAGGAAGCTATGGGGTCATTGGCATGCGAGACCCTCACTCGAAGTGTGTTGGCCGATGTTGCCATCTCAATGGCACTGCACTGCAGTCACACGCTTTGCGAGCAGGTTTCGGAACAGGGAAAATGATCCGAATTCCTAAGGCAGCAAGAGACGCACTTGTTAGTACCACAATGTCATGGCTTGCAACTACTCAGCTTAACCCTAAAATAGTACGATCCCCAACTCTGGGCCAGTGCGAGTCCCCATCATTCCGGATACCTCAGCCACTAAAAGATCCTCGAGTAATCGAACGAAATATTAGTGTACGGAGCGTGAAACGTGCGGCAAACAGGTGTGATTGACAATAGTCTATCAGCCCCGCCAACTGCTGCCAGTGTTCGACCTCAAAGAACAAACGCCTCTGACAAGCAGGCTTTTCGTTCCAATTGGGTTGGGATGTCAGATTAGTGGCAAAGGCCTTAAGCCGAGTTTCCGTCTTCAAGCGAGAAATTAGAGAACACGACATGCATACGGTGGAAAACCGCCTTCTCTGACTCAACAGCCGCTTGCGACGGTTGGCTTTGCGGCGCTCAACATCATCATGGAATTCCAGGTGGCTGCTTCGTGGGAGCGCGGAAATGCGTGCACGGCACGTTTACGTGCTGTTTGCTAAGAGGAAGAATGAGAACCTGCGTCTGAACTAAGAAGCTGCGTGCATCTCGAGAACGCTGGTGCTCTGGTGGAGATGCTGTGGCACGAGTTTGCGTTGATTTCATCGACAACTTCATTTGTGCCTCCCACGCCCAACATTGCGCTTCGATATTATCGTGGCTGAAGTGGTGTTGGAATGCACGAATTAATTGCGATAAAAGCCGCACTCGATATGTCATACGAACAGCAGCAGTTTATTCAAACGGAAAACAACAGGTGTTGTACAATAGTTTAGACATAAGCAGGATGGTCATGGGCATCATGGTTTCACGGCACCAATGTAAAATTTTAGTTGCATCATTCTTCTCCACGCAGGAGTATGTTTTCGTCATAGTTTTCGCCAAATCTCTGCAAAACCGAATGGGAAAAACGAACAGGTGAGGGGAAAAGAAAGGAGAAAGGCGAGTGGAGATGAAGGTGTTTGAAGAGGTGATGGGGAGGATGGAATGAGACGGGTTAACGCTCTTGGAAGCAATGGGGATGTGACAAACAACACTGCTAGAGGGGGTGAGCCGAGAGCTTACTGCGACTCGGCGCCTTTTTCCTCTTCCAAGCTGCTCGTCAACATCAGCTGCTTGATTCCCTTTGTCGTCGCTGCTCGACTGGCACATGCGCTGGACAACCTTCTGCAGTGCAGCAGGGCCAAGTAACCGCCTTGTGAGCCTCACTGTGTTTGGAGTACAGGATTCTTGTGAGGAGTCTTGAGAAGGATTATCGCACTGCCATGCTTCCTGCACAAGGCATTCGAAACGTCATTGAACCCTCAAACCTTTCAAAATATGCTAAAGCAAAGCGATGTGCAAGGCAACTTGCCTTCTCTTGAAGTTCCCTTTCCCTGTCTGCTGCAGCAAAGATTGATTTCTCCTCCTCACTGCAAAGGAGAAATGAATAGATGGATACAAGATGAAGAACGTGAGTATACCATAGAACCAAGTGCAAACAGAACAGGATTAAAGAGCGTCCAGTGAGGTATAATGCAAGCACGAGATTTCTGCAAGACTTACAGGTGACACGATTTACATGACAACTATGACAATGCAAATGCCACAATCAGTCCCAATAAAAAAACATGCCAACCAGAAAAAGGTACGGTACCTCCGAGCCAGCAAGTTGTTCAGGTGTGCGTCAGAGATCGCCAGGGGGCAGTAATGATCATCCGAGGCGGGTGCAGCAGCATCAAGTTCATCCACGCCCTGGTCTTCTGTGCGGAGCAGTGTCTCAAGGTATGTCTGACGTTCTGCAGCACTGTGGAGACAAGGAATGGGAGAGTAACATCCCATTACAGTGTTGGGGGATCGCATGTATTTAGACTTGGCTTCCTTCAAAGAAATGCAAGTACAGAGATTGGTTCAAAAATTCATTACTGGGGTGCATACCTGGTCTGATTGTCGAAGAATCCGGCTGTGATGCTCTGATTCGCCAGCCCTAGCTTCCTTTCTGCAGCCGTCCTCACCCGGTGCTCAACAGTCCCCAACTGATGCCAGAGGAGGGTTTGTGTGGGAGAGATTAAGTGAGCTTAGCGATACGGGAAACACGACATGTGCTCTCTTTTGAATAGTAAACATCAGACAACACAAGGAAACTGCAAACGCAGGATGTACAGGCAAAAGGCAGTGAGCAAACAAGAATTCGTGTTACAAAGCGTAGACTCACGGTCTCTAGCCTGATGACAAGGACTTCATTCTTCTGGCCAATGCGATGTGCCCTCACTTGTGCCTGCAAGTCAATCTGCATCAAACACAAGAGCGAGGAGACGAATGTGAGGATTGTTGGGAGGAGTAGGAGAAGAGCCACATGGTTCGTTCACGCAGGATTGCACCAAAAGGCCGCCTATTGCACAGCCCTTAATCTGTTACAGAATTCGGTTCAAGTTGGTACCTGTGGGTTCCAGTCGGTGTCATACATGATGACCGTATCTGCTGCTTGCAGGTTGATTCCCACTCCACCCGCGCGCACACTGCGCATTAACAGGGACTCACTAACATGAGCTGACAGCTAGTAGAAAAGCAAGTGAAGGAAAAAGACGTGAAAGATACCAGGCTTAATCGCAGCTCTGGGAGGGACCATACAAAAAGCCAAGGCAACGGATGTGAGAGGCAATGACGCACCTGAGGAGGAAGATAAAGACATCAGAATCCGGGTTGTTGAACTCGCGAACCAGCTCCTCCCTGTCACTGCCGCCAGTGCTTCCATCCAGCCTGAAGTAGTTCCAAGGGTTACTCCCACAGGTTGACGGTGTGGCGGCGCTGCAAGAAGCATGCACTTCAGTTGTCTGGCTAATTAACTGTTCCGCTTCTGCTTGCTGCTGCCGTCTGGTCACCCGTCGGTGGCCACTGGAACCCTTTCCCTCCTCCGCCTTGCCTTTCTGCTGTTTCGACTTCACCAGCTGCTGCTGCTTCTCCTGCTCCAACAGAAGCTTCCTCTTCTGCTCGTTCTTCTCCGGCACTTCTGCATGCGCCTTCTGCTGCCCCTCAATGTACTCTTCCACAATGTCAAGCAGCCGGGTCATGGTGCAGAACAGCAGCACCTTGTGCTTAGCTGCGTGTAGCTTGTGCAGGATGCGGTGCAGAGTCTCCAGCTTCCCACACGTGCTGAGCAGCGGTGAGAGGGGCCCGCTTGGAAGATTCTCCTCCACCTGTCATGAGTGTGGGTGATTGAAAGCGGAGCAGAGTTTCTTGAGAAACTGAAAGTTGGGGCTGTGCATGCTGGGGAATACCGTACTGTTTGAGCAATTTTGTGATGATAATGTTGCTGAAATAGGATGTAGATTTGAGCATTGTGATGCAAGCAAGGCCATGCATCTCCCTCTGACCTCTCAGTTGTGCAGTGTGGAGAGGAACGGATGGTTGCAGATGCCCCGCTGCTCCATTACTCCGTTCATGATGGAAGGGGCGCTTCTCTTCCTTGTCATCGGGAGGCTGAAATTCTGCAGGTCGGAAACAGTGCAAGGGTTGGAACTATATATCAAGAGGCAAGACGAGAACCTAATGGAGAGAAGCATTCAGCTTTTGGCGCTTTCGGTATTCGAAGCAATAAATCGAATCACGCCTTACCAATTTGACTTGCAGCACTGGGAGACGGGGACTCACGTAAACGTTGTTAACCGGAGCGTTGGTGGTGCCTGCAGAGAGGTCTTGATGCTGCAGAACCTGCTGAATCAGCCACTGTTGGTACGCAGACGCCGCACATGGGATACGGCGCTCCAAGCGCTTTGGCAGCTCTGATGCCACCTGGTTGACATTCAGAATGGGGGGGTGCACACAAGGAGAAAGGCAAGCTACAGATTGATGAAACTGGAAGTGACATGGGGGAAAGACAAGCACACGAGGAATGTTCTATCTGGATAAGACTTGAACGGAAAGCCACGCGGCGTGGTCGTACCTTGTGCTTGAGTCGCCGCAAGACAAATGGCCGAAGGACCTGATGCAGGCGGTTGATCAGCAGCAGCCTCTCCTCCTCGCCCAACACATCCTCCTGCTCTGAGTCTGCAGCACTGCTGCCTGCAGCGCTTGAGCCTGCCTTCTTGGGCAGAACGTGTGACAGAGGCTGGGAAAACCAGGAGGCGAAGTCTGAGGCGCAGTTGAAAACGGAGGGCAGGAGGAAGTTGAGCAGCGACCAGAGCTCCTCCAGGTTATTCTGAGGAGACATGCGAAAGGAAACACGACAAGTCATGTGAGAAAAAGGCATGAGAATAGAGAAGCACAAAGGAAAATAAAGCACAGAGGGACGGCAACAATGTGGGATATGAAGCAAACAAACAGAAGCTATACAAAAAGGCATACCTGGATAGGCGTGCCGCTGAGAAGAATGCGGTGATTCGACTTGTACGATTTTAGGTGAGCGTTGAGCTTGCACTCCGCGCTCTTGATCCTGTGCCCCTCGTCCAGCACCACATACTCCGACGACAGGCGGATCAACCGTGGGCGGTCAAACTTGCCCATGAGCATCTCATACGTGGTCACCACCACGTTTGCCACTCCTCGCTCCTCCAGCCACTTACTCTGCACCTCTCCACTATCACTCCCTGTGTTACGAGGGCACCGTGTCCATGGGTTGATCTCACGACTGTATGTGGAGTTGGGAAAACGAAGCGGCGGGTGAGAAGGGGAGGTTGTGAGGGGACAGGAGAGAAGTTTAACAGGTGAGAAAGGCACATCGCAGATTCATCCTTCATCAGCCAGAGAACGAAATTGAGGCTTCTAAGCTCCCTACTGATTTTCTTGTTGCTCCTTAAGTAAGTGTGTAGATTTAGCACCTGAATATAGCAGCCCGTTTGTCAGGCATGCCAGAATATCTGGAAACACGGAGGGAAGGCGCCCATTGGGCAAACTCGGCCACCCAGTTGGGAAGAACAGATGCTGGCGCCACAATGAGAAAGGGTCCCGGAATCTTCTTCACCTCCACGAGATAGCAGAGCAGTGCAATCACCTGAAATTAAAGCACACGTGGCCAATTTGGAGCAGTTTCATGCACAGAGAGTACTACCAAATTCGCAGGGCTATTGAAGCTGCAAAGAAGGGAAACGCACATTCACTGGAAACTGCTAGCTCACCTGGACTGTCTTGCCTAGTCCCATCTCGTCTGCAAGGATACCGTTGAGGCCATTGGCATGCAGTGACGCAAGCCATTGAAGTCCGTCCCTCTGGTATCTGCCAGACATAAAACGCATTGATACCCTCAGCTTGTGTCACATTAACAGAGCGTCAGCATGGCAACTCAGCAGAAAGAGGACATTCGCGATGCGAGTAAAAAGTGCATGAGAGGAACTAGGTGTGCAGAAAGAGATGCACGTGGGAAGAGGGAACGGTTCCTTTGCACATACTCGCGTAGTTCTCCTCCTGAAAGAATCGATGGCTGCTGAACGATTTCTGACTTCCTGCAATAAGAGTTATCGGAGCAGGAATGAAAGGTCATCTGAATATGCACTATGGAAGGCGGCCACCACAACAGCAGAAATAGCTACTGGACCACAACTTTGAAACAGTCACTTTGTCTTACTTGTGCAAGAATTATGTGTAAGCCTTTTCGGCTTCAAGGTGGTTTGTCGTGCCTGACTGCAACAACAAAAAGAAAAAAGAGGACAGAAGTCACTTCTAGCCATAAATGCAAATAATGTTCCACAGAGGCACTGTTAGTCGCGAGTCACTCACAACTTCACCCGCATCTGGCTCAGCCCCTTCATCCTGGCCATTCACAACGCCCTTCTGCTGGCGCACAGAAGCTATGCGCCCAGCAATGCGCTGAAGATGCGCCTCTGTCTCCTTGAGGAGGTTTTGCACCCTCTCTGACTTCATATTCTGCAAAAACGCAAGCAACTTGACATCAGTGAAGAGACCTTATCCCAAGAGCCACAGCAACCGCTGTTTAAACTGGAAATAAAAAATCCGAATTTATTTTCAATAGCACAACATGGTTTAGCGCACGGCGAGCACCTACCTTAACCAGCTTGAGGTAACCTTCCATGTCATTGTTCCTTAGCAGCTCCACCTTCTGCCTTTGCAATTTCAGCTGCTCCTCTTCGTATTTTCTCTTCTTTTCCTCATGAAATTCCATAACTTTCTGGCATGTCAGCAATCGTGTCTCTGCCTTCACCTCAGCTGCCTTGATCATGATTTCCCTGGCACAAGTTAAACAAGAAGGTTAAGCATTCAACGTCCAGCGTACACATGGTGGCTCAAACAGACAAATCTGCAACAGAAGAAACACAGACGTGGTACCTCTGTTTGACAATATTGCCAAGGAAAGCCTCGATGGCTCGCTTCTTGCGTCTGCAGGCAATTTTCGTTTTCCATTCTATCCACCTTGACTTCAAAGCAGACACGCCCTCTGCTGCTGGCGGCAACACTTGAACGCCTTCAGTATTCGGACTCGTCCCTTTGGGAGCATCCTTAGATCCGCATTTGGACTTCGCACTGACAGCTTTACCTTTTCCCAAAACTTTGTTCCGCTGCGAGGTCCTCCTTTGGCCAGCATCGTCGTTAGGTTCCTTTTTTGCTCCCTCAAGACCAGCCTTTTCATATTTTGGAACCCAGCGTTTCCAGAGGTGGAGAAGGCTTCGATTGTGGAAGCTGAGCCTAGGCATGCACAACAGCAGGCCGGAAGCGAGCTTGAAGTCTAGCACAATGTCCCTGCATAAGACCACTGTCAATCCCAAGGTCCCAAAAGGCTATGCTTAAGATTTCGCATTGTAACAGCGGATCCGCTGCTTACCGTATTATTTGCTGCTGAAATTCCAGAAAGCGTTCCTTATGCGGTTTGGGAATGGAGGTTATGAGACGCAGATGGTCTTCCGGAAGTAAGTTTCCTTGAGACCGCGTCGAGCAGCTGGGAATGTTGGCACGGATAGTGCTCTTGCAAGTCTTGCTGTCTTTTTCCCCAGGAACATCGGCGGGCTCTTGCTTGACTTTCGCCTTTGACTTGGATTTTGCATTTGGCTCAGGATTCTTCTTGTTTTGTGCCTGGGGTTGTTTCTGCACATCAGTCAATGTAGCCGTTTAGCACAGTACGGTACGAATTTCGGAGCCTGACGCTGCGACAAGTAGCTCACATTTTTCGTCGTCTTCTTTGACGGCGGTTCCAGTGCGGATGATATTCTGGACGACAACCTTCCTTTGCACTCTTTCTCCAGCTCTGTAATTTCCAGTGAAAACTTGTTAGCATCCCACATTGCTGGCTGTCGCCGGGTGCATTCAACTTCAAGGAGCAGTGGCTGCTAAGTCCGTGAGTCATTACCTTTCGCTTGGTTCCGCGAAAGCCTTGGGAGCCGGCGTAAAGCCAATGCGAGGTCTGCGCGTGGCGGAACCTTTCCCTTCCTGAAACACGGAAAACTATTATATGCACTGTAAGCTTCATCATTCTGGTGTTAAGGCCAAGCAAGTACCTGAATGCTATCCACACATTTATCTGAGCTCGAAGCTGGCCAAGAGCATAGATGCTCATGGGAGATTCCTTCTCGTTTTCGTCCATCGTGACTCTCTGGCGCTGGATATCGTTTCAGCGAGATTCAAAGCAGCTAAGTCGGAACTAAGAAGACTGGACACTTTTGGAGCAAGGGAAGCAGAAAGGTGAGCGGGATCACCGAGCTTCCCGAACCGACTCCTCGACATTGACGAGGACGAGCTGTATTTGCCGCAAATGCGAGAGGTTCAGGGTTGCGTGCGCATTCTTTGCTTGTGTCAGCAAGAAATGACACGGGGATCAGCTCATCCTCGAGTTCTCCTTCTAATCAACCCGACACATTACTCCAAGAGAACACGCCCTATTAATTGTGAGAGCTTTATGTGTTTTTTGGCAACTATTTGCATGGGCCTTCCATCTAAAGGTGTATTACGTGTAGGAAACGTATAATCAACTGGAAAGCATAATGTATTGACATATTTTCAGAAACATACAGCGAATTCTGTTGAATTGTGTTGTGAGTGTTCTTTCGGAACTTCAAATATTGGAGGGAAGGATTCTGGTCGGCTGCTGCCATCGTGGACAAATGAATGCCGTCAGTTAGAAAGCAACTCTTTCCCTGTCCAACTCACCCATCCACCCATCACACCCCTGCCACGCGATCTGCACCCTGCACTTTCGCGCCACACCGTTCGAATTCCACGAGCCGCCATGCCTTTCTCCCGCCACGCCCCACAAGCACAGCGACGCTTGCAGTGTCGCGAGGAAGTTCCTCAAACACATGGACAAGGTTACCGTTTTCGCAAAGCTCGTCTCGCTATGGCGAACATCGCAAGTCAGAGTATACGAGCCGCACAATGACATCAATCCATGGAGCGGATCGAGTTCCATCCAAGTTAGAAATCTATGCTGCATTTCACCTCTCCAATTCTCCCCAACACCGTTTTCGTACCGACTGCTACTATACTGTGCGAGTCCGTTGCACCTTACTCCTAACTGGTGCTCTGTTGCCATCGGGAGCCTTCCATAATTTCTCGTCGCTCTCCTCTGGAGCGCGTACCTGTCGAGGTGATACCACCGTCTGGCGCGACGCAAATAACTTTAGTAATGTTAAAAATATCTCGGGATTCCACGACGAGTAGTGGCCCCAAGGAGGAATCACAGGCACCGTGGTTGACTTTTCGATTGACTTAGCTCCAAGCAAGCAAATGCTAACGGACCAAATTGAAATGAATAAGGCAGCCTTCAGTAGTAACCAGACCATAGACACCGTGCCGCGCTGGTCAGCCCCTTCGCGCAGCCTTACCGTCGTTCCGAGGTAATCCTAATAAGAAACAAATCAGATTGCATAGTGATTGTTCCAAACCCGTAACCTCACCTTATCCTCTACGTAAGCGCTCCGGCAGAAAGCTAGACGCTCTCGATGATGACATGCGTACGGCGTGATCGAGCAATAGGGATTTTTCTTCTAGTATCGTCCGTCCTCTCTTCACTACCCTACTTCGGCCATCCTCCCTACGCTATACTCCTGGCCTCCGCTCAGCCAATCATAAGTCAGGTTGTAGCTGGCACAGACGGCAACTTCGCAGTGCAGATTACGGTGCGGGATGTTGCCGGGGCTGTAGCAGCTGACGTGGCAGACCTGCGGCTCGTGTGGTCCAACGGCACGGCAATCTGGGAGGGCAAGGAGTATGGCGACAGGTGGCAGCTGAGTCCAGGTGTCACGATCACGCTGTGCCACGGTGGTGGGTCGCTTATCTTGGAACGACTATGCGACATCGTAGTCGAGGTGCGAGGGTGACATCAAGACTTTTCAACGTGCCGCTCATTTCTGAACGACACTCAATGTCGCTGGCCGCTCACCTAATCTCTTGACTCGTGACTTATCTTCGGTCTTATTTCTTCGCGTATGGCATGTCCCAATACAAGCTCCATTCTTCCCGTCCTCTCTCTTAATCTCCGCCCACCCGCTCCTTCGGCCTCGCGCAGTCGCTTCGCTTCGGCCCCTACGTGTCGTTCAACCTGCTCTGGCAGCCTCCGGATCGAGCCCCCACCAGAGACATCGTGAGTAACCTTGTTTGAAAACGTGCCTCTAAAAGAGTCGCAGATTAAAAGCGTGTCCAAAGGCTAGTTGGTGCTTGAGAAATATAAAAAAACCAGCTCGCTACCTGACAGAAGACGACGACGGGGAAAGAGACGGAGAAGGAAACGGAGAAGGAGAAGTTGGGGAGGGGTTGGCGGGGCACAGGAGACGTGAGAGGAGTGGCAGGGTGCTGAAAATCGTGACGCATGGAATGCTTGTGACGAGGGCGTGTGGCGAGGGCGTGTGGCGAGGGCGTGTGGCGAGGCGTCCCATGGCAAGTAGGCTGGAGGCGAGGCGGTCGAGAAGTTCGTAGGATGGGCCGCTCGTGAGAGGACATCCGCCTGCTGAAACGGAGAAATTCGTTTCAGCACGCGTCCCCCTTCGTTTGTCCTCCTCGTCTCTCCTTACTTACTCTTTCCAACGCTCTCCCCCGCTCTTCCGCTCATCTCTCACTTCCCTCTTCCTCGGCTCCGCTCTTCCTCCGCTCACCTCATCCGCCCCTACCGTTCTCCTTCCAGTTTGGTCGAGCAGCTATCCGGACCAAATCTTCTCCCGGCGGCGCCGCCGTCGCCGCCGCCGCCGCAGGCGGCGAGAGCTCGCGTCTCGCGTGGTGGGGCATCGACTCCAAGTCGGAGAGCAGCAACCGCGGCCGAACCGCGGTGCGGGCCGCGCACGCCGCGACGCCCTTGGTCAACTGGACGGCGCCGGAGCGCGACTGGACGCTACTTTCCGCGAACCTAATGCTGTCGGGCGGCGTGGTCCTTAATCTCGCCGACTGTTCCTCCGCCGGATGCGCTAAGCTGCCGGCGTTCCCGCTGTCCCCGTGCGGCCCCACCGGCCCCGCCGTCTCCCCCGTTGACTCCAGTCGCACCATGAGCTTCGGGTAAGCGCAGCACGGAGGAAAAAAAGGGGGAAAGTGGGGGGCGGAGGGGGAAAGAGGGGGGAGAGGGGAAGGGACTCCAGACGCACCATGAGCTTCGGGTAGGCGCAGCACGAAAAGAAAGGGGGAAATGGGGAGGGAAAAGGGGAAGAAAAGGGGAGGGAAAAGGGAAAGTAAAGGGGAAGGAAAGGGGGAAGGAAAAGGGGAAGGAATAGGGGAGGGAAAAGAGGAGGGAAAAGGGGAGGGAAAAGGGGAGGGAAAAGGGGAGGGAAAAGGGGAGAGAAAAGGGGAGGGAAAGGGGGAAGGAAACGTCCAAGGAAGTGAATCTTGCCCTCCCTCGTCTCATCATTTCTTCTTCCCTCTTAACTCCTTTCTCCTGTTGTTTCCTTTGCCTTCCCTCCCCGCCCCGCCCCTCTCAGCCTTTGGTCCTTCGACTCTCGCCCCATGCCTTGCAGAGGTGAGCGCGCCTCTGCTGCTTCTCGTGCCGTCCCCTGTCGCTCCCTGACTTTCCGCACCGCTCCGTGCGCGTCTGTGCCATCTTTGCGCCGCTCTGCCATTGCTTCATGCCCTGCCCCGCCCTCGTCCTCGTGGGGCCAGTCGTCTTCGTTGCCCCTCGCCCACCCATGCATTCCCTTCGCCGTGCGCACCCCCTTCATCCATGCACGCGTCTTCCGTCCCATGCCGGTTCCCCCGATTCCCATGCGTCTTTTCGTCCTCGTCGTCCTCCGTCCGTTCGTGCTTCGCGTCCCCGAAAGTCAGCTCCAGTGTCGCGGCGAACCGCGGAGAAGATGTGCGGCGGGGCGGCGTCCTCACATGTTCCCGTTTCCCTGTTCTGCTACCCCAACCTCCCCGCCTTCCCGCCCTGTCCACCTGTCATGAGCAGCCGCGTGTCCCACGCTTGAGACCTTGCTGAGGCGCGGCTCGCCCTTCATCCGGAAATCACGCGGTGAGATGCCTGTGCTGGTGCACGCACGCAAACACGCACGCACGCACGCACGCGCCCTTCCAACCATCTTTGCCAACCAGAGCTCTTCCCGTGCCTGGAAGCTAACCACCCTGCCATCGTGCCACAAAACCGCCTCAAGAGCTCATGCCGCACCGTGCACGGTGCGGTGCGGGAACGCTCTTGCCGCACCGTCCCCTTCCGCGCTCCCGCTCCTTCCCCCCCCGAGTGCACGTGTGCGCGTTGAGCGGACTCACGGACAGCGGCACGGTGCACGTTTCCCCCAACTCACCATCTCTTCGCCTCTCACTGGTCCCTCTTCTTTCCCCCTCCCGTTTCCCCCTTCCCCTTCCGCAGTGCACGTGTGGGCGCTGACCGGGCTAACGGACTGCGGCACGGTGCACCCCAACCCGCCATCTCTTCTTCCCTCACCAGTCCCCCTTCCCCCCTTCCCCCCTTCCCCCCTTCCGCCTCCGCAGTGCACGTGTGGGCGCTGACCGGGCTAACGGACTGCGGCACGGTGCAGCAACTAGCGAATCAGGCCAGCAGCGCAACCTTCCCCAGATTCGGCCGGTAGGGGGACGGGAGAAGGGGGAAAGGGGGGGGGGGGGGAAGGGAGGTGGCGGAGGAGAAAGTGGGGGTGAGGGAAGAGCGGAGGGAGAGAAAAGGGATGGGGCAAGGGATAAGGTTAGCAGCGCAACCTTCCCCACGGTCGGCTGGTCGGGGGAAAGGGGGAGGGGAAAAGGGGGAGAGGGCGAGGGTGAGGGGGAGAGGTGGAGGGAGGGGGAAGGGGTTGCGGATGGGATCAGGCGAGCAGCGTGGTATGAAGGGGCTTGAGGTGTCTACAGACTCTACACAAGCCGACTTTTGAGTCGACTCAAAAGTCACAGCGTAGTATGAGGGAGCTTGAGGTGTTTGAACTAGTGCTTTGAACACAAGCCTTGTGTTTGAACTAGTGCTTTGAGACGTCACAAAACACCACTTCAAATGCGTGGCGAGCAGCGTAGTATGAGGGAGCTTGAGATGTCTAGACACTCAACACAAGCCTTGTGCCCTGTCACCTCTGTCACCTCTGTTACCTCTGTTACCTTTGTTACCTCTGTTACCTTTGTTACCTCTGTTACCTCTGTTACCTCTGTTACCTCTGTTACCTCTGTTACCTCTGTTACCTCAAGCTGAGGGCACGACAGACAACGGAGGGACACGACACGACAGGTCACAAGGCTGCTCCCTGAATGCAGTGTCCCCATCGCCTCACAATCCAGTGTCCCTGAATTCTCGCCTCCCTCCAAGTTCCCCACTCCCCCCATACCCTCCACCGATCCCCACTCCACACTTTTCCCCTGACCTCCCGCCGTCCTCCCCCCCTCCGCCCCTTCTCCAGCTACCGCGCGTACCAAGTGGCGGAGCAGCCCGCGCCCACGCCCACGCCCGCGCGCCTGAACGAGTCGGGGCGAGCCAGGTCACAAGGAGAACAATGGAGAGACAAGACAGGACATCCTTACCCGTCCCCTCTCGTCTCCTCCCTTCCCTTTCTCTCCTTCCCCTTCCCCCCTCCCTCCTCCCCCCCCTCTCTTCCCCCCACCAGCTACCGCGCGTACCAAGTGGCGGAGCAGCCCGCGCCCACGCCCACGCCCGCGCGCCTGAACGAGTCGGGGCGAGCCAGGTCACAAGGAGAACAATGGAGAGACAAGACAGGACATCCTTACCCGTCCCCTCTCGTCTCCTCCCTTCCCTTTCTCTCCTTCCCCTTCCCCCCTCCCTCCTCCCCCCCCTCTCTTCCCCCCACCAGCTACCGCGCGTACCAAGTGGCGGAGCAGCCCGCGCCCACGCCCACGCCCGCGCGCCTGAACGAGTCTGGGCGAGCCAGGTCACAAGGAGAACAATGGAGAGACAAGACAGGACATCCTTACCCGTCCCCTCTCGTCTCCTCCCTTCCCTTTCTCTCCTTCCCCTTCCCCCCTCCCTCCTCCCCCCCTCTCTTCCCCCCACCAGCTACCGCGCGTACCAAGTGGCGGAGCAGCCCGCGCCCGCGCGCCTGAACGAGTCGTGGCGCTCGCTGCCCCTCGCGCTGATGGCGCTGCACGCGCCGCTGGGCGCGCTGCCGCTGCAGAGCACGGTGGAGGCGGAGCGCTACCCCATCCCCGACTCCGCGTGCGGGCTGCCCGCGGGGCAGGCGGGGAAGACCCCCCCGCCCACGCACTTCGTCTCGCAGTGAGTCGCAGGTTTCGTCTCGTTCTCTGGTGAGGATCCGTATCGATCTGTGTGTGTGTGTGTGTGTGTGTGTGTGTGTGTGTGTGTGTGTGTGTGTGTGTGTGTGTGTGTGTGTGTGTGTGTGTGTGTGTGTGTGTGTGTGTTATGCTCCTTGTAGATTGCTTGCTTACTTGCGTGTCTCATTTGCTCTGCTCTGCTCTGCCCTCCCTCCTCTCACCCCTCAGTTTCTCCGTGGCAGGAGTGCGGTTCGCAGTGGTGGGCGTGTACATGCTGCTGGGGAGTGTCCTTCCGGGACAACATACTGGAGATGGGTGTTTCAGGCGCCATACAATCCCGGCCTTAGCGCCACTTGCCAAACTCCCTCCCCTACCCTCTCCTCCCTGTCGTCCTCCTTTTCCCTACTCTGCAGCTTCTCAGTAGCAGGGGTGCGGTTCGCAGTGGTGGGAGTGTACATGCTGCTGGGAGTGTCCTTCCGGGGCAGCCTGCCGTGCGCCATCAGGGAGGCGCAGGCAGTGGCCATGGCGCGCGTGGTGCGGCGGCTGCTGCTGCGCGGGGAGGAGGTGGTGGTCATGGGCACGTTCAACGACCTCGATGGGGACCTCTCTGCTGTGAGTCGCGTTTCTTTGCCGGCGATATTATTGCTTCTCTGCGCTCCTTTTGAGCTGCGCGGGGAGGAGGTGGTGGTCATGGGCACATTCAACGACCTCGATGGGGATCTCTCCGCTGTGAGTCGCGGTCCGTTGCTTTATCGGCGCTCTTTATCGGCCTTGAGCGCTCCTTTAGTCCTGCTCGTTTAAACTTGTGTGGCCTTGTGCGGGAGTGTCTGCTGTGTGGCGTCGATTCAGGAAGAGAATCCATACAGGAGGTTGCATGCTTGCTTCCATCCATACATCCCTCCCTCCCTCCCTGTCTGTCTGCCTGCCTGCCTCCCTCCATCCCTCCCACCTGTGTATCAGAATCTGGATGTGGAGAATCTGGACCCGATGTCGCGAAGCGCACAGATGATCAAGGTCAGAGTTGACTTATGACTCGACTTGAAATTCAACCCAATCATCCATCCACCATCCCCCCTCCCACCCACCCGCCCATCATCAGGATTTGGATGTGGAGAATCTGGATCCAGTGTCGCGAGTCATGCAGATCATCAAGGTCAGCGCTTCCCATTCTGCTGCTGCTGCACACATCCCATGATTCATTGCCTCACTGCTTTTGAAATGAGAACCGTTTGTCCTTTCCATGTTTCATTGTTTTTCTAAGCTCGAAACCTTACACGTCTTTTTACTATTTTCTTCCCTGCTCCTCACCGCCACCCTGCCGCCTCCCCTCGCTCTCACTCGCCGACCTATCACAGGACGCCACGTCAGAGCGTCTGATCAACGTGGCGGCGGCGCTACCGTCTGAGAAGCGCCAGATAGCGGCACAGCAGGTAGGGGAGATGTGAAGTGCTGGTAAACTCAAGCGTCACTGCCCGGTTACGGACCGGCCTTTTTTCTGTCCAATTTGTCGAATAACGCAGACGAACTTCACCTTGACATTGCAGCACCTAACTGAATCCATCAGCGTGCAACAATTCTCTCCGCGCACACACACAAACACACACACACAAACACAAACACCCTTCATCTCCCCCCCCCCCCCCTTTTTTTTCCTTCTTCTCACAGACCAACTTCATATTGATATCGCAACACCTGACTGACGCCATCAGTGTGGAGATGCCACATGTGGTACGAGGCATGGCGTGTGCACGCATGCATGATGAGGCATAGCGGGTGAATGGCAGGAGGCTTGGCTTTTGTTCCGTTTTTCAACTATCTCACAGCATGTACTATCATGGTGCTGGGTTAGGTGCTCTTACTCCTCCATCATCGTTATTCCAGGAGACGTTTCCCCAGTTTGCTCTCCAATTTTGCATGGTGGCTTCTGTGCTACATGATGTATGGATCTGAACACTGGTTCGCAACTGCTTTACTTCCCCTTTTCCCGCGTCTGTCCTTACTCCTTTATTCCCCCGCCGCTTCTCTTCTCTCTCTTCTTCCGTCTGAGCAGAAAGGCATGCCCTACAATCCAGTCATTTTGAAGCTGCGGCTACAGCAGCGACAATACCACTCTCTCCCCACTCCTCCTCACTCTCCCTCTCGCACCCCGCCCGCGATTGTCATTCAAAAACCCGTTCCGGGTTCCAACTCCTCTCAAATAAACACCAGCGACGGCACCAGCGATGGCAGCAGCGGCAACGAAGGAAGCAGCAACAGCAGTGGTAGCAGCAGAAACGCAACTAGAGCGGATGGGTCACATCTGAATTTCACCACCACTAACATCACGACAACCAGCAACAGCAGCAGTTCTGCTGGTGCTGCTGGTACCAGCAGCAACAGTACACTCACCAGCGATTCCACCTCTGCTAATTCCTCTGCGTCGGCACCGACCACAGCAGCAGCGGCAGCAGCAGATTCTGCTGATTCGTCCTCAAGAGTAGGAGCGGGGGAGAATGGTGCTGCTGGTGGTGACAACGGCAGTGGCGAGAGCAGCAGCCAAGAGAGTGCAGGATTGAGCGGAGGAGCGGTGGCAGCGATTGTCTTTTTTGTTATCATTGGATTAGCTATTGGTGCTGCTGCCGCTTTCTGGTGGCTCGGGGGTGCGAAGCTGCTTCAGAAGGAGTCGTTTAAGCGTAAGGGCATGAGCATGTTCGTTGTGGGTGCTGGTAAACACTGGAAGCTGGGAAAGAAGAAAGGGCATGGAGGAGGAGGAGGGATAGGGGGGGATGGAGATGGGGGGTCTGAAAGTGGGGAGCTGGCAAAGGAGGAGGGGGTTGGATACAGTGGGGAGGACAGTGGGAAGGATGGGGAAGCTGCAGGGGTAAAGCCTAAGAAAAAGTCGTTCATGTCGGGGTATAAAGTGTGGAAACCCATGGATGCGTCGCGGTTTGTGCCATCTCGGCCAGTCATGGCGCCTCCCTTCCAGAGCTTCCTTACGTCTCAACCGGGATCTCCAATCATTGATAACCCCGTTCCACTCTCCCGGAGGGCAAGGTGGGATGATAACGATGATGATGACGATGATGATAACTGGAGCCCTCCGCGATTCGCTCTCCTGGAGCCACGCACTGGCTTGAGGGAATTTAGCCAATAGTACAGCCTTGGGCTGGGAGGGGTTTGTTGCATGCAGCACCTAAAGGCGCCCGCGTGTTACTTACAGTTCTTTGGCTTTTACGTCCAAAGGCCTGCTGATTATTAGGACAAGTAGGGATCATACTGGAACACTCGATGGCTGGTGCTTCTTACACCGCCAATGGTGATGTCATAGTATCTGTTTTCGAGTCCTTTATCAGTATCGGTATGTACTAGCATACCATATTCCATTATCATGGATATCGACTGTGAATGTATGCATTCCCTTAATGTTTTACGTTCTATACAAATAAGTATCCTTAACGAATTTATCCAGATCGATGCATATGGCGAAGGCAGCCTCACCAAGGCTATTGCCCTGGCTTGGCTCCAACCGAGCAAAGTTATATCGTTTTGAGGTATATTCTGTATGTTCACCCCTTCACCCCTTTTCGCTCTGTCAGTTCCACGCTGTCAGCGTGGGTTGGACAGATGGCTCAATCTTGTCCCGGAGATCGGGGCAACAATTGGCCTACAATGGACCATGGGAAGCAGTACCACTCACCCTTATCTGGGACGAACTGCGTGTCTCGGTTCGGTTGGCTCTGACAGTCCCGTGTGCTTCTGGCGGAAGCCATGGCCATGTCTTTGCTCGGCGCCGTGTTGGCATCTTGCTGACCAAGAGCCAATCAATCAGACTTTAGCAAAGTCCATTTTTTTGACGTGGATCTGGCGTGGCGTCATCTGCGACTAGTCGCTTCGGGTGGTATCGACATGACATTCTGCTGGCAAGGGGATGATGCATCCCGGCGCGCCTTGCTGAAGTTTCGTGAAGTTCGTCAATGTCGAATCTTTACAGACACCGTCCACGCCAGCAGTAGACGCCCTGGTCAGATATATTATTCCTGGTTACTCATGAGTAACTTCTAGAACCAAAGGCCCTCCCCTGGTTTCCAGGTGGAAAATGCATGAACCTCCAACTCAGCCCCAGAGCTGATTTTGGCAGTTTTGTCCTTTCTTCTTCCTCCTTGTGTACATGTAGGAAGAATTAAAACTGTACCGTATACACGATGGAAAGAGCAGCTACAGAAAACATGTCACAGGGGGTACGACATCGACGGTGGAAGAAACCGAACGAGACCCTGCATTCTCTTGGGAGGGTGATTGATGGGTTGGTGCCGCACAGCCAGCAGATTGATCACAACCAAGCCGCTCAACATCAAATGTTTTGCGTACCGCACCCCCTGGAACCAGACCACACCACATCCCATCCCATTAACAGACCCTCGCCGTCAGTCACACGGCCACACCTCACTGTCCTGGACAGTCTAGCCGGCAGAAAATGTGCTGATTGGCCAGGATTACAGTTTGCCGAAATCGCGCTCTCCTTTCATTCGCTGTCTTATTCAAACTCGCCATCAGCTTTTCCCGAAAGCTCTCCCGCCGAATCTCCCAACCTCGACCTCGACATAATCTACGGCGGCTTGGAACAACTCAACCAGACTCAAGCGAGATCATAGCATTTCGCGTTCCCAAACGAGTGTGTGCGAAAGTGTCGCAAGCAACAGTTACTGTACACTCCGAAAACGCCTCGTTTGCGAAGTGTGGTAGTGTGCCTACATATGCGACACGTTATCCGAGCTGACGTGCCTCGGCGACATCGACTCGACGACGCGACGAGAGACGACGAGACGAACCTTCAATTCAAGCCTCCATCCATTCGCCAACTTGACGTTCACAACTCAGGCGCCATATTTCTCATTCCCTTCCCTGCATTCCATTGCCTTGCAGCCACTCCCCCCATCTCCTTATCTTCACAAATTTCCAGCACCACATTTCTGCTCGATTTCTGCTCGCTCTCACACATCACTACACCTCTATCAGCTGAATTTCGCTCCAGGGTCCAGGCCTAGCGGTACTTCGGAGAGACGTTCTGGTCTTTCAGACAACCTTCACATTCGCAGCAACCCTAATCTTCGTCATTCGCTCATAGCTCCCTGTCAGCATGCCAGCGACTCCGTTTCGCCCTCCCAGCCCCATTCTCCGACGTCCAGGCTCCAACCTAAGAGTAGCCATCCCTTCCGCCACCCAATGCCGGCCATGGACGAATCAAGGCGCGCAGGCTATATCCATGGCCGACTCGGGTCGCGACCTAGCAGCGGGGTGCGTCCACCGTCCAGCGTCACCGAGACTCGTCGCACGACCAGCCCCCCCGCTCCTATCAGCGCCACCGTCTTCCCCACGCGTCTCTGCCAGATTAGCCTCGCCGCGCGTGGCGACGCGGCCAGCCCCTCTAGAGAGTGATCGTCATACGACACCGACACAGCCGCCTCTAGAGGAACCGTTACAGCACCAGCTACATCAGCCGCTACAGCCGCCGCTCCCGCTACAGCACCCGTTCGATCTCCCGCTACACTCACAAACCGTGGTCCCTCCTGGCGTGCTGGTCGATAATTTCCCGCAAAATCCGGTTCTCGAGCCAGAGGGCGTGAGTCCCGAGGATGAGCTTGCTGCTGTAAGAGTAACGGAAACTATGGAAAGGGTCAGCTTCAACGACGGTGCTTCGACAGATGACATCAGTAATAGTTCGATCGAGAACAGTGCTAACGGTCGCGCTGCCGTTACCCACACGCACAGCCCGCGACGCTCGCGCACTCGCGTTGCGACGTCGCCTACGCGCGCGCGATCCGCGTCGCAACTGGAGTGTTTCCGCGTGCTGGGAGTGTCTCGCACCGCCTCGCTGCAGGAGATACGCGTCGCGTACCGCTCGCTTTGCCGAAAGGTTCGTTTCTCGCGCCAACTTTCCTGATCTCTTGCGTACTGCCCTGCCCTCTCCGGCGCCTGCGCTCTTCACGCTTTCGTGTTTTACCAAACCACCGTCTTCTCGAGGCACTCCGTCTCTCCATTACGGCTGTCTTACTCTCGTGCTGCCTATCCTTCAACATAACAGCATCGCGTTGTCCCTGTCCTCCTGCGTTTCCTAATCGTCACCTCTCGCTTCCTTGTCTCGCGCCATTTCCCTTCGCGTGCCTCTCGCTCCCGCAGTGGCATCCAGACGTGAATAAGGACGCGGGGGCAGCCGCCATGTTCGTCGACGTCAACCGAGCGTACGAGGTAAGCCAGTCCTTGTCGTTTCTCCTCCGTTCGTGCCTTCTCCCGCTTCGATCTTGGAGGAAGCCAGTTAGAACGGATATGGGGCAAGGGAGGACCGTTCTACCCGGCCGATGGCAGAAGCTCCCAAGGTTATGCGTCTCTGCGTCTCGGTATTTCGCGCTGCGCCTTTCCCCGTCCGAACAAATAGCGGTGATCTCTCACCTTGTTCCTGTCCCTACTTGAAACTCTGATAACGCGGCCACCAAACATCATCAACTCAGTTCCCTGTTTCTCCGCGCCTGTTGCGCTCTACCTCCCCGGCTGTCCTTACAGGCAGCGGTGCAGGCACATGAGAAAGCGAGCAAGGCGAAGCCGCAACGGCCAGCGAGGAGAAAAGACGATTTTGACGAGTTCTGGGACGACTTTCTGGGCGGCAAGTCGTCCGCTCCCAAGGCGGATCCGCGGCGGAAAAGACAAGGCATGAAACAGGGCCCTGGTGGGGGAGGGGAGAGAATGAGAGATCCCTTAGCGTGGTGAGGTAGTGAGAAAGAGGAGGATGGCGAAGAAGCAGAACAAGGAGATTCGATGAACAGATGGAGTATTGCTAACAGGAAGACGGTGGATGGAGTTATATTCTTAGGTGTGTCGGCATGGTGATATGGAGGATGAGATGGTGGTGACAGAGCTCCTCCATGCCTTCACCATGTACCATACATGGCAGGTGCTGGTGCAACATTCTTGTCACCGTATTAGTTCTTGTGGCTGTGACAACGGAATGTTGTATGATCTAGTTCCTCCTGTAAAATCTATATTATTCAATGTACAGTCCTTCGTAAAACAAAATATGGAGGTTTGATAAAACAGCAGATTGTAGTGAAGTACATCAAAACATCATTCGGTATTTCCCCTATTAGTACACCCACATCCTCAGTACACTCCCCTCTTTCTCCGTTTCCCCGTGAGTGGTGCTGCATACCACGAACTGTTTTTCCAAACCTCCGCATTTGCTGCCAGCTCTGCTCTGGTGCAACTTCACAAGTTCATTCGAGGAATCCAACGCGCTGACGTGCCATTCCACGTCAGACGCGATGCTGAGCGAGGCAACCTCTTATTCCTCGATCGCCAATCTTCTCACAGCTTCTACCTTCAGTCGGCGAGGTATTCCCGCCAAAAGCGCGCGTCACGCGACAGAGCGCAGCGGTCCCAGCGCTTCACCAGTCCTCGACGTGTCTTCGCCGCTTTGCTGCCGTGGACTCCGACCAATTCGCTGTAGTAACATCCCTAAAAGTGGAATTCGGCTCGAACAGCCAAACTCTCACAGTAATGAGGTCAAAGCAGCGGGAAATGCGGCAAGGAACGCGGCAGACACTGCATCCCTTACTTCGCAGAGCGAGCACTCGCAAGAGCGAAAACCGGATACGGAACCGGTGTCCGCGTTAGAATGGGCTTCTGTATTGTTACAGGACGGATCGCGACGGTGTCTGGTTGGATTGCTGCTCTTCCTTGCACTTTTCGCTCCCCCCTACGTCCCGGCTACATCCGCAGCAGCAGCAGCAGCGGCGGCGGAAGACAGTGTTCCAACAGAAGCGCCAGACTTCTCCGCCGTTCCCCCCGCGCGCAGGTCTCCCCAACCGCGCGTGGTGCTCCCCCCGCCGCCGTACCTGCGCGCGGCGGACGTCGCGGCGGAGCGCGCGGCGTTTGAGTCGCGCGTGGATAGGGCAGTGCGCACACTGGAGGAGGGGCGGAGTGCGCAGGCGGAAGGTCGATGGGAGGACGCCTTGGCGCTCTACACAGAGGTGCGCGCACACGCATGGGGGAGGTGCGCGCGCACGCAGCGCACTCGCTCATACCTGCTGCTACAGTCGCGGGCTTAAATGCTAGCGCTTTTTGCTTGGCTTGAATCGCTGCTTGCTTGCTTGGGTGTAGGAAACAGCAGAGATGAGAGTGTCTCTCAGGTGAGAGTGCATTTGGTTCCACCTTCACCTTACAGCCACACCTCCCTCTCCTCTCCTCTCCTCTTTTCTCCTCTCCTCTGCTACCCTCCCCTCTCCTCCTCTTCCACTCCCCTTTTCTTCTCCTCTCACATCCCCCCCCTTCCCCTCCCGTCGCCTCCCCTCTCGCCTCAACCTGCCAGGTGCAGGAGCGATACCCAGACCTGCCACTATCAGTATACGGTTGGCGGTTTTCTAGTCGACTCAAAATAACTTCCTTCCCCTCTCTCATCTCCTCCCCTCTCCTACCTGCCAGGTGCAGGAGCGATACCCGGACCTGGAGCTGTCAGTATACAGTAAAGCGGGGTGCGCCTGTTCCCCCACTCCTTCACTCACCTCTTCTCCGTCTCCTCTCCTCCTCCCCTCGCCTCGCCTTGCCTCTCCTCCCTACCAGGTGCAGGAGGAATACCCAGACCTGGCGCTGTCAGTATACGGTAAAGCAGGGCGCGCTCTTATGGAGTACCAAGTGGGTGACCTGCGCACGGCGGTTACCCGGTTACGAGTGCTCAGCGTGGAGTTCAAAGGTTACCCTGGTGGGTGCACTGTGCATGCATGTGGTCAGTATGCTTGTATGAATGCACTATGCGTACTGTATTCATGCATGCATGGGTGCACTAAACATGCGGCATGCGTGTATGATACATGAATACATACATGAGAGTACAGTTGGGTGTATGCTTTTCTTGCATCCGTGCTCTAGAATCCGCACCCATGAAATGCATTCACTTCTGGGCCAGACCCAGACCCATAAATTGCATCTAATGGCCATGGCAGCATGCTCACATCACGTACCCACACTCATCTGATCTTGCCTGCTCCACTGCTACTGTAACCCCGCTCCCAATACCCCCTGCCCGACATACATTCCCTTCCAATCTGCCTCACCCTACTTCCCCTCCCAACATCCCTCCCCCAGAGGTGCATGCAGCACAGTATTTGGAGGGGGGGACAGCAGCAGCAGAGAGACAGTTCAACGTCACCACTCTCCTGTGCCCTGCCCTATGTTCCCGTCGCTATCCACTGACCTATTTCCCGCTCCTCCCCAACCCACTATCCTCCACCAGAGGTGCACGCAGCACTGGCAGCAGCGCTATACGTGGAGGGCGGGGCAGCAGCAGCAGAGCGCCAATTCACCATCGCCACGCTCCTTGATTCCCGCTTCTCCAACCGTGCATGGCTGGAGTCGGAGCGACACTGGCCGCCCACCCTGCTGCTGCACATGAAGCGTTTCCTGCTGCTGCAGTGACGCATGGCATGATGTGTGTGTGTAATGTAAACCCGAAACTCTACCAATCCATGTGGACGCGATTCGATGTCTCTGCAGTGTTGAGACTTCTAGAATCTAGATCGAGTCACATGGCTTTGAGTCGGACAGACACTGGCTGCTAAATAGGCTGCTGCACTGCACACCGAACGCTTCTTTCCTCTGCAGTTGTGTAGACCGATGTGGAGACATACGGTATTGAAACTGGTAGTGTGACAGATACGCAATATTATAAAATTTAAACACACATGGTGTTTTAAAATTGTGTATTGTGAAAGCGAAGCTGCTTGTACTGCACATTTGGCATTGTCGAAGCGCGCTAAACGCCCTCCACCCACGTTTCTCTATTTCCAACGGCTCATTACCCATTTGCAAAGAGAACGATGCCAAATGATAAAAACAAGAAAGCAAGCTTTCTCAATATGCACACATGCGAACATGCCACACAATAATTCCATGTCCTGCCGCCCACCTCCCGCACATTCCACACCATCTGTTGCATGGAACATCAGTCTTGTACACTTGCAACTGGTTGAACTTTGCACGTTCACATATACAGTAGCTTCCAGGCACCTAGCACGACAGCACCAATAGCAGTGACTACTGGTACCGCATCAGGAAAGAACGGGCTTTGAAAAACTCATCACCCACACACCGAAGTGGAATGAAAACAAGACAACTGAACCGCCAAGTGAATTCGCCATAAAATTGTTACCGGTAGTTTTGTTTCTGGCCCTATTTCTCCCACACACCCTCGTCCTCCTCTTTTCTCCCAGCATCCCCCGCCATCACCCCTCTCCACAGCCCCCCACCCCCCACACCCTTTCCCCTCATCTCTTTCCCCCATCCTGCCCCGCTGCTGTTATCCGCAACTTCATCCCTTCCCCGGCCTTCCCTTCCCCTCCCTCTCCCCCTGCTCCTGCAACAGCCGCCTTCCTCTCCTCCTCCAGCAATAGAGTCTCTAAATCACTCCCATTCGCGAGCGAGTTAAACTCCACGGCCTTAGAAGGCATAGCAGGATACCTCCTCTGACACAGAGTCATGAGCCTCTTAACCGACTGCAGGTATTTCCGGGTAGTCTCATCGTTCATAATGTGCGCGACGGAGCTCGCGTGAATTTTTTCGCGGGCAGACCGCTCGTGAATACCCACCATGGTAACCCCAATGGGCCAGGGCGCGTTGCCGATGGAAAGCTTGATGTATTTATCCATGGCTGCGAGATAGTCTCTTTCCCTGCACTTCCCCACCATGTACATCAGTGCTGCCTGGATATCGTCATATAGTTGCTGTTGGAGGGGTTACACGGGGAAGAAACGAGCAGGGTGGGGGGGAAGGGCAGATGAAAAGCTTGATGTATTTATCCATGAAAGATGGTCTCTTGGCACTTCCCCACCATGTACATCAGTGCTGCCTGAATGTCGTCATACAGTTGCTGTAGGGGGGAAGGTCACGAGAGAGAGGGGGGGAGGGGAGGGAAGGATGGGGTACAGTTGCTACCTGAATGTCGTCATACAGTTGCTGTTGGGGGAGTCATGAGGTGGTGGGGGTGAATTGGGGAGCGGGAAATCGGGGGGAAGGGGAAGCGGAGGGGGGGTTAACAGGCAGAGTGGATGGTGGAGAATTTGGAGGGGAGGTTGCGAGCGGAGGATGGAGGATCGATGGAGGAGGCTGGGAGGAGGTCGAGGTCGGCACAAGGAAGGGGCATTGCAGGCCGATTGGTTGGATGGGGAATGGATGAGAGGCATGGAGTGCAAAGAGGGAACAGCATGGGGACTTGAGATTGAGACGTCTCGAAACTCTGAAGGGGGGCACACCGGAAGGGACGTCTTGAACAGCTGTTGCACTCTGTGAGGAATGGGAAAGGACGAGTTGGTTCTTGAAATTTTATCGAAAACCAACTCGTCTCTACAAACCCTATATCACCGTATATACCGTCCCTCCATGATTTCTCTTCTCCTCTCCTCTCACCTCCTTCCCTCTCTTCTCTGTTCTCCATGCATGTCACCACGGCAGAATCGAGGAGCATGAATGGACTCAAGCTTCAAAACACACCACGCGGCGACACACGGTGGACAGCGGGTCTATGCCAGACAGTCACCACCACCGCGCTCTGCTTGGAACGTCACCTCACCTCACCTCACCTCACCAACCGCAGACGCGCACATGTCGCATGCTCGCTCGCTGTACCCTGCTGTCTGCTGCATCGACACAGGAAACGCATTCCAGAACGCACCTTGCGGCGGCACATGATGAACAGCGGAGCGGATCTATGTATCTCGCGCACTGCTTATACGTAGCCTCCACCGACGCTCGCATGCTCGCTCTATCCTGCGTCTGAGTCAACTTGAGAATCAAAACGCACCTTGCGGCGGCACATGATGAACAGCGGATCTATGTATCTCGCGCACTGCTTGAAAGTCGCGACCGCGGATTTCCCCTTGACCGTCCGCCGCTCCGCCTCCGGTTTCACCTCTAACTCGTGCTGCCACTCGCGCAGCAACTTCTTAAAGAACACCAGGATTTTATCATCGTCGCACAGATCCTCCCAATTCGCGCGCATGCGCGCCGAGTCCACGTCATCCTCCTCTTCCGACTCGCCCTCGCCCTCCGCGCCGCCTCCCCCGTCCGCTCCGCCGCCGCCGTCCCTCCCCCCGTCCTCCCCCTTCCCGCCGTCCTTCTTCTCCCCGTCCCCCTTCCGCGAGTCTTTCTTCCCCCGCGCGCCCCCCCCGGCTCCCCCGCCTTTCTTAAGCTCCGCCATATCGCGCAAGAAATCGTTCTGCTGCCCTTCCAAAAGCTCCCCGTCCGGATCCACCTCCCCCGTTTTCATAACGTGCTTCAAACGAGTGAGCCGCGCCTCGTCGTCCTCGCCGAAGAGCGTTATAGGGTGCCGGAGAACGCGGAGCCGCTTAATTACCTCCGCGCGCGGGAGAACTAGCGAGTCAATTCGGTCCTCGGTCGCCTTATCGATCCCTGACCCTGACGTGCCCGCGACTACCGCCACGGATTTCGATGCGCTCGCACCGCCGCTCTTCCCGGCGGCTGTGCCGGCCCCGTTGCTTCCCGCGTCGGCTGCCTGCTGCTTGGCTCGTTTCCGCTCGCGTTCCTTCTCCTCCTCCTGCCGCAGCTGCTCGATCTTCTTCCGTTCGATCTCGCCGCGAGCGACGAATCGACGGTTGCCGAAATCGGCTTGGAACGCTTTGCGTTTCCGCTCGAGCTCTTTCTTCAACGCGTCCATGGCTACCGGCGGAGCAGAGGAGCGGAGCGGAGAGCAGAGGAGAGCAGAGCAGAGCAGAGCAGAGGTAGGAGAAACGCTTCCGGCGAAAATCCAACGCGGACAAGCCTCTTCAACAGAAGGTAGAGTTCGTTCTTTTTTTCTATTTGCGCTAGGGACTTGAAAGTATGTGGTATCTGGTAACAAGAACAGGGGCGACGGCAAGCTGCGTGGAGGTATGCAGATCGGAAGCGTGTGCGGCGGCGAAGGAAATAAGTAACTGCTACGGGACAAGCAGATAGTTGCTGGGAGAACTGCCGAATGAAGGGTCTGGTCTCGCCAATCCCAAGATGTTCAGCAACTGTGTACACGTGGCAGCATAAACGGCAGTTTCGCGAAGGTAACGAAGAAGGTAACGAAGAAGGTAAGCGAAGGAAAGGCGGGATGGATGGATGGGAGGATGTGGGAAGGAAAGGTGTGTTGGCGTCAGACAGTGGTGTCACGACGTTCGCGAGTGTGACGAGATTCGCAAACAACGTTTTTTCGTGGACATGGTTTGTGACAACGAACGAATGGAGCTGGAAGGAGGAAGTTACCCAGACTACGAACTGTTCTTTCTTGATTCGTTCGGCACAAACCTGCTCATACAAGATACAGAACGGAGAGGGCTCTGGCGACTTGCAAATTTGTGAAGTCCGCCAAGTACTCAGCTAAGAGCGGGACAAACCGCCACGAGACAAATCTTTATCAATTTCTTCTGCCCTGTTTTGTTAACATCTTTTTTGGAGCAAAACCCCCGAAGCGGGTAGGGCAGAACCAGCAATGCTTCCGCCACAAACAGGAAACTGGTTCGACCTTGCATTGCGTTCCCAGCAAGTCATATTGACCTTCCGTCCGTACCTCATTCTACTTTTCAGTGGCTAGCTTATGCGAAAGTTCAAACGTGTCTACTAGACCCGGAACTCTTGCATTCGTCAGCCGCGTCGCCTGTCGTCTTACGATTCCGTACCCATTCCGCCAGTTATAATGTCTGCTCCAGCCAGGCGCCTCGCGGCTCGATTGCCGCACCGCGAACGGCAGGAGATCGTGAAATCGTTTTTCCAGCCGGCGCTCTCCATCTCAACATCCTCTCCTTCCCTTTCCTCGCGTCCGATCACCAGATCCGTCGATCTACAACCCGCAGATCCGCAACTTTGCGCATCCACCGTCGATTCGAGTCCGGCCTGCGAGTTATTCGAGCAGCCCGCCGTGTTTCCCGGCGGATCTGGCGCTGCGTCGCGCGGGTACGAGATTCTAAGCCGAGATCCGCCATATCCGTCCGCGGTTTCAGGAGGAGGGCAGCAGCAACACCATCAGCAGCGGCAGCAAGATCACGCGCTTCCACCGCCGCAGTCCACGCTATCTCAAACCCAATCGCGTCCTCCTTCACACCTCCTCTCACTCTCCCCCTTTCCTCGCCTCGACTCCCGCGATCGCCCACGGGGCTTGCTGGCTCAGCGCGGCGCGTCTGCCGCATTCCACGCCGCAACGGCCGCCGGCAGTCCCTGGCCACTTCCCGTTCGGCACCTGGCACTTGCCAGCGGCGCGCTTGCGGAAGGCCCGGATACCTGGGAGGGCACGGGGGGTCAGCGCAAGGGGCCCGGGCGGGGAGGGGACGGGGTTGAGGGTTTCGGGGATTTCGGCGGGGCGGGGGAAGGCGGAAGGAGAAGGGGGGAAGGGGGATCTCGTGGCGGAAGGGGCGGCGGAGGGGGCGGCGAGGGTTTCCGGGGGAAACCTAGGGGCGGCAGGGGGCATGAGAGCAGAAGCGCCAGCGCCACTTCTCCGCAGTTGGGGGGGGCGAAATCCTGGGGATCCCGCGCTCAAGTTGCGCCCCGAAGCGCTAGATCGTCGCATCCGCCAAAGGCGGCGCCAGATCCGGGGCCGCGGGAGGTGCAGCTGCCGGCTGGGCGAATCACGATCCGCCAGCTGGCAGTGCGGCTGGGGAAGCGGATCGAGGAGGTCCGCGCATGTCTGGCGGCGCTGGGGGAGGAGGGGAAGGGGGCAGAGGGGGATGGGGGCGGGGGGAGTGGGCGCGCGGGAGCGGATGCTATGGTTTCCGCGGATACTGCGGAGCTAGTTGCGCTGGTATGCACGTGGATGGGGCGTGGGGCATGGCGCATGGTGCATGGGGCATGCATGGGGCATAGGGCATGGTTCATGGTTCATGGGGTATGGGGCATGGGGCATGGGGCATGGGGCAGCTTTGCATGACTGTACCCTGTTGCACTTCCCACCTCCTCGCCTCTTCCCCACCCCTTCGCTATCTTTCCTACCCCTCCTCCTTCCGCCCACCTCTGTCCTGTACGTATATCTGCAAATTCTCACAACACCCCGTCTCCCCCTGCCGCCTCCCTCCCCTTCCGCACCCCTACCCCTTTCGCCTCCCTCCCCCTTCCGCCTCCCTACCCCTTCCGCGCCCTCCCCTTCCCCTCTCCGCCAGGAATTCGGCTTCACAGTCTCCGGGGGGCGGGACCTGCGCGCGGAGGAGGGCGCGGGGGGCGCGGAGGGCGCAGAGGCGGAGGCGGAGGCGCGGAAGGCGTGGCCGTGGCGCGCGCCAGTGGTGGCGGTGATGGGCCACGTGGATCACGGCAAGACGTCCCTGCTGGACGCGCTTCGGCAGACCTCCGTGGCTGAATCTGAGGCGGGGGGGATTACCCAGGTAGGGAGACGGAGCGGAAGAGGAAGAGAGGAGGGCAGGGCATGTGGGTCACGGCAAGTCATTCTTGATGGACGTTCTTAGACAGGTCACAGACCTCCGTGGTGGAATCTGAGGGGTGGGGGGGATGACCCAGGTAGGGAGGAAGTGAGAGAGAGCGGACGAGGAGGAAAATCCCGCCCTCTACCTGGGAGGCAGGGCATGTGAATTCACAGGGCAATGTATATCTGCTGATTTTTGTTCTGTTTTCGTTTAAGCACCTCAAAATAATTTCTGGGGGGACCTCTGTGGGATGGATGCTGGACGTCACAGGGCAAGACGTCACTGCTGGATGCTCCTAGACAAACTGGTGTGGAGGCAGGGGGAACCATTTACACGAAACCCTTCCATCACTTCCTCCTCATTCCTCCCCCCCCCTGCCCAGCACATAGGCGCGTTCCGGGTGCAGATGCCATCAGGAGTGGTGCTCACGCTCCCGGACACGCCAGGGCACACAAAGTTCCTCAACCTCTCCTCTTTCCTCATGCCCCCCATTCCCCTCCCTTCCTTCTCAGTACATAGGCGCGTTTCGAGTGCAGATGCCGTCAGGAGCGGCACTCACGTTCAGGGCACCTGAACAAGTCAGGGCATGCGGCGTTTTCTCCAGAATCACCCGGAATCCCCGTTTTCCCCATTCTTCCTTTCCCCCTTTCCCCCCTCTCCTCCTTCTCAGCACATAGGCGCGTTTAAGGTGCAGATGCCGTCAGGAGCGGCGCTCACGTTCCTGGACACGCCAGGGCACGCGGCTTTTGCAGCGATGAGGGCGCGGGGAGCAGCAGTGACGGATATCGTGGTGCTGGTGGTGGCGGCAGATGATGGCGTGATGCCTCAAACGTTAGAGAGCATCCAGCACGCCAGGAGCGCAGGTGAGAGGGCATGGATTATCACGTCATGGTGAGGTTGCGAAGTGTGCCCATGGTGGTGATGAGGTCCCGGAACGCTGCAGTGACGGAAATCGTGGTGCTGATGGTGGCAGCTCATCTCCCAAGGGCTAGAGCTGGAAGAGATAGGACGAGACGTGCAGGTGGTGCGAGTGTCTGCCCGCACACGCTCCTGTGACCTTGGCGATACCTCAGCAGGCGCCCATACCCCGTCTCTCCCCTTCCCTTTTAACCCCCCTTCCGCCCACCTCCCTCCTTTCTTCTCCCCCCTCCCAGGTGTCCCCATGGTGGTGGCGATAACAAAGTGTGACAAGGAGGGGGCAGACCCGGACCGAGTGACTCAACAACTCATCTCAGAAGGGCTAGAGCTGGAGGAGATAGGAGGAGACGTGCAGGTGGTAAGGGTGTCCGCCCGTACACGCTCCGGGCTCGAAACCCTAGAAGAAGCAGTGGCTTTACAGGCTGAGTTGATGGATTTAAGAGGGAGGGAGGCTGGGGAGGCGGAGGCGGTTGTGATTGAAGCGAGGATGGCGCGGGGGAAGGGGCCGCTGGCGAGCGTGATTGTAAAGGGGGGGAGGTTGCGGAGCGGGATGTATGTGGTGGTGGGGAAGTGGTGGGGGCGGGTGAGGAGTCTGAAGGGGTGCCGCGGGGAGAGCTTAAATGAGGCAGGGCCGTCCACTCCTGTGGAGATTGATGGGCTGAAGGGCGTACCTGAGGCAGGTGATTCGCTCATGGAGGTGGCATCTGAGGCGAGAGCGAGGCGGATCAGTGAGGCGAGACAGGAGGCGTCAGACAGACAGAGGCTGCTGCAGCAGCAGAAGGCTACCAATGCGTTGCAAGAGCAGCAGGCGGGGCAGCAGGCGGGGCAAGGGACAGGGGAGGTGCAAGCCCGGGGGGGGTCCGCAGGTGCCACAGCCAACTCAGCAGCAGCAGCAGCAGGAGCAGCAGCAGGAGCAGGAACGGCAGGGGAGGAGCAGGAGCAAGCAGACGACGCAGCAGCCACCACCCCCACCCAGAAAGAAGTAGTCCTGGTGCTGAAAGGAGACGTGCAGGGGTCGGTGGAAGCGGTAGGAAGCGCACTGGAGCACATGGGGTGTGAGAGGGTGCGGGTGAGAGTGGTGCATGCGGAGGTGGGGGCGATCACCCAGTCGGATATCGACATGGCCGAGGCCACGGGTGCAGCTGCGATCGTGGGGTTTAATGTGCGCTGCATGGGTGCTGCCGTGGATGCTGCTGCCAAGCAGGCTGATGTGCCGGTGAGTGGATGTGTGTGTGTGTGTACCTGAGAGGGTGAGAGGGTGCGTGTGAGAGTGGTGCATGCGGAGGTGGGGGCGATCACCCAGTCGGATACCGACATGGCGGAGGCCACGGGTGCGGCTGCCGTTGTGGGGTTTAATGTGCGCTGCATGGGTGCTGCCGTGGATGCTGCTGCCAAGCAGGCTGATGTTCCGGTGCGTGCTTTTCCATTTCTCTTCTCTTCTTTTCAATGCACCGAGTGATCTACCCCACCTGCTGTTGGGCATCGCAGGACCGGTGCTGCACCCTAGTCTCTCCTCTTTGCTGCACCGCCCACTCCAGGGATTCACTCAATCTTCTTTTGTACCTCAAAACCCTCCCTATTCCTCCGCACCCCTCCCCACCCCTTCCCACCTTATTCTTCCCCCTTGCTTCTCCGTAGATCCGCCTGCACCGAGTGATCTACCACCTGTTGGAGGACATTGGAGGGCTGGTGGTGCAGCAGGCTCCTACCAGATTGTTGCCTCGACCACTCAAGTGCTTCACTCTATCCCCCCCACTTCGGCCTAAAAAACCTCCCCATTTCTCTGCACGACTTTCCACCCCTTCCCACCCCCCTCTGTTCCTTAGATCCGCCTGCACCGAGTGATCTACCACCTGTTGGAGGACATTGGAGGGCTGGTGGTGCAGCAGGCTCCTACAGTGCGGTGCAGTGTGGTGACAGGGCAGGCACAGGTGCTACAGCTCTTTCCCCTCAAGGGCAAGTCCAACCGCCGCTCCTCCTCCTCCTCTGCCTCCTCCTCGGCCTCATCGCAGTCTAATTCTAGCAGCGGTGGGGGTGGGGGTGGGAAGAGAGAAGGTGCTGGGGGTGCGGATGAGAGTGCAGCAGAGATGATTGCTGGGTGTAAGGTCACGGAAGGGAGGTTTCAGCGCGGGGCGAAGCTGCGAGTGTTGAGATCTGGAGACATGGTGTATGAAGGGCTGTGTGCGTCGTTGCGGAGGGAGAGGGCGGATGTGGACGCGGTGAATGCGGGGGTGGAGTGCGGAGTGGTGGCGCGCGGTTGGGGAGGGTTTCGGGTGGGTGATGTGGTGCAGGTTATTGGGGAGAGGGAGGAGGGGCCAAGGCTGGTTTCGATGCGGGGAGGAGGGATGAGGATTGAATACCCGGAGGAGGAAGAGGAGTAGAGGAGGATTTAGGGTGAGGGATAAGGGGAAGAAAATGTGGGGGGGGGGGGAAAGGGTCAAGAGGGGGAGATAAAGGGAGCGGAGGAAGAAGGCTGTAACATAATATGGTTGTTATACGGTAGCCGTCATTTTCGGGCAACGCAGTTGCCTATGACAATAGCTTGGTCCCCAACATTACAAGGAAATGATGTATTACATTTTGATTTAAATCCTGTAAGCAAAGCAATCTGTTACGGGATTAGAAAGCAGATCAGAAAACCCGCCAGTTTCGGTTCGTGGCAAAATCCCACTTGTCAGAAGATCCGCTCTGCCTCGCAATCTACGAACACCGTTCGTTGCTAATCTAACCGCACCGCACCGTCCGTCACACCACAAACACCACAACCAGAGAGTCCGTGTATCGTGGAAGAATCTCAAGGAACCGACACAATATGCTCCTCGCTCCGCATTCCGCGGACTAGTTTCTTACCGAACCGTGCTCCTAACCTCCCCTTACCGTATCCTGTCCGCGCTTGGTTATAGTAAGGCCAGCACATGCTTTTCTTGGAATCTAGAGTCCCTCCCTTCTCGCTCCACCAGGCGTTGTGCCGTCTGCTTTCCTCAAGTTAAGTCTGTTTATTTGTGGATTATTTGTCAAACGTAATTATCTAGACCGAATCGGACCGTTCCCTGTAGTAACTCTTGACCGTTCTTCACCTTTTGACCGTCAGATTGCGGGCTGCTCGTTCGACATTCCTACTCCGCTTCGTCGAATCTCAGGAGCGTTTGATTCGCATTTGCTCGCGTTTCGTCTGGTTTCGTTCCCAGATGTAGCATCGGCCAGCAGCAGCACCAACCTCCACCACCAGCACGAACCGGCACCTGCACTAGTTTGTCCGCCTGTGTCAGCACCGTCGAAATCTGCAGCGTTCAGTTTCAACCAGTAGCCTGAAAGCTAAGATCGCGGGAGATCGAGAGCGAAAGAGAGAGAGGGAGAGAGTGACAGAGAGAGAGGAGAGAGTGAGAGAGGAAACGTAGAGAAAGCGAAGAATAAGCGAAGCGAGAGCTAGAAACCTAGAAAGCACCGTAGAGAAAGCGACGGACAGGATGGTTCGCGATGAGGAGATCGAGGAGATGGAGGAGAGGGACGGCATGGGGGTGATGGAGCTGCCAGCCGACTCGCCCATGCTGGGCCGGATCCCCAAGCCCGCAGCGCCAAACGCGGCGAGCGCGTCGCTGCGCCTGGTCAAGTACTCGGTGCTGCTGCCGACGTTCAACGAGCGCGAGAACGTCAGCCTCGTCGTTTACATGATCGTCAAGGCTTTCCAATCCCTGTGCGTCGAGGTGATAGGGCGTGGAGGAGGGAGAAGTGGGGGAAGGAGGTGAGGGGCTGAGGAAGGGAGGGGGGGTGGGGGGGTATAGCCTCGTTGTGTACCGGATCGTCACGGCGTTCCTGTCCATGCATGTGTGGCGTGTCAATCCATTTGCGTGTGACTTTTGAGTCGACTCAAAAGTCAACTCTTTTGAGTCGACTCAAAAGTCAACCCGGATTGTCACGGCGTTCCTGTCCATGCATGTGTGGCGTGTCAATCCATTTGCGTGTGACTTTTGAGTCGACTCAAAAGTCAACTCTTTTGAGTCGACTCAAAAGTCAACCCGGATTGTCACGGCGTTCCTGTCCATGCATGTGTGGCGTGTCAATCCATTTGCGTGTGCGTGTCGTCGCTGCGCCTGGTCAAGTACTCGGTGCTGCTGCCGACGTTCAACGAGCGCGAGAACGTCAGCCTCGTCGTTTACATGATCGTTAAGGCTTTCCAATCCATGTGCGTGTGGAGGAGGGAGAAAAGGGGGGTTGGGGTGGGTGGGGGGGTGGGTTCGTCAGCCTCTTCGTGTACATGATTGTCACAGCTTTCCAATCCATGTGCGTGTGGGGGGTCAGTCCGTGTGCGTCGGGGTGATAGGGCGTGGAGGAGGGATAGTAGGGGCGGGGGGAGAAGGGTGTGTAGATCTCGTCGTGTACATGATCGTCAAGGCCTTCCAATCCATGTGCGTGTGCTCGCGTGTCAGTCTGTGTGCGTGTGGGTGATAGAGAGTGGGAGGAAGGAGAAGGTGGGTGGGGGGGAAGGCGGGTGTGTCAGTCTCGTCGTTTACATGATCGTCAAGGCTTTTCAATCTATGTGCGTGTGAACGTGTCAGACCATGTGCGTGGGGGAGATAGGGCGTGGAGGAGGAGAGAGGGTGTATATCTCGTTGTGTACATGATCGTCAAGGCGTTCCAGTCCATGTGCGTCGGGGTGAGAGGGCGTGGAAGAGGGAGAAGGGGGGGATGGATGGTTCGTTAGTGGGGGTGGGTGGGGTGGGGTGGGAGTTTGAGAGCCTCGCTGTGTACATGATTGTCAAGGCCTTCCGATCCATGTGCGTCCGGGTGATAGGGCGTGAAGGAGGGAGAAAAAGGAAGGGGGGTGAGGGGTTGGGGAGGGGAGGGGTGTGGGGGGTATCAAGCCGTTGTGTACAGGATAGGCTTTCCAGTCCACCGTTTCCCCCTCCTTTCCCCCTCACCTCCCTTCCTCCCCACCTTCCTTTTCCCCCATATCTGTCACTCAAATCTTTGCAGCAAGGAGTCGTTTGAGATCATAGTGATAGACGACAACAGCCCACCGCTTCCCCCTCCCTTTCCCACACCCTCCCTCTTCCCCCACCCCCCCCCACCCTCCAACCCTGGCAGCAACGAGTCGTTTGAGATCATAGTGATAGACGACAACAGCCCGGACGGCACGCAAGAGGTGGTGAAGAAACTGGCGAAGCACTATGGGGAGGACACCATTGTGAGTGCCGTGAAGGAGGGGTGTGGGGAGGAGGTGTGGGGAGGAGGTGTGGGGAGGAGGTGTGGGGAGGAGGTGTGGGGAGGAGGTGTGGGGAGGAGGTGTGGAGAGGAAGTGTGGGGAAGAGGTGTGGGGAGTTTTGAGTCGTCTCAAAAGACGGACGGCACGCAAGAGGTGGTGAAGAAGCTGGCGAAGCACTATGGGGAGGACACCGTTGTGAGTGCCGTGGGGAAGGGCCGTGGGGAGGAGGTGTGGGGAGGAGGGAGGAGGAGGAGGATACAGGTTGGAGCTGTCGTTTGTGGGGATGTGCTTATCTGCGCTATTTGTCATGCACGCTTGCTCATGCCGTCACGATTGTCCATGTCTACATGCTGACCGTCTGTGTGTGTGTGTGTGTGTGTGTGTGTGTGTGTGTGTGTGTGTGTGTGTGTGTGTGTGTGTGTGTGCATATCCGTGTGTGGGTGTGTGTGCGCGTATCTGTGTGTGTGTGTGTGTGTGTGTGTGTATGTGTATGTGTGTGGGTGCGTATCCGTGTGTGCGTATCCGTATGTGTGTGTGTGTGTGTGTGTGTGTGTGTGTGTGTGTGTGTGTGTGCCTCGCAGCTTCTTCGGCCAAGGCCTGGCAAGCTAGGGCTAGGTGAGTAACGTCCACCTCATGTGCTTGTTCGCTACAACCCATGTCACTCCCACCATCCCTAATTTCATCGTTCCTCCGACATTTCACCATTCCTCCAACTGTCCAACATCCCTCCTCGCGGTCCCCTTGGTTATATCTTTCCCCTTCGCCACCTCACCCCTCACCGCACACCTTCCCTCTCCTTCCCGCCACCTCCCCACTCTTTTGCCGGCCACCACCAGGCACGGCATACGTGTCCGGGCTGCAGCATGCGTGGAAGGTGTGTTCATTGTTTCTAACCGCTTCCCCCCCCCCCCGTCTCCTCAAACCCCACCTTCGTGTGCACCACCACCAGGCACAGCATACGTGTTCGGGCTGCAGCATGCCAGGGGAGAGTTTGTGTTTATCATGGACGCAGACCTGTCACACCATGTGAGTCATGAAGGAAAAAGAGGGGGGTGGGGGGAGGGGACAGGGTTTTGAGTCGTCTGGTGAGAGAGTTTGTGTTTATCATGGATGCAGACCTGTCGCACCACGTGAGTCATGACAGAGGGGGGTGGCATAGGCACAGCCTTCTGAGTCGTCTGTCGGGAAAGAGAGTGTGCACAGACATTTGAGACTGCTCAAACAAGAGTTCGTGTTTATCATGGATGCAGACCTGTCGCACCACGTGAGTCATGATTGGGGTGGTGGTGCTGGCACAGACTTTTGAGACGTCCGAAAGGAGAGCTTGCACAGACTGCTGTACTCTCAGATCATGCACGCACAGCACAAGGGTTGTTCAGCCGTGTCCTGCCTTTTAAGGTCTTGAACCTATTTGTTCTCGCACGTCCACGCACCTTCCAGCACTTGCGCTTCTCTCCATGCTCTTCTCTGAGGCCACTCAATTGCTTCCTCCAACTGTGCTTGCGCATGTGGGGTACCCATCCCATGCGGTCCCATGCGTTCCTCTCGAACCGCTCATCTCGGTGGTGTGACCGCTCATCTCCTTGCGATCAACAACGAACCTGACACGTGGAATTGGTGTATCAGCCAAAGTACATCCCCCAGTTCATTCGGTAAGCCAGCGGTGCCTGCTTGATCCTCTCTGCTCATGTGATGTACGTTACATCTATGTGTTATATCCTCTTCAGATTGTACATCTATGTGCCTGTTATCTATTCTCTGCTGTGACTCAAGGAGTGTTCCCCTCGTTCCGCCTGCCGCCACGGATTATTCTGGCTGCCTTTCTGCAATCTCCTTCTGTCATCTCTCTATCTCCCGTTCCCCTTCTCTCTCTCCTCCCCGACCCATTCCAGCAAGCAGCAGGAGACAGACGCGGACATAGTCACCGGGTCGCGCTACTCCCCAGGGGGGGGCGTCGTGGGGTGGGATTTCAAGCGCAAGATGACGAGCCGAGGCGCCAACGTGCTCACACACACGCTGCTCTGGCCGCGCGTGTCGGACCTCACGGGCTCGTTCCGGCTGTATCGCAAGGAGATTCTGGAGAATCTGATGGACGTGGTGGTGTCCAAGGGCTATGTGTTCCAGATGGAGATGATTGTGCGGGCGAGCCGAGCCAGTTTGGTGATTGAGGAGGTGAGAGGGGTGTGGTGCGGTTGGGAGTGGTTTTGGTGGGTGTGGTGGTCAGAGGAGGAGGGGGCATAGGGAGGGGTTGGGCGAGGGGGAAGAGGGGTGGGGTTTTAGTGTGGGTGATCTCCTGCTTTTGCACGTTTTGTATTCACTGCACTTCTGTCAAGGCTTAGTGTACCTTACCCTTCTTATTTGTTGGGTTTCAGGTGCCAATTGTTTTCGTGGATCGGTTGTATGGATCTTCAAAGCTGGGAGGGACAGAGATTGTACAGTTTGTGAAAGGCCTTCTTTGGCTCTTTGTCTACGCTTAGCATGTCTCACAGAAAGCTGGAGGGCCCCTAGTACCTAATATAACGTATTGCATTATTCGCGCGGCATTTTTCCCGTTTTAAGTCGATGAATGTTGGTTAATGCATCATTAAAACTGCTTTGATCTCCAGTGGGAGGCTGACGCAGATGGTTAATTCATGCTTGCAACTGTTCTACAATCACTAGGTTGTACTACTTATCTGCGTGAAGTGTAGTTCGTTACCGTAACTGTACACAACGGGGATGCTCTTAGTTTCTGGAAGCTCTGCCCTTGAAGTCATCGCGCCGTCGGGACGGTACATTCCCCCCGTCCCTGCTACACCTGTATGCTTGCATTGCACCTAGCCAGCAGCAGTCGTGTCTGCTGCCTCGCAGAGCAATCCAGTCCGCCTCCTCCGCAAATCGGACGGCTGTCTGAGTTCAGTCGTGGCATGGCTGGCTGATTTTGGCCGTGCATCCCAAAAAGCTTTGCTACTTAGTCCCGCGCCTCACGCCCGCGTCCCTCGTTCCTCGTCCCGCGTCCGGCATCCCCACGTGCGTCTCACGCACCATTTCTGTTTTTCACTATCACATCTTGCTGCCGGCGCGTGATCTGGTGTTCGATTCTTCAGGAACGCCTGCAGATCAGAGGGTTAATTCTGCATGTCAACCGCGTGTACGCGTTATTATATCGCTTCTGGGAACCCAATCGTGTTTCAGATTCTGAATCTGAATCTAGACTACATTACGTTCGACGGTTGAAGATCTCTCGCTAAAAGAGCCGCAATTTGACGGTGCCACGGGACCAGCAGTAAGCAGCAAGCGAAGAGAGAAGCAACAAGCAGGGACAAGAGCGGTCTGACAAGTGGGATTTCATTCCCGAGCTAGTCGATCTTTCGACAGGAGCGGAAATCGTGTTTTGAAGGAGGAATTCAGGAGAAAAATCGGAGGCAGCAACCTCTTACTTACTTCAAGAAATTGTGCCGCTTAACGTCGACGAGTTTTCTCTTGTCTGGCGCTATAAGGCTTATCCAAATTCTTAAGGTCTCTTCTCCGACGGTTACATTCAGCCGTCCCTCTCTTCTGTATCTCAGCCAGTACCTTTCAGCTGCTACCTTTCCGCCGCTCCCTTCCAGCTGTTCCATTTCCGTTCCGTATCGTTCCACTACCGTCACAGCCGTTTAATCTCCGCGGTAGATCAGCGCAGCGGGCAAGATGGTGCGGGAGATGGAGTATTACGATTTGCTGGGGGTGGCTCCCACAGCAAACGCGAACGAGATTAAGAAGGCCTACTACAATCAGGTGCGTGGGAGCGGAGGGGAGGGAGAGGGGGAGCGGGTGGGGTGGGGGGGGAGGGGGGCGAAGAGGGGGAGTGTAAAATCGTTGTTGTTGTTGTTGTTGTTTTTTTTTTGTTTTTTTGTTTTTTTTGCATTGCATTGCATTGCATTGCAAGGCTCGGGACGTGGAATTGAGTCTGCGACTCTTTCCCATTGTTGTCGTGAATGGCATTCTACCAGCGCATGGTTGCAAGGATGTGTGTGTGAATGCATGCACGACCATGGATGGATGCATGGGTGCATGTGTGCATGAATGCATCCTGACCATGTATGCGCATTCCACACATCCATCCATCCATCCATCCATCCATCCATCCATCCATCCATCCATCCATCCATCCATCCATCCATCCATCCATCCATCCATCCATCCATCCATCCATCCATTCCCCCACCAGGCGCACAAGTTGCATCTTGAAAAGAACCCCAACGACCCCAATGCAGGCTCTGGGCCGGAATATAGTCTTCAGTCACTCCCCCTCCCTCCCCTCTCCTCCCCTCTCCTCCCCCGTCTCTTCAGTCAGTCCTCCAGAATACATCCGGACAAGAAACCCAACGACCCCGATGCAGCAGCCAAGTTCCAAGCGCTGGGCGAATCTATCTCTGAGGCGCCATAAACATAGTCCTCCCCTCCTCTCTTCCCCACCCCCCCTCCCACGCACCCCCCCGCACCCGTACTCCTTCCTCAGGCGCGCAAGGTGCATCCGGACAAGAACCCCAACGACCCCGATGCAGCAGCCAAGTTCCAGGCGCTGGGCGAGGCGTATCAGGTGCTCAGCGACGAGATGCAGAGGCAGCGCTACGACGCCGCCGGGAAGTCTGGCATCTCCAGGTGCGTCTTTCTGTGTGTGTGTGGGGTGGGTGCGGGTAGGGGCTCATTTGAGTGCACGTGAATCGATTTCCAGGCGCTGGGCGAGGCGTATCAGGTGCTCAGTGACGAGATGCAGAGGCAGCGATATGATGCTGCTGGGAAATCAGGCATCTCCAGGTATGGCTGGCTTTCTGTGGTGTTTTGTGGGGTGGGTGCGGGAAGGGGCTCACTTGTGAGTGCGCATGAACCTTTTGTTTGGCGCTGGGCATAGCTCCGGGTGAGGCATACCTCCGGAGGCATACCTCCGGGTCTTCAGCGACCCGATGCAGCGGCAGCGCTACGACGCCGCCGCCGGCAAATCCAGCATCTCCAGGTGTGTGAGTGTGTGAGCGTGAGTGTAGGTGACTCGTTGCTCAGGGTAGACCTAACGGCTGTGTTTTGGGCGATGCATATCGGGTGCTCAGCAACAAGGGGGTTGGGGAGGGGTGTGTGGAAGGAGGTGCAAGTGACTCGAAAAGGTCAATCGCTTTCTCCCATCCTTCCCTCGCTCCCCCTCCCTCCTCCTCCCGCTTTCTCCCTCCCACTGTCAGTCCATTATCTGGTCATCTCTTCCCTCGCCGCTCTTGCTCCCGCTCACCCGTGTTCCACACGCATGCCCCAGGCCTCGACCTACTCCCCACCACTCCTCGCCCACAACCCTCCCTCCCCACCTCCCCCCTTGGCCCCCTACCTCCCCTCCTGCAGGGAGGCGATGGTGGATCCAGCGGCGCTGTTTGGAATGCTTTCTAGCAGCGAGGCCTTTGATTAAAGATCACGTGGGGCAGCTCGCCATGGCCTCTCTCGCCTCCCTGCTGCCGAGGGTGCTGCTTGCAGCACCGCCAACTCAAAGCACGCCCCTCCTTCCCACCCAACTTCCTCCCATTCCGCCCTTCCCAGGGAAGCGATGGTGGATCCAGCAGCGCTGTTCGGAATGCTATTCGGCAGCGAGGCCTTTGAGGACTACGTGGGGCAGCTCGCCATGGCCACCCTCGCCTCCCTCGCTGTCGACTCCGTCACCAACGCCTCGTCCCCCGCTGCTCACGCTGGTGCTTGCAGCCTGACCGACTCAAAGCACCCCCCCGTTCCTGCCCTCCCTCCCTCCCTCTCTCCCGTGTGCCCCACCCGCCCTGGCCTTCGCCCCACTCCCCTCCCACCCCCTCCCACCCACCTTTTTTCCTTCCAGGGAGGCAATGGTGGATCCAGCAGCGCTGTTCGGGATGCTGTTCGGCAGCGAGGCATTCGAAGACTACGTGGGGCAGCTCGCCATGGCCACCCTCGCCTCCCTTGCTGTCGACTCCGTCACCAACGCCTCATCCCCTGCCGGCCCTTCTATTGCCAAGGACGCGGCTTCCAGTGCTGCTGCGACTCCGGGAGGGCCGGGGGATGTGGTGGACGCGATGGCCATCCAGGCGAAGCTCACGGTAAGAATGATTTGAGGTGATTTGAGGTGGTTTGAGGTGGTTCGGGGTGGGTTGAGGTGGTTTGTGGGGTGGGTTGATTGTGCATGCGGCACAGGAGGAGCGAGTGCAGTAGCTGGGGGTGAAGAGCTGAAGTTCCGTCTAGAGGCACGTACACCCATTCCTGATCCCCCTTGCAATCCAGCCATGCCAGTTCCATCTATGCTCCCCCTTCCTCCCTCCTTCCTTCACAGGCGGCACAGGAGGAGTGAGTGCAGGAGCTGGGGGTGAAGAGCTGAAGAGCCGCCTGGACGTGTACGCCCATTGTCCCCATCGCCCTTTCCGCTCCCACCCCATCACCCCTCCCCTATCCCCACCCCTCCTTCTTCCTCTACAGGCGGCACAGGAGGAGCGAGTGCAGGAGCTGGGGATGAAGCTGAAGAGCCGCCTGGACGGGCAAGAATGCAAATCCCCCTGTCATATCTGCCCACGAGAATTCATCCTTAGCCTTTCTCTTCCCTTCATTCCACAGGCGGCACAGGAGGAGCGACTGCAGGAGCTGGGAGTGAAGCTGAAGAGCCGCCTGGACGTGTATGCATCCCCCTCGGCCAATCAGGGCCTGGACGGCGGACGGCACGCGTTCATGCGCTGGGCGCACGAGGAGGCGGATGAGCTGAGTCACGCTGGTAGGGAGGGGTTTGGGTGCGGTTGTAAGGTGTTCCTGTGGGCGGATGAGGCGCGTGTGGTTTACAGGTCGGGAAAAGGATGTGCTAGTGGGGGTGTGCGGCGGCAGCAGGCATGCCTTCATGCGCTCAGCGCTCGAGGAGGCAGAAGAGTTGAGTCGCGCGGGGTGGGTGGACAGGGAAAAGGACGTGCTAGTTAGGATTTGAGGCGCCTCAAAAGTCGCTCGGCGCTTGAGGAGGCAGAGGAGCTGAGTCATGCAGGGTGGATGGGCAGGGAAAAGGACGTGCTAGTGGTGGGTGCCTGGGAAGGCGGAAAGTGGGCTTTCATGCTCTGGGTGTGTCAGAAGGCCTTCTGTGGGGAGAAAACCTTGTGTTCTCCCTCGCACCGTCTTCCACCAACGTTAGGAGAGAGAGAGAGCACCTGCTGGAAAGAGTAGGTTACGTGCACGAGCGCAGTGCAGCCAAGGAGCAGGGCGCAAGCATTAGCACCAGCAGAGCAAGCATATACGATTCATTCCTCTTCCATCCCCCCCCCCGTGTCCCCCATTCCCCCAGCCTTCGGAGAGCACATGCTGGAGAGCATAGGGTACGTGTACGAGCGCAGTGCAGCCAAGGAGCAGGGCAAGAGCATCATGTACCTGGGCATGCCGTATGTGGGCGAGTGGTTCCGGGAGAGGGGCCGCCGCATCCAAACACAGTGGTCTGCTGCCATGGGTACGTGCATGTGGTGCATGGATGGGTGGGTGGGTGATTCTGCTGCCACGGGTGGTGATTGTGCTGGCATGGATGAGTGTGGGTGTTAGTCTCGCCGTGGGTCATTGTGGGTGGTTTGGCTGATGAGCCCCGTGTGTGTGCATGTGCTGCTGTCAGTGCGTGATGTCAAATTTAACTGGCTGTAAATCAGGGCGAGTTTGGTGCTGCCGTGGATGCGAGGGTACAGAGTGTGGGTAACTTATGCGCCAATGTTCAACATGACGTTGCATAGATGGTCAAGGCATGGCATGGCATGGCATGGCATGGCACGGCATGGTATGGCAGAGAATGGCATGGCATGGCTTGATGTGCACCTTCCACCCCACCTTCATACCTTTTCCCCTCAACCGCACAGGCGTAGTTAGTCTGGTGCAGATGCAGACGCATATGCAGCGGCACGTGGAGGAGAGCGATACGTTGGCGAGGCAGCACTGCGTCTAACCAGTCCCTACTGCCTGCCCCCTCCTCACCCTTTCTCCCTGCCTTCATACTCACACCCTCCTATCACCCAGGCGTGGTGAGTCTGGTGCAGATGCAGATGGACATGAGGCGGCACGTGGAGGAGAATGACATGGACGAGGTAGCGCTCGTCTAACCAGTCCCTATGTCCTCCCCCTCGCCCCCCAACCCATCCCTTTGTTTGTCACCCAGGCGTGGTGAGTCTGGTGCAGATGCAGATGGACATGAGGCGGCACGTGGAGGAGAGTGACATGGACGAGGCAGCGCTCGTCTCCTTCCTCGAGAGCAAGCAGCAGTCGCTGCTCGAGTCCCTGTGGCGCCTCAACGTGCTGGACATCGAAGCCACGCTCTCTACTGTGTGCCACCAGGTGTGTTGTGCAATAGAGGTGCAAAGCTGGGAAAAGGGAGGTGCATGTGTGCGTGAGTGTATCCGTGTGTGTGTGCTTCTTGCTGCTCGAGTCCCTCTGGCGCCTCAACGTGCTGGACATCGAAGCCACGCTCTCTACCGTCTGCCACCAGGTAAGCAAGGCGCTTTTGAGAATTCTCAAGCAGGTGTTTGGGCTGCTTGCATGTGCGTGTGTGGGGGGAAGAGAGAGCAAGCAGCAGTCGCTGCTCGAGTCGCTCTGGCGCCTCAATGTGCTGGACATCGAAGCCACTCTCTCTACTGTCTGCCACCAGGTGCGTTGTGTAGGGGGTGACAGGCGGGAAAAGTCTGGTGCGTGTTAGCCGTCGGTGCTCGAGCCCGTGTGGTGCCTCCACGTGCTAGACATCGAAGCCACTCTCTCCACTCTCTCCACCGTGTGCCACCAGGGGAAGGGGGGTAGGGGGGAAGGGGGGTAGGGGGGTAGGGGGGTAGGGGGGTAGGGATGGGGATGGGGAGGGAGGGGAGGGAGGGGAGGGAGGGGAGGGAGGGGAGGGAGGGGAGGGAGGGGAGGGAGGGGAGGGAGGGGAGGGAGGGGAAGGGGGGGAGAGGGCATGGAGGAGGCAGTGGGGTGCGAGATGTGTGTGTTACTCGTGCTACCCTTGACTTCTTGTCTTTGCTCGTCGATCTGTCCTTTCTGCCTCGTCGTTTTCTCTGCCCTCTCGTCTCCCCCCCACACATTCCCCTCCCCCCCCATACCCCTCCCCCCCTCTCATCTCTCCCCCAACCGTTCCCTGCATCCACCTCTCTCCCCCCTCGCCCCGCTCCTCAGGTTCTCACAGAGGCGGATGTTTCTCGGACCACCCTGGAGGCACGCGCACATGCGCTCAAGCAACTGGGGGCCACCTTTCTCTCAATTCTCCCCCACCCATCCCTTGCACACTACTCTCTCCCCGCTCGCCCTGTCTCTCACCTGTCACCTCCGCAGGTTCTCACAGAGGCGGATGTTTCACGGACCACCCTGGAGGCACGCGCACATGCGCTCAAGCAACTGGGGGTCGTTTTCCAGGCACGTGCACTCTCGCACTCTACGTGCACTCTCGCACTCCACGCGCACTCTCGCACTCCACGTGCACTCCACGTGCACTCCACGTGCCCAGAGTACTGCGACTGTGCTGCGAGTGTGCTGCGAGTGTACTGCGAGTGTACTGTGGGTGTGCTGTGTGTCCTGCGATTCCCTTGCTTTCAAAGCACACCCGGATTTGTCACCAATTCTGCGCATGCCTCTTTGGTTCTAATTTATTGCCATCCCACCATTTCTGTTTCCTCACTACCACATGCCACTCATCTCTGCCTTTCTCTCTCATTCCTTTGCTTTACCCCTGCTCCACGCTACCCGGATTCCCCCTCTCCCTTCCTTTCCCCCTTGAATCCCTCCCTCTCCCCCTTATGAAGTCAAGTTCTGCCTCTACCCCTTCCTTGTCTGCGCCTGCACAGAGCAAGGCAATGCACATGGCAAACGAGGCTTTTGAGTCCACTTCCCCCCCCTGAGGACTCAACAGGAACCTCTTCCACTTTCCCCACCTGAGGACTTCACGTTGTTCCTCCTCTCTCCCATCCCTGTCTGCGCCTGCACAGAGCAAGGCAATGCACATGGCGAAGGAGAAAGCAGCAAAGGAGAAGGAGAAGGTGGATAAGGAAAAAGCAGCAGCAGGTGTTGCTGATGGTACTGCTGCGTCTGGAGCAGCAGCAGCAGCAGGGAGCTCAGGGGGGGCGGACAAGGCATCAACAGGCGGTGATAGCAGCAGCACAAATGGTGTGGCTGGCTCAAAATCTACGACAGTCACTGTTACGGCTCCTCAGCCTCCTCCCTTGGTATGGTACACACGCAGGCTTGGTGTGGGATGCACGGGCTTGGTGTGGGATGCACGGGCTTGGTGTGGGATGCACGGGCTTGGTGTGGGATGCATGGGCTTGGTGTGGGATGCATGGGCTTGGTGTGGGATGCATGGGCTTGGTGTGGGATGCATGGGCTTGGTGTGGGGCGCATGGGCTTGGTGTGGGGCGCATGGGCTTGGTGTGGGGCGCACAGGGCTCAAAATGTCTTAATATTTTGCTTGCTGTAGCACACATCCCCACGATCTTCTCTCCATTCTTTCCACACCTCCTCCCTCTCTCCCGTTGTCTTCCCCCCTCTCTCCCCCCATCTTCTTTCCGTTGCACACAACCCAGTAGCACCGGAGCTGGGACCATTCCCTGTCTTTCCCCCCCTGTCCTTCCCCCTGTCATCCCTCCTCTCCCCCTGTCCTTCCCCCTGTCATCCACTCTTCCCCCCTGCCTCCCCCTGTCATCCCCTCTCTCCCCAGCCGCACATCAGATATACGCGGTAGCACTTGAGTTGTATAAGACGAGGCCATCCTCGGCTGCAATGTTCAATCCCTGTGCGCTTTCTCTCCCCCCTTTCCCACTTCTCGCATCCTGCTCCCTCCTGTCATCCCCTCTCGTCCCTGCCACACATCAGATACACCCAGTAGCACCGGAGTGGGATAAGCTATCCCCTGTCTTTCCCCCTTTGCCAACCTCTCCCCGTCCTGCCTCCCCCTGTCATCCCCTCTCTCCCCTGCCGCACATCAGATACACCCAGTAGCACCGGAATGGGATAAGATGGGGCCATCCCCTGCCTTCCCCCGTCTTTCCCCATCTCCCCCCCCTGCTTCCCCCTGTCAACCTCTCTCTTCCCCTATGTCCCCCCCTGTCATCCCCTCTCGCCCCTGCCACGCACCAGATACACCCAGTAGCACCGGAGTGGGATAAGATGGGGCCATCCGCAAATTGGGGTGCTGCGTTTAACCCCTATGCCCCATGGCCGCCCGGTGCCACTGCTGACACCCATGTGAGTGATTTGCTGAATCTGAGGTGACTCTTGAATCGATTCAACAGTCTCCTAGGCGCATAGACGACTAGGCTCCTCAGATGCAGCGTTTAACCCCTATGCCCCATGGCCGCCTGGTGCCACTGCTGACACGCATGTGAGTGATTTGTTGGATTGGAGGCGACTCTTCTTGAGTCGACTCAATTGTCACCTAGGCCCCGCAGATGCAATGTTCAACTTCTACTCCCCATGGCCCCTTGGTGCTTCTGCTGATACCCATGTGAGTGGCATGCCACTCACTACCATGCCACTCACTACCATCCCACCCTCCTCTTCCTCCTCTCTGTCTTCCGCTTCCTCTCTCACGCCCTCCCCTGTCTGCCCCCCTTCAGAAATCACCCAAGTCCTCCTCTCATTCCAAACCCACCTCTAAGTCTCCCAGAGACCCCTCCCCCAAACCCACCTCGTCCCCCAAACCAACCTCCTCCTCACCCAAACCCACCTCCTCCTCCCCAAAACCAACGTCCTCTGCCAACCCATCGCTGAGGCAAGGAGGCAGTGGGTCCTCGGAGCATGCATTTGACAGCATGTCAGTATCAGAGCTGAAACGGTATATCCGAGAGCACGGAGGCGACACCACAGGGCTCTTGGAACGATCCGACCTTGTTGGCCTTGCCAAGACGCTCAAATAGAAATAAGAGATTCATCCCTCCCTCTTTGGCCGCATTCGTGTGCGGTGTGCTTCCTCCCTCCCTCTTTCTCCATCTCTATCTATCTGCTGGTAAGGCTATTCCTTCCTGCTGTCTCCTCCGGCGTGTTTGCCCCATTGGAAAGTTCAGACTTCGCTTTCCTTGTCCAAGGTTCTGGATTATGAAAATCCTTACTATGGTACCTCTGTTAAGTTTAGGTGCTCAAGGTTTAGGACTTAAGCTTAGGATGGCGTGAGATGAGTAGGCAAAAAGAGAATTGAACTATCGAGGGGAACAAACAAGTACAAGCAAAGCATGGCAAGAGAGGGTGCACCACCAAGAATGTAACTACACTACACCTATGCAGCAAGCAGGGTATATAAATATAATTTCAACCTCTTCCATGTATTTTCCATAAGCCAGCCCACCATAACTCGTCCACTTGCTTTTGTGTGGAGCCATAGGCGCAATAGAATTATTCTATGTACGCATCAGATGTGCAGTACAGTGAAGTCCAGTATAATATACGGTACACTAGTCCAATATAACGTATGGTGATATACTCAGTTTGTGGGAAGGGGGGATGTGCATTTGAAGTCATGTGTAAGGTTCAATACCGTAATCTATTACGGTAATGTGGAAGGGGGAGACTTGAAAGTTTCCTGACGGATATGGTTAAGCACACCAGATGCATACGGTACTGTACTAGGACAGTGGTTGCAACCTAAAGCTGCATCAACAAATAAGCGAAGCAGGACTAAATAACCACATCGATTTGATACATCACTGGTTGCAAGGTAACTTCACCGCAGCTACGGTACCATCAGTGCTTCTTCTTAGGTATCTTCGCAACAAGTCAATCCTGGAAACACATCTCAACACTTGATATGGCCATTAGCAAAAGTTTCAATTCAAGTTCCAAGTTCCAATAAGCAGAACTCCAAAGATGTCTCAACTGTGGGCACACCTCAGAACCACTCCAAATCCCACAAGAACCAGCTAATATCATACCTCATCAACCATTTCATACACTCAAACACACAACCATGCCTTTGAGACTCCTCCTGTCCCGACCCGACCAACCCCCTAGCTGATTGCCAACATAGCCACCTTATCGCCTTATCCCCTGTTTCTGCCGCAACCATTGCCAAGGAGCAATGTGTAACCACCACCACCAAACACGGCTCAATGCTCAATGCTCACATGCAGAACACCACGTAGACAACGCCACATGCAAACTGCTAGCTGCAAGCGTGCCTGGTACTGGACTGCGTGTGTGCGCGTGCTTGGGTGTGAGTGCATGCGCATGTACTATGCATGTGCATCCCTGCAAGGGTGTGGATGTAGGTGTGCATGTGTGCATGTGCATGTCCATGTGTGTGGACATAAGCATGTGAGTGCCATGTTTGTGCAGCAAGTGTGCAACATGTGAACAAGCCAGTGCCTCTGTGCATGTATGTGCATGCTTATGTGCATAGGTGCATATGTGCAAATGTGCAGGTGTGAGTGCGTGCATTTGGCTTATGTGCAAATGTGCAAATGTGCAAGTGCGTGCGTGTGTGTGTGTGCGCGCGCATCCATGCAAGCGCAAGAGAGATGCGTGACAGACACCACCAGCAAGAACCACAGCAGATACAGAATGTGCAATATTTACACAGCCAGACAGCTGCGGAGTGAAGGCCGAGAAGACCACAGCGGTGAGAAGGGCGAAAAAGCGGACCAGCGGCGAGACAGTGGAGCGTGAAAGACCGAGAAAACAGAAAGTGGGTGACGGAGAGAGAGCAGGCTGGTGGGGAAGATAGAATGGAGGCCACGTGGCCCACAGAAAGACCATGATTCACTCAAGAAATCCTGTGGAAAGGGGCATACACGAAGGGAGTGTGAACAGCACGGAACGGGTAAGGGAAATAAGGAGGGAGACTGGGATAAGAGGAGGCCAAATGGAGAGCATATATTCTGAGTCAACCAGGCAGCACGAAATGGTGACAGCATTGCCACACAAGCACTTCAACCAGCATGCATCAGGCAAAGATGGCAGCCAGGCAACAACCACATGCGCACTTCAAAAACAAGTGGTCGCCTCGCCATGTTAAAAAAACCATGCCACACTCACTCACCACACGCCACACTTACTCACGCCACGCGAGCTGCTACCATCACCAGCAGCACCATCAGCCCCGAGAACGTCCACAGAGCGGTGCTCTGCAAAACCATGCCAAACTCGCTCACCACACGCCACTTACTCACCCTCAGAAGCGTGGAAAGTCAAAGCGTGAGCCGCCATCACCAGCACCACCAGCAGCACCATCAGCCCCGAGTACGTCCACAGAGCGATGCTCTGCAAAGCCATGCTGGCCGGCGTCTGAGGCGTGGAAGACGGGCCCTGTGAGCTCGTGGAAGAGGTTGAGATGGTCCACCAGCTTGTGAAACACCTGACAGCCCTGGCACTGGTGGGGGGGGGAAGGGGTTGGGGGGTGTTTTGGGGGGCGGGAAGGTTGGAAGAGATGGAGATAAGAGGGGGTTTGAAGATGGTTGGGGGAGACGGGGGCTTGCGAGCTTGCTCGTGGAAGCGGTTCCGATGGTCGACGAGCGTATGAAACAAACACCTGACAGCCCTGGACACTGGTTAAGGGAGGGGAGGGGGAGGGTGGAAACGAGGGGGGAGCGGGGGGGCGCTTGAGGGAGGTTGGAGAGAAGTGGACGCAGCAGCTAGCTCGTGTAAGAGGTTGTGATGTTATGATGGTCCACTCAAGGAACAACGTACCTGGACAACGACAAACCTACCTCGTGCGGCTGGCATTCGGGGAACCTGATGGCTGGAGATCAAGGTAAACGAAGGGCACACACACAGACGGGCAGACGGACAAACCTACCTGCACAAAGACGGTTCCTTCTCGGTACGCGTGCGGGTTGATGGCGCGCCTCGTGCGGCTGCCGCACTTGTTGCACGTGAAGTCCACGCGCGCGGTGCGCCGCGGCGACACGGGCGAGATGATGGGCATGCCGAGCGAGTCAACGGAGTCAACGGGGTCAGCGGGCGCGGACGGGCCTTCCAGTCCCGTCATGGTCTTCCAACCTGTGCCCATCGCGGCGCTAATCACCACGCCCAGCGCCTCCTCCTGCAAGAAAAACAAACAAACAAACAAACAAACAAACAAACCAAAAAAAAATAAGAGGATAATATTAAAAGAAAAAAAAAAAGGGGGTACAATAGAAGCGGATATTGAGTCGACAAAAGAGACGATTTTTTTTCTGCAATTTCCGACCTCACCGTTACGAGGCCAGCCCAACGCGTGCACCTTACTAATGTTCTGAAGCGACAGCGACGTGATTACGATATTCGCGTAGAAGACATCTCAAAGCAAGCCCAACGCCCGCGCGCACCTTGCTAATGCTCTGCAGCGACAGCGAGCGACCGGCGGCGCCGGAGTTAAACGGCACGAGCCCCGTGGGCGACGTGCGACTCTCGTCGTGAAAACTCTGCGACGCAGGGCTCGGAGTCCCTGCGACGGATGGGTGCCACGACGCGCCGCCCAAGGGGACGAAAGGCACGAGCGGAGAACGGGGGGGAGAGAGCAAAGGGCGGGAAATAACAAAAGATACGAGGCAGGTGGTAAGAGACGTGTGACGAGAAAGGATTGTGTTTGTAAGATGCGCGACGGCGTGTGCGGATGGCAGGAGCGTAGGAAAATGCGGAAGTAACGGCGTAGGAAAAACGAAGAAGAGAAGGAATGAAGGGAGAATCCGCGCAACGTCTACGCGCGCAAAGGCACCGCGCGCATGGGCTCCGCCCACTCACAAGTGAAATTGGGCATCGGGCGCTCCCCTGCCGCCGCCGCCACCGCGGATTCCGCCGTTTCCTGCTCTCCGCTCTGCGCGCTGCTTCGGATTCGGAAAACCCGACCCGTCCGTGCGCTGGCCGCCACACTAGTGCGGGGCGTCACTTTCAGGCTAGCGGGAGACGATTGCGAAACGCTTGACGGTCTTACGTGGGAGCATGTGATTGGCTTGGTGACAGGGCTCAAGACGACAGGAAGGCGGGCGGTCAACGATGTTTGAATAGAAACCGCCATTGCGAGCGGAACCGCGGCGCAAAGGAAAGAAGCACCAGTTGAGTGTTCCGCGTCGAATCAAAACACACCACGCACACAGAGCTCGAGGCTGGAAGGGCACGGTGTTACGAGGCGTGTGTGTGTGGGCGGAGCAGAGGTGCTGTGTTGTTGGGGAATCAACAATGCTGTAAATTTGTGCCAAGGTTCTGGGAGGGCTGTTTGGGAGGAGATGGGATGGGCTGTTTGGCGGGTGGGACGGGATGGGCATGGGATGGGATGGGAGGGAGACGAGGAGGAGAGAGGAGGTCAGGAGGGAGGAACACAGGTGTAATAGACGTTACTGCGGTATATTGAGCGGTTTAGAGACAGCAAGTTCGCTCGTTAGTAGGACAATGGTTGTGTGTGTGTGTGTTGTATTTGCGCGTGGACTACCTTGGACTCTAGGAGGTTCGGTTCGGTTCGGCTCGGCCGCTCACATTGCCCCACGTTCTTCCTTGTCACACAAGCAACCTCATTCGCGAATCGGTGGAGCACTGGTCACCAATGAGAAAGCGGACCTCCGTGGATACGCATCGTAATGACCAATAGGGGTGAATGCTGACATAAGCTGCAGCTGGACATCCAGTCATACGGCTGCGAGTCGAGCAGTGATGTCAGCTCCTAGTCATCAGATTGCCTGCAAGATTTCAAGGTTGAAGGTCATATATCTTCCTTACAGGAAGTCCCTTTGGAGTTCCATGCTGGTGTACATACAGAATACAGTCTTGCTAGTGTCTACTTCGTGCAAAGAGTTTGCAGGTGAACTGGTTCATGTGCTATACTTTTCAGTTACCACTGTGGATATATACACTTTCATTTTTTATTTTTTTATTTCAGGGAAAAAGAGGTGATAAAGGAATGAAAGTGCAGCCAACACGTAGTGCAACTGCATCCTTTAAAACAAAGTGCTATACTTTAATGTATCTAAAAACTGTAAGTTAACATGCCAAAACGATGGGGACAGCTGGGTACTAACTTCGAGTTGAACGAAACAAGGATGTGCGGTGTAAATGGTCTCCACGTGACAACCTCTGAGATTGCCATGTCATCTGACCTGGAGGATTCCGAACCACTCGGAGGGCATCGTTTCTGTTGCCCTTCATATAAGACACGTGCCAGTATATCACACGCCACTCCACTTCACCATCTCCATGTGCGCTGGCGCACTAATTACTTCGTCGTTTGTCCTCGCAAGCCCTCGTCACGATGTTCTTCAAATGGCGGACTTCCAGTTCGGTCATGTTTCAGCACTGTGAAGGGCAAAGGAAATTCTGAATGGGCAAAGAGCAACAGACACACGATCTTGTGTTTTCCTGCGATTGGTTTTCTAACCACCCCGGGCACACCAAGGACTTTTCAGACCTCAACCTGAAGTCGTGCGTGCGACGCTGGACGAGCCCAACCTGCGAAACGTAAACCGAAAAGAATCCACGTGGCTATCAATATCGACGGTGATGTGAAGCTGAAATTTCCGGAACACAGCGCCCCCGAGTCGCACTCATGCCAGGCCAGGAGATTTGTCTTCTTGAAACTCGGAACGGAATATGAAACTCTGATGTGAATCTCTGCTTCCCTAATCCATACATATCTCCCACAACTAGTACATCCTATGATATTCATGGTTCCTATTTAGCGACAGCTGCAAGCCACTCAACGCCGTGCCTTCTTATTCGAACGTTGAAAGCTTTCAAGTTAAGTCAGACATTTGTGCCTGCGCCGTTTTCCCACTCGCGAGGAGTTAGGAGCACCAGTATTTTACGGACTATATAAAATCAGAAGACAGCTGCGTCGTGTTTCGCATGGCGACTTCGTCCGCTATAAGTCGAGCAGTTCTCACTCGCGCGGTGCCAGCAACAGCGTCTCGAATTTCCTTCTCCCGCGTGCATTCCCATAGCCTCGCGCAATTGGCGGCGCCCGAAAGGGCGGCATCCAAGCGGTCGCGGCAATGGCAGATTCACGCGACGCGAGCCGAGAGCCGGCAGGACTCCGCCTCGTCGCCCGTGTCGCCCTCGTCCGCAGAAGCAGCTAAAAGCGATCTTAAAGTACGTCCGTCCTGGTGCTAATTGCGAGTTGCGAGGTGCGAGTTGCGCTTCTGTGGTGCACGTGTGCTTTACGCTCTTCGTATGCTTCCTCAGGGTGCAATACTGCTGCTGGAATGCGGGTGTAATGTCGCGTCAGTTTACCTTTACACCCTATTGTTTCCAATCATCATGCTCCTACACTGGATACACATTGCACGGCGCGCCATGCGCCATGCGCCATGCGTCATGCGCCATGAGCAATGCACCGCGAGAAAAAAAAAAGCGAGCGTTAAGTGCGCGCACGCGGCGTACGAAAGACAGCGCGCAGCAGACCCAACTCTTGATGAACTCCATCCGCCGCCCCACATCTCTGCCTTAAAATCCCCGCTCTGCCCATCAGTTTCTGGCATTGCACTTTCTCGCTCATCCCCTCACTGCCGCGCCCTCTCCCTTCTCCCGTTCCCTCTCTCCTCTCGGTGACCCCTCGATCCACTTTCGTCACCGCAGGAAGCGGCGCCGGGAGCGGCGGCAGCGCCGACGGGATCGTGGGGCGGGTTCGGCTTTACGAAGCAGAACGAGCTGTTCGTGGGCCGCGTGGCGATGCTGGGATTCGCGGTGAGTGTCTTACGATGGGACTCTGTTTTGGCTGCGCCCCAGATACAGGCGCCGGGATTGGCGGTGAGTGGTAATGCTGGTGTTCTACCTTGTCAAGCCTCGGCAATCGTGGGGCGGGTTCGGCTTCACGAAGCAGAACGAGCTATTCGTGGGCCGCGTTGCGATGCTCGGATTCGCGGTGAGTAGCGATGAGGAAACCCTGTTTTCGATTCGCCTCAAAAACAAACGCTGGAATTCTGGCGTGTGGCAACGACGGAATTCGCGGTGAGCGACGGTGCTGAAATTCTGTTTATGATGCGCCTCAAGAACAGACGGTGGGAATTCCAGCGAGTAGTGTTGCAAGAATTCGCCGTGAATGACGACTGACGCGTCTAAGTAAGAAACAGACTTCGAAACTTGGCGTGAGTAGTGGTGCTGGCACCCCTCTTCATAATCCCTCCTCGTAATCTCTTGACTGCTCCTCTCCCGTTTCCCTTCCCTTCCCTCTCCCTCCGTTTTCTACCCCCTTTCCACCTACCCTATTACCACATGCTTCTCAATGCAACCCGTTACTGTCTATCTCCGCACCTCGACCATCCTAGACAGCGGCCTCACTTCCCCCCTCCCTCCACCCCTTTGCTGCTCCACTCTCTCTCCACCCTCCCCCTCCACCCTCTCCCTCCACTCTCTCCCCTCCCACCCGCCAGGCGTCTCTTCTGGGGGAGGCGGTAACCGGGCAGGGCATTCTGGAACAGCTGAATCTCGAGACGGGGATCCCCGTGTATGAAGCCGAGCCGCTGCTGCTCTTCTTTGTCCTATTCAACATGCTCGGTGCGGTCGGCGCGCTGGGGGACCGCGGGAAGTTTGTCCTGGAGCCGGTCAAGCCGCCCGTGCCGCCCGCGAATGCCGGGTGGAAGGGCGCGCTCGGATTGGTGGAGAATGGTGGGTGTTGGGGGAGGGTGGTGTGGTCGGGTGGGAGAAGGGTAGGGGGGAAGGGAAAGGGTAGGGAATGGGGAAAAGAGTAGGGGGGATCGGGGAGAAGAAAGAGTGGGGGAAAAAAGGGGGCGAGGGAGGGGGTGTGGCAGGAAAAGGGTGGAAGGAAAATGGGTAAGTGGTTAAAATGCAGTAAGAGTGCCTGTAAGGATTTCCACTCCCACCCCATTTCCGCCCCATTCCCACCCCACTCCCACCCCATTTCCGCCCCATTCCCACCCCACTCCCATCCCATTTCCGCCCCATTCCCACCCCACTCCCACCCCACTCCCACCCCATCCCCACCCCATCCCCACCCCAATTCCTCCCCTATCCTACCCAACACCCTCTTGCACCCTTCCAACCCCCAGTCTACCACCCGACCCATCCTTGGGTTCACCAAGTTCAACAAGCTTTTCTTCGCCCTTGTGCCTCGGTTAGGCCGTGGTGCCTCCTTCCCTAATTAACCTCCCATCGTTTGCCCCATTGCACCCTCCCCCACCGCACCCCACCACTCTGCACCATCAGGTCCCGTCCTCGGGTTCACCAAGTCAAACGAGCTTTTCGTGGGTCGCGTGGCGCAGCTAGGGTTTGCCGCATCCCTAATCGGAGAGGTGATTACAGGGAAAGGCGCGCTGGCACAACTCAATATAGAGACGGGTGTTCCTGTATCGGAGATAGAGCCTCTGGTGATTCTGGGGATAATGCTGCTGTTCCTATCGGCCATCAACCCCGGTACTGGCAAGTTTATTAACGATGATGATGACAGTGCTGATACGTTTTAAAGTGGTTATTGGAGTGCGGTTACGTAGCTTATCGTGCTGAGATTGGCGTTAGCGTTATCTGTAGTTTTTGTTCTGTTTATAGAATGTACTAAATGATTTGCACACTAAGGAAATGTGACTGATTTAGGGCGGATTCCTAACTTCGTGTCATCCGGCCCTCGTGTCATCCGAACATGTGGGACCACTCAAATGTGCCGCGTCAGATGACCCGAAGTCGAATCGGCAATTCTTTTCTCGGGGAAAAATAAATTCGGATGACACGAAGTGCGGGATGACCCGAAGTTAGGAATCCGCCCTTATACTGGATGGTATCGAAGCTACTACCATGCTGGTAGCTGAGTGCAAATTGAATGCACACCCATATGTGCGTATAGAGCTGAATGAATGATTGAAATATACAAGCCAGCAGCATGAGCACTGAACCTCCACAGCAGCAGTAGGCCAGTCAGCCTCTTGTTTGTGGCCTCTCCTATCCTCTCCACAACCTCAAGGCACGTCAAGCCGTTCCTCGGGGAAGACGTGCCAATAAAGGGCAGACACACCCCATTCGATCACTCCCAGAAGCAGTAGCACCGGTACAGCCCTCTCTACCAGCAGAGGAAAAGGCACCCTCCCATCCACATATAGCCCTGCTATATCCCGCATATAGTATCGCTCGAATACAGGTAGAGCCGCCACTAGAGCTCCTCCTGCAAAACCCTGTAAGCCTAATAGTATCACGTAGTGTTCTCTAGGCATGCTTTGGATTACCATGTAGCTGGTTGCTACAGTACGGAAGGAGTGGAAGAGGAGGGAGAGAGCGAGGAGTGAGAGGAGGAGGATGAGTGAGAAAGAGGAGAGGTGAGAGGAGGGAGTCGGGAAACTTCCCTTAAAACTTCCTCCCCACCATGCCATCTCCCCTCCTACTCTATCTCCTACCCACGCCCGTCCCCCTCTCTCCCCCCACCCCCCCACTAGAAGATACCAGCAGGGGCCGTACAGGAGAGCGGCGGGAGGGAGGAGGAGGGGGAGGAGGGGAGTGAGTGAGGGGTAGAGGGGGAGGTGTGACTGGAGGAGGCGACCCGAGAGGAGGGAGGAGGAGGAGAAGGGGAGGAGGATGGCTGCTGCTAAGATGATGTGCTGTGGGGATGGGATGAAGTTGGGATGTAAGAAGGTAAGAGGAGGGAGAGGATTGGAAGGAGGGAAATAGGGAGAGTGGGGAAGAGGGAAAAGAAGTACGTGCTCTTTTTAGTTGACTTCAAAAGAAGAATGCGCCTCCAGTAAGGCAACCACGTGGAAATCGCGAGGGGAAAACGATGAAAGGAGGGGGATGGTTGTGGAGACGAGGAGGGGAGTATAGTGCAGAGTTCAGAAAGAGCAATACATAAGGAGGACAGTCGCATGCTTCTAGAGCACAGCTGAGGAGGGAGATAGCTGAGGATACAGGAGAGTAGCGGAGGATACCGGAGAGTAGCTGAGGAGAAAAGCAAGTCGGAGCGTACCTGGAAGGAGGAGAGGTCCCAGGTGTCTAGCGCACGGTTGAGCAGCCACAGGGAGATGGCTGAGGATATGAGGAGTGTGCAGGATGAGAGAAGGGCGAGGATGGGTGTAGAGCGGTGCAGCAGCATTAGGCAGAGCTGGTGGCGCGAGGGGAGGAGGCGGCGGGTGTAGAGGCGAGTGGAGGGACGGAGGAGGAAGAGGAGGAGGAGGAGGAGGAAGAAGAGGAGGAGAGACGGGAGGAGGGTGACGGTTGAAACGGATAAGGGAAAAGGGCCTGCTTGTTGCTCCTCCATCCATGCAGTATACCCTTCTCTCCCCCACACACCCTCCACACTCCCACCGCTCCCACCACCCCCACCACCCCCAACATCTCCCACAATCCCCCCTCTCTCCCCCATCGCCAGCACCCCTCCCACCAGCACTGCCAGCAGCAGCAGCGAGCGCAACGCCTCCACCACTCCAATCCTCTCTGCCACAGGTACGTTCCCTATGGAGTCCCCCAGGAAATTGAGGCCTGTGGTTTGTGTAAGGGGTAAGGTGGGGGGGTTAGGGAGTGCAAGGGGATGGCTTTCAAGTCGACTCAGAAGTCATCTCTACAACTCTGTTCCTCTCTGCAACAAGTACGTTCCCAATGAAATCCCCCAGGAAATTTAGGCCTGTGGTTTTGGGGAGAGGGAAGGTGGAGGGATAAGGCGGAGGAGGAGGAAGAGTTGGAGGGGGGGGAGGGAGTGAAACACAAGGCAAAAAACATGCTGATTTGTTTGGTCTCAAACCTTATATACCAGTGAGGAGGTTAGAAACGTATCAACACTCCAATTGGCTGTGAAGGAGCCTCAAAATTCCAAGGAGGAGAAGGACCTCTCCTCCAAGGAGGTGAAGGAGAAGGACCTCTCCGCCTTGGAGTGTTGAGGCGCCTTGTATCTACACTCCTATCGGCTGTGAAGGAGAGGGCTGGAATGCTGAGGCGCCTCCAAATATCGAAACGCCTCATGGCTCGCACTCACCATTAAGTACAGGGCCGGAGCAGGCTGAGAAGAAAGCGAGAGGGAGAGAGACTAGTGCCAGTCGCAGCAACACATTACTGCTGCTGCTGCTGCTGCTGCTGCTGCTGCTGTTGCTACCGCTGCTGCTGAGGTTGAACGTGCTTAGGAAAGGGAAGTGAGGGAGGGCGATGGAGGAATGGAGGAGCATAGCGGCACATGTGCCAGCCATGGCTACCCGCATGAGAGTGAGGGGAGGGTGGTGGAGGGCGAAATGGGACCACAGGAGAGAGGAGAATGAGAATACAGAGGAGAAGAGGGAGAGGAGGAGGGAGGGAGACGGGAGAGGGTATGAGGGAGAGAGGTAAGGCGAGGAGGCGAGAGGGGAGGAGAGAGTGGAGGAGAGCGGGGAGGAGAGAGCGGAAGAGAGAACGGAGGAGAGGGAATCAGGAGACGAGATGGTGAGTGGGTACGTGTTGGTACCCTCGGTGATTCCTCGGAGGATCTCAGAGGGAGAAGCACCAGGAGGGTATGGGATCAGGTGGGAAAGAGGTGAGGAAGGAAGAGGAAGAGGAAGAGGAGGAGGCCACCAGCGGTGCAGAGCAATCAGCAGCACCATGCACCCGGGAAGAAGGGCCGTAGCAGCACAGGCCAGCAGCACCACCCGTTCAAACCACCCTCCCAGCACTCTGCTGCTGCTGCTTCTCCCTGTACCAAGTCTCCCCCGTGCTGCGACCTTTCTCCTCCTTGCCGACACTGACTTTCCTGTGTTCCCTGGTTCTTGCATGATCCGTGTGTTGCCAGCAGCAGCAGTGTGGGTGCACGAAGGGTTGCTCCTGCAACTGTGCTGCTGCGAGTGGTGTGGATTCAGCAGCATGGACTCGGCTGCAAGTGCTGCCGCGTGTGCTGCTGCGTGTGCTTCTGCTGCTGTTGGTCCTGCACCCGATGCTACTGCTGCACCCGCTGCTACTGCTGTTGTCGTGGCTTCAGTCGCACCAACAGCATCACTAGTACTGACAGAATAACGAGCACTGACAGAGCCAAAGGCACCAACAGCAGCCCCATCAGCGGCACCATTATGACAACTGAGAAAAGCCTCTTCTTCCTCTATCCCTTCAACGACCCCTCCAGCAAAAACAGCATCAAGCACAGATCCCGTGCAGCCAGGCATTTGAGACGCCTCAAAGCCCTCGCCCGTGCTGCTACAGCCAGGAAAACCAGCACCTGTGGAATCTTCAGCCGTGTTTTTCATCGCGTGACTGTGACCCCTGCTCTCCTCATAGAAACTCCCTTCACACCCATCCTCCCGAAGCAATGCCTCAAAGGTGCACTCCTTGTAGTGACACTCGTCTGCCTCCTCTTCCTCCTCGTCCTCCTCAGTCTCCTCCCCTTCTCCCTCATCGTCCTCTCCTTCCGCTTCCTCTCCCTCTCCCTCCTCCTCTCCTTCCCACCACGGCTCGTACCCGTCTCCCCGCTCCCCTGGGAATTCCAGAGCGACTGAAACATGAGGGATGCAGCCATGTGCTTGCACCAAAGGTGATTGTATTGCGAGTGATTGCTCTGAAGGTGATTGTATCGAAAGTGATTGTGCAACAGGTGGTTGCAGGGAGGAGTAGGAGGAGGAGTGAGCGGGTTGCGCGTACAGGAGGGAGAAAGGGGGCCTTGAACGAGTAAGGACGGAGGAGAGAGAGGGAAGAGAGGGGAGAGAGGAGGAGAGACGGTGGAGGAGAGAGGAGAGGTAATGCTGGTGGGAGGTGGGAGGCGGAAGGGGGAAGGAAGAGGGTGTGGGGATTGGGGATGAGGTAGAGCATAAAGGAGAGCCGGATAAGGGGGAGGAAGAGGGGGAGGAAGAGGAAGAGGGAGAGGGGGAGGAGGAAGAGGGGGAGGAAGAGGGGGAGGAAGAAGAAGGGGAGAAGGAAGATGGGGAGAAGGAAGAGGGAGAGGAAGAAGAGGGGGAGGAGGAAGGTGGAGAGGAGGAAGAGGGGGAGAGGGAAGAGGAGGGGGAGGAAGAAGAGGGGGAGCAGGACGAGAAGGAGGAAGCAGAGGAAGAGGAAGAGAGGGAAGAGGGTGAAGGAGGGGACTGAAGAGCACGCTTCAGCACGGGGCAATGCCTTGATAGACGTGAGGGGGGGCCAGGCAAGCAGAAACTAGCAGGGTCTCTGGAAGAGAACAGCTGCCTCTCCGAGTTATTGTTGCTGCTACTGCTACTGCTGCTACTGCTGCTACTGCTGCTGCCGCTGCTGCTGCTGCATCTCGTTCTGCTGCAGCGGTACAGAAACGAAACCACCCCTCCGCCCGCTCCCCCACGCCCCCCACGCCCATGATTTTGCAAGCGCTGCACTCCCCCTTCACACCTTTGCCTCTGCTTGGATCCACAGACCCTTCCCAACGAGGCAACAGCGAGGAGGAAAGACCAGAGGAGCTTCTTGAAGTGAGACTTGGTGGAGTGGGAGAGTGAGGAGAGGAGGTCGATGGGGCAGAGGGCGAGTGCAGGTTGAGGGGGGGGGAGGAGGGGGGAGAGGGAAGGGGGCGGTGGTGGGCCGAGGAATGTTCGTGAGAGCGGGCCGCTTGCGGTTAAAGAGTCATTTGGATGGAGGTTGGAAGGGAGGTTCGAAGGGAGGATGGACTGGTGTGGGAGGCAGGATGAAGGGGGAGATGGTAGGCAGCAGCAGGCTTGGAATAGCGAGCTGATTGAGGAGGAGAGAGAGGGGGACAGCGAGCAGGAGGAGGAGGAGCAGGAGGAGGAGGAAGAAGCTTGAATGGCTTCCATGTAGCACTGGAGGTACTGGGAGAACATGTGCTGGGCAGGAAGGAAAAGAGGAGCACAAAAGGGGAGGACGGAGGGGAAGAAGATGAAGGAGTTGACTTTTGAGTCGACTCAAATGGAGGCTTAACTGGTTTCCATGTAGCACTGGAGGTACTGGGAGAACATGTGCTGGGCACGAGAGGAAAGAGGACGGCAAAGGGGAGGACGATGGGGAAGATGAAGGGGAGGAGAAGATGAGGAGGAACGGGGGGATGATGCAGGTGAACTCATGCATGTGAACCCATGCAGGTGAACTCAACCCTCTACAGCTTCCACTCCACACTTCCCTCATTCCCCCAGTACCTACCTGGGGCGAGAAGCGCAGCTGCATGGCATGGGCGTGCATGAGGGAGAGCAGGAGCGGGTAGTGTGCCTGTCTGAGCTTGTCTGTGCACCCCCCTCCCTCCTCCCAACCCCTCCCTCATTCCCCGCAGTACCTACCTGGGGTGAGAAGCGCAGCTGCGTGGCATGGGTCTGCATGAGGGAGAGCAGCAGCGGGGGGGCGGCCATAGCAGCATTGATCGCAGCGAGCAGCTGCTGCTGCTGGTGCTCGTGGCACGACGACTCTAGCGGTTGGTAGAACCCTGGGGTCTTGCCCAGCCCACCCTGCAGCACACAGGGCACGACACAATACAGCACAGCACCGCAAAACGATTTCTGAGGCGCCTCATAAGCAGCTGCTGCTGCTGGTGCTCGTGGCACGACGACTCTAGCGGTTGGTAGAACCCCGGGGTCTTGCCCAGCCCGCCCTGCAGCACACAGGGCACGACACAATACAGCACAGCACCGCAAAACGATTTCTGAGGCGCCTCATAAGCAGCTGCTACTCCTGGTGCTTGTGACACGACGACTCTAGCGGTTGGTAGAACCCCGGGGTCTTGCCCAGCCCGCCCTGCAGCACCGCACGGCAGGGACAATACAGCACAGCACAGCACGGCACAGCAAAACGATTTATGAGGCGCCTCAAAAGCAGCTGCTGCTGCTGCTGGTGCTCGTGACACGACGACTGTAGTGGCTGATAGAACCCCGGGGTCTTACCCAGCCCGCCCTGCAACACCGCACGACACGGGATGACACAGCACGGCACAGCATGACACAGCACACAGGACACAGAACAAAACAGACAATAAATCCACTTTCTTGTTGACCCTAAACCCAGCTGAGGACTTGCCTAAGTCTCCCTGTGTCTTGAATTGAACAGAGTTTCCTGTGAGGCGGAAGTTTCCATCACACTATCGTATCAGTCTATTTTACCTCGCATGCGCCCTCCCCACAACACCCCGCCAGCAACCACAGCCCCCGCTCACTCTCCCGTGTCCATATCCCACACACAAATGCGTTTGCAAGTGCTCACAATGCACGCACATCCCCATTACACCCACTAACCCACCCAGCACATGAAAGCCACACCCACCACCCCATGCATTTCCAAACTTATTACAAGCCCGGTGTACCACCCATGCAAGTGCCCCCTCAGTACATGTACACCCACCCACCCACCCTTTCACCCTCCCACCCACCCACCCTTTCACCCTCACCCACCCTTTCACCCTCCCACCCTCCCACCCACCCACCCACCCTCCCACCCGCCCGCCCACCCACCCACGCACCACTTGAAAGCCGCACCCCAGCGCGCCCTTCCATGCAAACTCCACGTCCGTCAATCCGCAGGGCTCAAAGCGGCTGGGCAGCAGCACAAAGTCCGCTGCTGCCATCAGTGCTGCTGAAGCCGGGCCAAGGCCGCGACTGACCACAGGAGACGGCACGGCAGCTCTCAGGCTCCACATCTGTGAGCCCACAGGGCTCAATGCCTACATCCAAGGAACACCCACTTCCCAACCTCCCATGAATCACGCACCCACCCGCCCGCCCACCCACCCACGCACCACTTGAAAGCCGCACCCCAGCGCGCCCTTCCATGCAAACTCCACGTCCGTCAATCCGCAGGGCTCAAAGCGGCTGGGCAGCAGCACAAAGTCCGCTGCTGCCATCAGTGCTGCTGAAGCCGGGCCAAGGCCGCGACTGACCACAGGAGACGGCACGGCAGCTCTCAGGCTCCACATCTGTGAGCCCACAGGGCTCAATGCCTACATCCAAGGAACACCCACTTCCCAACCTCCCATGAATCACGCACCCACCCGCCCGCCCACCCACCCACGCACCACTTGAAAGCCGCACCCCAGCGCGCCCTTCCATGCAAACTCCACGTCCGTCAATCCGCAGGGCTCAAAGCGGCTGGGCAGCAGCACAAAGTCCGCTGCTGCCATGACTGCTGCTCTCTCGCGCGCTGTCACCACTGTATTGGACGCGTATAGACGGTTGGGGTAGGCTGTGGCGGCCAAGTGGGAGAGGTTCTGCTTGGGGGGTTGAGGGGGATGATTGGAGAGGAACAGAAGAGTGGGCAGCAGCACAAAGTCCGCTGCTGCCATCAGCGCTGCCCGCTCCCGCGCTGTCACCACTGCGTTGGACGCGTATAGACGGTTGGGGTAGGCTGTGGCGGCCAGGCGGGAGAGGTTCTGCTTGGGAGGGAAGATGCGAGAGGAACAGAGGGGCGGGTGGGAAGCAGCACTAAGCCCGCTGCTGCCATCAGCGCTGCCCGCTGCTGCGCTGTCACCACTGCGTTGGACGCGTATAGACGGTTGGGAAAGGCAGAGGCAGCCAGGCAGGAGAGTTGCTGATTGGGGGACGGGAGAGGAGGGGAGGGGTTGAGATGGAGTGGGAGTGGGACAGGGTGAGGAGACTGAAGGCCGCACAAGTCCACTGTCCTGCCATCAGTGCTGCTCTCATTCCCGTGCTGTCACCACTGCGTTGGACGGTTGGGATAGGCTGTGGCGGCCAGGTGAGAGAGATGCTGTTCGAGGGAAGATGGGAGAGGAGGGGTTGGGGTGGGGTGGGTCTGGGACAGGAGAGGAAGGAGGAGGGAGGTGGTGGGCTGAAGGAAAAAGAGATGGAGAAGGAAAGCAGGAAAGGAGACCGAAGGAGTGGGAGAAGGAAAACGAAACAAAAAAGGAGAGCGAGAAGGAGAAGGAGAAGGAGAGGGAGGAGAGGGAGGAGAGGGAGCAGGGAAAGGGGATTTGTTGTACAAGCGAGTGAGGCAGAGATGAGCAGGCGCCGAGAGAGAGGAGACGATGTTGGTGGCAGTAGAAAAGAAGGGAGAAAAGAAGAAGCATGCACCACAGTACCTGCACGGCCTGTCGACCGTGCATATCTGTGCAGTGCAGGGACCAAGCACCACCAGGCACGCCCAAGCATTCTCCCACATTTTCAAGACGTCTCAAATATCATTACCAGCACGGCCTCTCGTCCATGCATGTCTGTGCAGGGACCAAGCACCACCAGGCACGCCCTGGGATGCTCCCTCAACACGCGTGCAGCCACAGCCGCTATCAAGTCGCTGCCCTTCTGGTAGCTCTGCCGCCCCAGGAACACAAACAGACGACTGCCGCTGTCCGTCTCTACACCGGTGCCGCCTGCTCCATGCATGTTAAACCTAGAAGGTGGCACATGGTGTGTGTTTAAACCCGTGCTATCAGCAGTGGTGGTGCTATCAGCAGTAGCGGTGCTATCAACAGGGTAACAACAGATGTCTGGCTCTGGAGGTGAGTCCATCATAACAGGTTCACTGCTGTGCTGCCCTGCACCCTTCGATCTCTCCCAGTTGCTGCAACTGGTGCTGCTGCTGCTGCTGCTGCTGCTGCTGCTGCTAGTGCTACCGCTGCTGGTGGTAACGGTGCTGGTGCTGATACTGCTAGTGCTGCATGTGCTGCTGCTGACTGTGGGATCACCACCAGCACCTGATGCAGTTCCTCCCTCCACATGCACCACCACCGCCTCTCCTCCTCCTGCTCCTCCTCCTCCTCCTCTCTCCCCCTCTCCAGACCTCCCCACTCCCCCTCCTCTCCTTCCCGCCCACCCTCTCCCTCCTCCTTCCACTCCCGTCACCCCTAATCCATACGCTTCCGTAACACTTCTCTTTGCCTCCCTCTTCCTCCCAGCTATCTCCACCACCCCCCACCCCGGATTCTCCTCCTCATCCACTCCATTCATAATACTCACAATCCGCTCCACCCCCCAAAAGAGGCTCAGCTTTCGTTTCAGCCTCTCTGCATAGTGTTCCGATACGGTTACCAGTCCCGAGCCTGCCTGGCAGGCTTGGAGGATGGTCAGGGCGGCATGCAGCATGTTGAATGTGTTGCTGTGGCAGCAGTAGGTGTGGAACTCGAAGGGAGATACGTTGAATGTGGACAGAACCCACTCCTGGTGGGCAGGACTACAGATTCGCCATGCGCCCTGGGGTGGTGGGTGGGTGAGGGGTGGGAGAAGTGAGTGAGTGATGAAGAGTGGTGGGAGGGAGGACGCGAAAGGAAGGGCATACCGCACATACAAAGCGCAACACATGCCAAGTGAATCACTAGAGTGTGTCACGTGCATCGCGTAGCAGAGAGTAGCGTAGGTAGGTAGTGTTACGCAGACCAATTCACGCAGTAACACACCTGGAAGTCACCGTTATGCAGAGTGATGCAAAAGGCAGGAAATGGCCTCTCCTCTCCTCCCGCCTCCTGCTGCTGCTGCTGCTGCTGCTGCTGCTGCTGCTGGTGGGGTTGTTGCAGCTGGTTCCAGCCCCTTCGCATCATGTAGAGTGGGGTTAGGGAGGCTGAGGGCGAGCGAGAGATGGGTGGGTGGGCGGGTGGGTGGGGTAGTGGAAGATATGGAGAGAAGAGAGTGAAAGAGTGAGTGTGTGAGTGCAGGAGGCGGGGCAGAAACGGACACCGTTACTAGTAATGATTAAGAGCCGATTAAGGACCATTGCTTTTTAATTACTAGAAAAAGTACCCAATTATTGGTTTCTTTCCCCTTACACTACACACCTCCCCATCCCCTCCCCCTTCCCTTCCCCTCACCGTGGTAGTCATGCAGGTGGATGACGTCAGCATGGGGCGCAATGACGTGAGCAGCGTGCGCCACTGCCTGGCTCCATGCGGAATACAGCACCATCTCCGCACTGGCACTGGCGCACCTGGGGGGAGAAGGAGGGAGGGGGGAACGAAGGAGAGCAGAGGGGGATAAGGGAAGAGAAAGGGGGAGAGGGGGATAGAGCGGGAGAGAAAGGGGGAGAGGGGGATAGAGCGGGAGAGAGAGGGAGGGAAGCGTGTGGTTGATGGGGGAAGTAGAGGTTCACAGATCGGTAGGCGGGGGGAGGGAGGGTGGAAAGGGGAGCAGGGGCGAGTACTGGAACAGTCTAATTATTAAAGCTGAAAGTGAAAGAGAGCCAACACCTTTCTTCTCCCCCCTCCTCTTCCTTGCCCCTCCAACCTTCCCCATTCTCCCTTCCCTTTTCCTTCTTTTCCCTTCTCCAACCCACCCCACTCCCTCCTCCTCCCCCTTCTCCCAGTTCCCTCCAATACTCACTCATACAGGTCTCGAGCCGTCCTCTTAGAAAACACCCGACACGTCAGCAGGTAGAACGTGCGCGGCGCGCCACATGGCGCCACGTCACGCAGCACGTGCACGTGCACAGGCACCCACGCACCCAGCACCGTCACCCAACCCTGCTTCGCAGGCTCGGCAGGAGGGAGGCTCGGCAGGGGGAAATCCGCCAGGCGCGGAACGATCAAGGAGAGGGGGAAGGGGAATTTGCGAATAAAAAGATCCACCACTTTAAACAGCCCGCCCACTGACGCAGAGTAATTCACCCCTGGAATGGAATACTCAAGGCTGACGTGGCACACACGTGGCACGACGCCATTGGTGGATGGTTGCCGCCCTGGTTGCGCCGTTGGCGCTGCAGGGAAATCCATGCTCAGGGTTTCGGGCTTCATATGATTCGATAGAAGCTGCTTGGAAAAGCCGCTACTACCACCGGCTGTGCAACGCTGATCACGCAACTGCACTCCTTCCACTTGCACTCCAGATGTGCCCGAGTTCCGTCATATCTCAAAGAGTCTCTCTCTCCTCGGCGTCTACGGCGTCGTCAGTCGTTCAACGGTGGTGGCGGTGGCGGTGGCGGTGGTGGCGGCGGTGGTGGCGGCGACGCCGCTGCAGGTCTTAGAGTCTCTTTGCTCGCCGTGCAGCCGCCAAGTAAGCCCGTGGATTAGAATCCCGGAGCCTCGACGGAGGCAGTCAGGGTCGCCTTGCGCGGTCGCGATCGTTTCAGAGTCGTGGATGATGAGCAACTGCAACTTCAAGTTGAAGAGAGCTTTGAGAATGGCTCAGGAAACGCGTGTCACGGTGAAGGATGCGAGCGCGAGATGCGCTGGCGGCGGGGAGGAGGAGCACGGAAGAGAATGAGAGGGGAGGGAGGAGGGGAGGAGGAGCACGGAAGAGAATGAGAGGGGAGGGAGGAGGGGAGGAGGAGCACGGAAGAGAATGAGAGGGGAGGGAGGAGGGGAGGAGGAGCACGGAAGAGAATGAGAGGGGAGGGAGGAGGGGAGGAGGAGCACGGAAGAGAATGAGAGGGGAGGGAGGAGGGGAGGAGGAGCACGGAAGAGAATGAGAGGGGAGGGAGGAGGGGAGGAGGAGCACGGAAGAGCCAAGCGGAGCGAACGGAGAGAAGATTTTCCGCAAGAGAAGGCGGGCCAGCACAGCGAGACACCGCAAGAATGACCAGTAGTCAGTTTATTTCGACGGTTGAACAGCCGGAGCGTCACGCTCAGAATTTCAGGCTTCGCTGTTTAAGAAAAGGGTAACTCGAGCTTCGAATGGCGGTCGCTGCTTCATAGGCCATTGCGTGGGTCGTATGAGCGTCAAACTGCGGGTTTCGTGGAAGCAAGCAGAACAGATGGGAGTGCGAGGGTGACTGGGAGGTATAGGCTGAGGCTGGAAGGCGGGTAATGCTTCGTTCCGACGACGCTTCTTCGATAATTCGCATCAGCTGAGCGATAGATCTGGGTGATCAGCTGACGTGTCATGCGGTGATCGTTGGATCATCGATCTCCTTTCGAGTCGCACGACGCGCGCTGCGGGCGAAGAACTTCTCGGACTATGGACAAGTCGACACGACGTACCCCATACGTTCAGGGTTTGGGACGTTGTATGATAACGCACCCTGAAATTGGACATTCGGTTTTGATGTCAATCGCGCTACCTTCACGCATCCCTCGAACCGCTTCAATGGCCTTCCATTTCCGCTTCTTTCGACGCGTCAATGGAGCAGATGGCGAATGAAAGAAGACGAATCCACTCCATCGCCATCGCCGGTAGCACTCGCTAATAATTCCTTGCGCGGCTTGCGGTTCGCCTCTAAGACCCAACCTGGCTTGCGGACCCAATCTGGGGCCGCTCAATAAACGCGTCATCATCAGTTACCAAGACACTCTCGGACCGATCGAATTGAGCCTACTGTAAGATTCGGGTCGTCAAGCAGACGACGACCATGGGAAGTGACGCGCAGACTATCACTCACAATCCAGGAATGCGTTTGAAGTAATAGATTGCGCATTGTGCGCGTTCTAGTCACTGAATAAACGTGTTCCCTTCCAAGACCAGAGTTGTCCCGTACCGACCGACACCATTCTGCCCCAAAGTGCACCCAACCCAACCTCGTCATACCGCATCTTGCACACAGGAGGACGCGACACGTGACGTGCCATTTCCAGTTCCAATTGACCAGAAGGTTGCTGCTGGCCTATTCAATTTCCATCACCTTGGCCTCACCAAATATCCGCTGTATAGCACAGCAGCGAAACCCGTTGATAAGAAACTGCTATGGAGCAGTTTGACAAGCACTGAGGCAAACCACACTGACATTGACAAGACGAGGTCTAGATTGTGCCAATGTCGGTTTGGGTTGTGCAATTGACTGTAGGTTTTCAGTGGGTGTAGGTTTTCACAAAAAGATCAGGCTGCGGTCCCTCTTTGAGAACTAAATTCATGTTTGTGATCTTTGTTAGGGCATACAAGCAAATGCCAAAACACTGGATATAAACTACTGCACAATTTTAAGCACCTCAAGTTTGAATATGTTGGAGGAGCAATGTCAAGAGAGCCAATAAAAACGTTCGTCATGCAGACCCTTCTCACCGATGTGAAGCATCTGGGCATATCATGAGCTCACATACCATGACATGCACTCAGACCATGCCCCATGTTCAGCTCAGACCATTCCCTTCCAAGCCGGGTGAATCATACCTACATTGGAAAGCTTTGAATGGAGCACCTGTGCAACCAAGCACCTCGTAGCTCGTGCCTAGTGCGTTATTCCCCCATTCCTCCCTCCCTGTTGCCCCATAAGCTGATGCAACAACGACAGTTCATTATCCACCCCTTGCGACGCCAACCCCCGCGCCACCAACCCATACTCGTCCCTCACGGACCTCCCTCCTGCCCCAGCCACTGTAAGCTCCGATGCCAAGTAAAGACTAGGGTCATTCAGCCCACCCCTCCCTCCTCCTCCTCCTCCACCTCCTCCTCCCCCACCACCCGCTAGAGAGCTGAGTGACGGATCCAAAAGGCTGCTGTTTATTCCTCCCGCTCCGCCCGCTGCTGCTCCTCCAACCCCCCGCGAGATCCCCAGATTCATCAACGCAGCAGTGTTATTTTGACCGCCCAAATTGAATCCCGACGCGGCCATAGTCGCCCTAAGAGCCGCATATTCCTGCAGCCCTGCTGCCCCTCCTCCTCCTCCCCCTCCCCCTCCTCCTCCACCGTTATCCACTCCTCCCATTGTCCCTGTAGCCATTTCCAAGAGCCCTCCCAAGCCTCCTCCCCCTGCCAGGCCCGCTGAACCCAGCCCTGCTATACCAGCAAGCCCTGCAAGCCCAGCATGTGTTGGTGAAGCAGCAGAACCCCCACCTCCGCCTCCACCTCCTCCTCCTCCACCACCACCACCGGCACCAGCACCACCCATCAATCCCACCTGCCCTGCCAAAGCCTGTAGGTATGAGTCCATACCGCCAAGCCCAGCCGCCCCTCCCCCTCCGCCTCCCCCCGCTGCTCCCCCCCCTCCTCCCCTCTGTCGCACCATGCTCTCCTGCTGAGCTTGCAGTAACAGGTTCAGCTCATAGGGAGACAGATTCTGAAGGCCTAGCGCTTGGGCTATCCCGGCCATACCACCTGCACCCGCACCAGCAGCACCGCCACCACCACCTTCCCCTGCTGCTGATCCATACTCATGGCTTGCTCCTATCCCCGACGCTGCAGGTCCCAACAACCCTGCTGCCATGGCTGCTGCTGTGGCAGCGTTCCCAAACCCCCCTCCTCCAGCAGCCAGATGGGCCAATGGGGAGCTGCCACCTGTTGCGCCTGCCTGCCTCCGCTGCTGCTGCTGCTGTTGTTGCTGCTGCTGCTGCTGCTGCTGCTGCTGTTGCTGCTGCTGCTGCTGCTGCTGCTGCTGCTGCTGTTGCTGCTGTTGCTGCTGCTGTTGCTGCTGAATGGCTTGAATCTGTGCGATTGTGGCTAGAGTGGACGCGTCCAAACCCCCACCGGCCACCATTGCTGCTGCTGCCGCCGCTGCAGCAGCAGCAGCAGCCGCACCACCACCACCATCCCCCCCGCCTAAGCCTCCCAACACGCCAAGACCTGCAAAAAGGCCCCCACCGCCGCCACCACCACCACCTCCCCCTCCCCCTCCCCCTCGACCCCCAATCCCACCAGCCCCGCCCAGCCCGCCTCCAACACCAGCAGCGGCGGCAGCAGCAGCAACAGCATCGGATAGGCTCATGGAAGGGGTTTTGGAGGAGCGAGAGCCGGGTAGCTGCACGTGCAGCGTGCCCCCGAACGCACTGCCTTCTGTGGCTTGGAAGGACGCCACTGGGTGCGGCTGTGGGTTCACCCCGCTTAGCCGCTTCAGGTACAGACGGTACTTCTGCCCATGGGTGGATTTGGGAAGAGAAGGAGGGAGGGAGGGAGGGAGGGAGGGAGGGAGGGAGGGAGGGAGACACATGGGTTGTTGTGAGTGAGACGGAGGTCAACTCCGGGTTACGGACGTCAGTTGGTTAAAGCAACGGTGCTTTGGATTGGAGGGGCGGCACTCGGTAGACGACGAAAGACGGAAGGAGCAGCAGGAGCAGCAGGAGCAGCAGGAGCAGCACTGACCTGCAGATGCGAAGCAACGTTCTCCCGAGTGAGTCCCTGCACGTTCATAATCTCCAATATTCGCTTCGGCACCGCCTCTGGTGGTGCCAAGGACGGGGGACGAAGGAAGGACCGGGGGTGGGAAGGTGGGGGGGAAAGGTAGGGGGAAGGGGAGGAGGCGGGGGGGGCAGACGAGTAGGGGGGTAGGAGGGCGAGCTAAAGCGATGAGCAATAAACATTCTGTTCTCCCGAGTAAGTCCCTGGCTTGGTACTGCTACTGTAGCATTGTGTTCCCTGTACTCTTTCTAAGCTCTATCGCAAAGGCCGAGTCTTAACACGATAAGCGAGTGAAGGACGGAGTAAAAAAACGACGGATGGCGAGACTTCGAGGAAAAAACGGTCACGAGTTTCGGGCTTCTCTTTATACAAAAAAAAAAGGTCACAAGTTAGGACAGCACTCGCTGTCAACGCCGAGCCGGTTGACAGCGCTAACGAACTGCTAGTGCAGCCCAATGGACCACACCGCACCATTGGGCTGGTGAGTGCTGCCTGCCACCACACTACACGCGCCTTCTTTAGCATCATCGAGCAGGCAGCAGGCATTGGGCAGCAGGCACTGGGCAGCAGGCATTGGGCAGCAGGCAGCAGGCAGCAGGCAGCAGGCAGCACTCACTGTCCACTCCGAGCCGGTTGACAGCGTTGACGAACTGCTGGTGCAGCTCAATGGACCACACCACTCGCGCCTTCTTCAGCATCATCGCATCCTCCACCGTCTCCTCCTTCTTGCGCTTGCCCCCCACCTCCCCGTCACTATCCCCTCCCTCCTCCCCTCCCTCTCCCCTCCCCCCTCCCTCTCCGCCTCCGCCCCCCATCCCCTCCACGAAACCCTCGTCGTTTATCCCGCCCCGCCCGCCACCGCCGCCGCCGCCGCCGCCGCCAGCGTCCCCCCCAGCAGCAGCGGACGTGCCGGGTTTGACCTCGTCCCACTCGCCGGCGGCGTCCGCGTCCCTTGCGCCGGCGTCGCGCGGAGTGGTGCGCTTGCGCACGACGTGCTGCCAGATGTTGCGCAGCTCCTCGATGCGCATAGGCTTTAAGAGGTAGTCGCACGCACCGTGCGTTATGCCCTTCATCACCGCGCTCGTCTCGCCGTTCGCGCTCATCACTGGGGGGAGGCGGGAGGGGGGAGTGAGGGGAAGTGGCGGGAGGGGAAAGAGGAGGGGGAGAGGAGGGAGGAGGGGACCAGCGGGGGACGAGAGGGTGGGGGAAAGGGGGAAAGCGGGTGGAGATGGGAGGATGGGGAGAGGAGACGAGGGAACGGGAGGGAAGGGAAGAGAGGTTAGGCGAAACGGAGAAACGGGTGTGTTAAAGATAATCGTGGGGACCCATTGTTAAGTGTCGACACTCAATAAGTCATCTGAAACTCCCGTTAAGCGCTGCTCACTTTAACGCGGACAGGGATTGAGATATGGATACCAGGGAGGACTTATGCACGGAACGGAGGAATGGGAAGAGGAGGGAGAAGGTAGGGGAGAGCAGAGAAGGCGGGAGGAAAGGAGGGAAGGAGGATGGAACAAGAGCGAAGTGGGAAGGCGAAGAGGGAATGGGGAAAACAACCGAAGAATACATTGAATCAAATGACGAGAAAATAAGTCGGAACGGAGAGTAGCGAAGGGTTCAAACGCAAATCAGGAGGGCAGGGGAGAGCAGAAGAGAGCACGGGAGACGAACGCGAGGAAAACAAACTCACACGCGGAAACAATCAATCCATAAGGGTACGTACGTACGGAAGGGAAAGGAGGCAATGGAAGACTCAGCGACAACCGCGACAGGTTACAGAGGTAACGCCGTCTGCCAGCGAGCGAACCCTCACTGATAACGGGGAGGTCGAGCTCGAGACCGACGAGTTCGAGCAGCTTAAAGCCGCCCATCGCGGGCATGTACACGTCGCTAATCACCAGGTCGGACTCTCCAGAGAATGCACGTGCAAGCGAAAGAGAAAGCGCAAGTGCCAGTGCAAGCGCAAGCGAAGAGGAACGCAACGCACTGATAACGGGGAGGTCGAGCTCGAGGCCGATGAGTTCGAGCAGTTTAAAGCCGTCCATGTCGGGCATGTACACGTCGCTAATCACCAGGTCGAACCGGTCGCGGTTCTCCCGCAGCAGCGACAGCGCCGTTGCCGCGCGGCTGCATGTCGTCACTGGAGGGGGACAGGGCGGGGGGGAAGGGGGAGGAAGCGGGGCGCGGGCGGGGGGGCGGAAGGGGGGAGAGAGAGGAAAGGCGGGAGGGGAGAAGAGGAGAGAGGCTGAGACAGAGAACGAGAAAAAAAAAACTCACACAAACATGAAACTGACAACACAGTCGAAAACAAGAAAAAAAAATGTTCTTCTGTTGTCGAAGAAGGCTGATACCTGAGTAAGAGCATTGTCGCAGCATTCGCTCGAGAATCATGAGACAGAGCGGGTCGTCGTCGACAGCGAGCACCCGCATTCCGGCCGGAAAGGAAACTCCGCTGTTGTCGTTGTTACTGTCATTGTTGTTCTTATTGTTGTTGTTATTGTTGTTGTTATTGTTGTTGTTGCCGGTGTTGTTGTTGTTGATTGCGGTGTTGTTGTTGGTGGAGCTCGACAGGTTGCGAACCAGAGGTAGTTGCGAGTCAAGGTCCGGCGACGTATCCTCCTCGCCGATTCCTAAATCGTGCTCTATTAGCGAGTTAAACATGGTTGACGGCGCGTAACGATAAACGAGCCCCGGTTATCTGGAAGTTGGAAATGTTATGAAAATCTTAGTAATAGGGAGAACCGAAGGCGACGCTAGGGAGAAGCTAGGGAATCATAATAGAAGCCGGGGATCATGCCCAAGGACAAAAAAGACGGTTTGCAGCTGATGACAATTTTTGGCACAATGTCGACGACTATTGCGTCTCTCGACCTAACGTTTTTTTTTAACGCCGAATCAGATACACTTCCTCCTTAAGACCACTAAGCGATTTGTGGCGGACAACGCAGTTGAAGTATCCGAAGCGAACGAGCAAAAATATAGGTTGTCGAAGGCAATGGCTGATGGAGGGTGGAGGAGGAGGATAGCACTAAGTCCAGCTTTGAAAGGTTTGCGGATGCTGGTCTGCTGATCATACAATGCGGTTCAATACGTTTTCATACGGTAAAACACGGTTGGCTCAATGTACCGTGATGCACCGCAACACACCGAACACAGACATAGTTTGTGAACTGAAAATGCACCTCGAGAACACCTCAGTGAACTGTATCTTGGGCACGAATTGAAGATGAAACCCTAGCGCATTCTGTAGTGAAAGCTTGAAACCCAAGCAACGAGAAATGGGGGGCAACAGGGATGGTGGGGCACCAAAATTGGGGCTGGCCTCAGGGAAGGATGGCGGACGAAACGGTACACCTAGTCCGCGGTATTTTAACCGCCGCTATCTTAACCACGCAGGGGTACTACTCCATGGTCAATATTGAATACAAGGGTAGTTTAAAACATTTATGAGGGTCTAGTTAAGCGACCCAGCGAGATCACGGAAGTTGCAACTCTGTTAATCCCAATGCGCCCCCTATCTCGGAGCACTAAGTGTGGGTTTTTTCAAACGGAAAACTTCCCGGCTGTATTCTAATAGCCCCGAAGTCTCTGGGTGCCCATTCCATTGAACTAAAATGCACTCAGGATGTTTGAAACAAAAACGTTCGGTTGGTTAAAATACCGCGGACTAGGTGTATTAGCATAATCACCCTGAGAATGTCGCATAGACTCAGATGCGTTTAAAAGTTATCCCTAAGTTTCAAAATCACTCTCTTGGAGGTCTCTGAAGAATCTTTGGGGGTGCGGCGGGGAATCTTTCATGTTCACTCCCGTATACGGGATTCGCGCTTAGTCGAGCCTGCCCAACTGGGGCAGATGAGCGACAAAATGTACACGTTCTGTAGTCCAGTTCTGCAAGGACCAGGAGCTCCACTTCAGGCTCCCTCATCCCCCACGACTCCACCCTCTTCCATATCATGGTTGTGGTGTGGCTGTGCTGGTTTATCCGGTCTATAAATACGGCATAAACAATAACAAGTATTTGTTCGGACCAGAAGAATCTACTCCCCGTTTGCTGTGATCAATATTCCAACGATCTTCACGAACGAAACCACGATTAGAGGGGAGAAACTAAACGTTTCGACTGCTGATTTGATGGTGGACGGAAAGTTGAACTTGGGGAACTGGACGTGGAAGGCTGGTCGTGTGTTGGTGGGTGGGGCAGTGGCTGGGTCGGGGTGTGGTGGGGAAGAAGGGAGAAGCCTCCGTGCGGAGCCACAGGGTTCTCTCAATCGCACGTAGGTTTGTGCGGAAAATAATTTGACGTATCTAAAAACTGGATTCTTGATATGGTCGTCACTGTTCAGACAGTATTTCTGAGTTTCGACTGGTCCCCCGAGGGGCAACTCGTCCCAATCCGACAAAGGACGCGACGATACGGCGGGTGCAAGATCTTCCGCCGTGACCGAAGCCGAATACTGTATGTTTCCTGCCCGGCTAGATCTCAAGGTTTGGTAAAGGCTATTTCCACAACGTCATCACAGCCACTTCCTCCATTCAACCTTTCATGCCTGAGTAGCTTTCCGTCCCGACCGATATCACATTCTTGAAGGCATGGAGCACGACGCTGTATGAAGTGTTTGTTTATACAGGAGAGCTTTCAGAAGCAACTCGGACGATCTAAATCAAACTAAACACACCCTAGAAATCTGGCGGCAGTTCTTGACCGCATTAAAATTTGGGTGTTTCCGCTTGTTCCTCCAAAGTTGATCGAATCCTCTCGGGAATCAAATTCTGGATTTCAGCCACTGTGCACCCGGTCGAATCTCAATTAGCGCACATAAATACATTACATTATTCACAGCAGCTATACATCATATGCATTCAGTATATTATAGAGGTCAGTTACGACTGAAGTGTTTTGCTTGTACACTCCTGGTATAAGCTTTCACTATTAAAAAAAAAAGTATATTATAGAGGTGATGACAAATACACATGCATCCAACAAAAACCCACCCCCAGCCAGCCAGCTACCCACCCCACACACACACCACTATCCAAGCTAACTTCAATCCATCACCTACCCATAGCAGTCACAGCAAGGCACCCTTGCTCTCCTTCCTCATCATACACTTTTGCTCTTACGTACACGGCCCTCGGCTCGGCCCTTCACAATTGCATAACACTAATTTTCCTCCTCACTTCCGGAACACCCTGCTGTGTGACAAGCCTCAGCTTTGCAGACAGGGCAGAGCTTGGAGTACTGCGATAGCCACTCGGTTGCACAGGATCGGTGAAATCGGTGCTGACAAGGCAGTACCAGCAAGGCATCTCCCTCCACGTACTCGCCCTGGCATATGCTGCACAGCCTGCATTCACCACCGAGGGAATAAAGCAAGGCGGGGACGCCATACCATTGGGTTTGCATATCGAATGAACCTCTGATTGTAAGGAGTGTGGTGGTGCATGCGTAGGGATTGCCTTGGAATAACGACTGGCACTCATTGTCGGTTAAATAACCAAGGACGGTACGACGACGGATGACGGTACAGAGAATACGACAGCATGCAGATGTGAATGATGCAGGTTCTCAAACGAGGACCCTCCCTTCAAAATTTGACAGAAAAACAGGGCAGAGATGTTCAAAAATAGTATTATACAATGCAATAAAAGGGAAAGAACACACACACACACACACTAACACACACACACACAAACACACACACACACACACTCACAAACAAACACACACACACACACAACTAGAACAGACAAAGGTGATGTCTGTGTGCTCACTCGTCCGAAAATGAGTCGCTGGAATGCTGCGTGCCCACATGCAGGGTCGGCAGGTGGTCGATTTGATCCCGCGACAGCCCGCACTGCACACTCTCCAGCTCTGTCAGGTTCTGCACGAGCAGAAGGAGAGGGCGGAAGGGGTGGGCGGCAGCAGTAGTGAGACAGCAGCGGTGGGAACACCGCAGCGGTAAAGCAGCAAAGGAGAGCTGAATTGCTGGTGAGAAGGTGGGCAGTCAGCGCGGGGAGGGCGGGGAGGGGGTGATATGCAAGCAAGCATGCTTGGGGGGCGAGTGAGGATAGCAGAAAACAAGCCCGTGTATAGAAGAACGGGGGACGGAGAGGACCGGTGGGAAAAACGGATAGTAAGTGGCGAAGGTGTGCAATAAGGAAAGCAGCGAAGGGAAGGAAAGAACGAGGAAGAGGGGATGGGGGAAGAGGGGAAGGAGGGGGAGGGGGGTGGGCGGGATGATGAGGGGACGGAAATGGGGAACAGGAGGGGGGGTGGGGGGAGTGGCGAGGGGGCGGTAAGAGGGGAACGAACTTCGTAAGAGAGGTCCCCTGACGCAGCAGCTGCAGCAGCGTCCGAGAGAGACCCGGTGCTGGCGCTGGCGGCAATGGGGTGATCCACTAGCGACAGCGACAGCGCTGCTCACCATTGCCACCGGGGAGAGAGGGCGAGAGGTCAAGAGACGATCAAGAGGGAGAAAGGCTTTTCAAATTAGGGAAAGCGACTGAGAGAGCCGGTGCTGTCGCTGGCGGCAATGGGGTGATCCACTAGCGACAGCGACAGAGCTGCTCACCAGTGCCGCAAGGGGGAGGGAAAGGGCAAGAGACGACTAAGAGAGACGTGGAGGGTTGCGGAGGGAGAAGGGGCAGGAGAGGGATGAGAGAGAGGGGGAAGGGGTGGGGGAGTTGTGGGCGGGGTGGGGTGTGGGGGGGAGGGTGGGGTGGGGAAAGCGGAGTAATGGACACTAAAGAGGAAGCGGAAGGCGGAAGGCGGAAGGCAGGAGGCGGACGGGAACCTTCGCAACTCCGAATCATGCGCAAAAGATGAGAAACTGATCCCGTGTGCGTTCTGATGAGCTTACCTAGCGCCATCTCTAACTCATCCCCATCCGCGAAGCCTCCGAAATGCGACCAGGGCACAGACGACGACGTCTGCTGCCCCCCTCTGCTTCTACCTCTACCGCTGCTGCTGCTGCTGCCGCCGTAACCCCACCGCCATTCCTCCTCCCCCTCCTGCTCCCCCTCCCGCTCGAAAAACTCCTCGATTTCGCGCTGCCCCTCCCGCAATTGCCGGCGGGAGACGCGGCGCTGCTGCCGCCTGCGCGCGGAGGCCGTCTGCTGCATGAGCGACAACCTCGCGGCTTCCGTGGGGGACGGGCTCACGTCATTGCTGGCGTCATCGTCCGGTGCTACTAGGGCCTCGCCCCATCGCTGCTGCTCGATGCGCCGCATCTCCGCTGCTGCTCGTCTCCGCCGACCTGCGGGGAGAGAGAGGGGGAAGGAAAAGGGGCAGGAGAGAGGGGGGGGGAGAGCGGGGAGCTTTAGAAACTGAATCATGTTTTGACACGTCGGGATGGCAACGCATGGTGCGGAGAAGAGACAGGAGAAGGGAGGATTGCGTGACCGAGAGATGCAGGCTGGCGTTCTTTGAGAATTCAAAAAAAAAACAAACAAACAAAAATCCCTGCAGGGTCATCGGCGTGGACGAGCGACGGACGGACGGATGCGAGTCATCGAAATGGCACGTGTATGACCTGGCGAAATGTGCATCGTTTCCGACGGAGGAACGTTACCTTTGCCGGCTGACCGGGAGGTGGAAGGCCCATTGCTCTGGCCACCGGCAATTCCTGATAGAGGGTTGACATTGGGATGGGATAACTCGTTTAGGGATGAGCCACGACGACGGAGCACGACAAGCACGAGCATTTGCGCACGACTGGAACGTGGTGCGAACGGATTGAGGAATGGACGACGCATAGGAGGGAAAATTGCGTTCGTCGTGGAGAGAAGGGGCACGGAGGCATGGCAGAGGTATGCCGTGGCAGGAAGGCGTGGTAAGGTGTGGCGTGGTTGTGAAGCACACCTGGAATGACGCGGGGAGTGCTCTCTGCTGGGAGGATTGTGGCTGCTCCGCCGCTCATGGTCCCCACGCGCAGCACACCACGCGGCAACCACGCTGCGGAGTCGGTAAACGGACGAAAGAGTGACCAGCGACGAGCGAAGCGCGATGATCGCCGCACGACGAGCGCAACCGGATGGAAATACGGCAACTGGCACCTCTCAAGGCGTCAGTCTTCGGGTGGCGAGAGCGCAGGTCGTGCTATTCCCGAAACTGATCAGCCGTAGGCACCAGTGTCGCTGCCTGAACGAACGTGTAGCAGCAACTGAGAAAAAGGATCGGACGTGGTTGAGTTATTCGTAACAACCTGCTGATCGCTCCTTCAGTAATCCGCGTTACGCGATTGTATATAAATACTACAAGAATAGTCGGCTGGTCACGTTATGAAGCTGGTCAGGGAGGACTCGAGGAGGAGTCATACAGTGGTGGAAGGAAATTACAAGTCAGGGAATTGACATTGGGGGTACCGTTCCGTCAAATGGCGGGACATTGACGGAGGCAGCTATTGACGGATTGGTTGTTGGCAGGTTATTCGACGGGAAATGCTCCAAGACTAGACGGAGACAATCGATTCTGATTCCGCCTCCCGTGATTCTGTGCTGCACGGAATTCCGCCCGAGAGGAGGATGCTATTTCTGACGCGTCATGTACGGGCACGTGGTCAAATTTCACTTGCCATGACAATAATCCAGCCTGGGCACTGGTGGACCACACCAAACTGGTCAACCGCTTAGCTTCCACCCGAAGCCACAAAAGCTTCGCTAAACTTCGCTGTTGGGAGGGTTTACAGTAACTGGACACTGTAGTTAGGAATCCGTAAAGCCTCGAGAAGGGTTTCAGGGGACGAATATCCTAAACCTCTGTCAGGTACACGTGTTCTAACCTGAATCGTGGTGGAAGTGCTGCCACGTTGCATTCTGTCAGGGCGGGAAAAGGCATTTGGGACGAATCAAGTTGGGGATTTCCCGACCTCAGTGGATGTTGGTGCGCTAACTCTTTTAGAACCTCATTCGCTTTCAGTATCCCCACTACATATGACTTACTATCAATCAAGGTATGAACAAAAAAACGAGGAGTGAACATATGGTGTGTCAGACCTCCCTGTTACGAGTGCAATTGAATGAACGAGCGAGAATTGCACTATCGAAGCAAGGGTACAATGAGCAAAGGCATGAGCGAAGAATATATAGCGAAACTACAGTGGTAACGGTAATGTGTGAAAAGTGGGGTGCGCGACGGGCCTAGTGCCGAGGTTGGGAGATGTCGAGGCAGAGGTCCGGAGCGCGGGTTACCAACCGAACCGTGAGGCTGGGTCGCGTCGTGAACGGTGGCGGGAATGGTGTCGAAGCGAGTGTCGCGATTGGTAACGGATTACTGTTGGGTGCTGCTGGCGGAAACAGTGGTGTACGCGCTGAGCAGGGACGCGAAGTAAGGAAAAGGGATTTTCCTTACACTACCCCCCTCCCCAAGGAGGCCCTTCTTACGAGAGCGCGTGTACATCTCGGAAGTTTCGGCTTCGCAGATACTCAGTGAGGACAGGGTGATTCTCAATTCTATCCAGGGGGACCCAGTTGTCTTCGGTGGGCGTGCGATCCTTCCAGCGGATCAGAAATTCGATTCTGCGAGCTCCTCGTGGGTCACGTACTCGTTGGCTCAGTATTTTCTCAGGCGTGATGATTGGCTCAGTCGGTGGTCGTGTCATGCTGGCGGGGCGGTTGCGAGGCAGTTGGCTGGTGGATGGTACGTATGGGCGAAGTAAGCTGACGTGGAATGACGGACTGACGTACCAGTCAGCAGGGAGGAGGAGATGGGCGGTGACGGGTGTGATCATGTGGCTGATGCGAAATGGCCCGCAATATCGGGGGCGGAGTTTTGGGGTGATGGGCAGGCGGAGGTTTTGAGTGTCGAGTAAAACTAGGTCGTCTGGCTGGTAAGTGACAGGTCGGCGGTGGCGGTCAGCGTTGCGTTTAGCGATGATGTTTGATTTTTTTATTGCTTCTGCTGCTCGGGTCCGTGCTGCTTGCAGTATTTCTGCGAACTGTTGCGCGCGTGGGACTGGGTTGTCGGGATTCGGGGTCATGGGTACTGTGGGGTCTTGTCCGTAGTTCAGGTAAAATGGTGACTGTTGGGTCGTGGCGGATGGCGAGTTGTTGTACGCGAATTCGATTAGTGGCAGTTGTTGTTCCCACGTGGTCGGGTCGTCGCACGTGGCCCGGATGAGCTGTTCCATGGTCTGATTTGTCCGTTCTGTCTGTCCGTCGGTTTCGGGGTGGTATGATGAACTAAACTGTAGTCGCGTACCGAACTGCTGCCACAGGTTCCGCCAGAAGTTGCTGGTGAATTTCGTGTCTCTGTCGCTGATGATCGATGCTGGTATCCCGTGCAGTCGAACGACGGTAGAGATGAAGAGGCGGGCTGTTTCTTCGGCTGTGATTGATTTTTTGCAGGCTGCGAATTGTGCCATTTTCGTCATTCGATCGACGACGACCAGGATCGCGTCATTCCCACTTGCTCCGGCCGGTAACCCCGTGACGAAGTCCATCGTCACCTGCTGCCAAGCACGCTCTGGGGGTGGTATCGGCTGCAACTGTCCTGCCGGCCGTTTTCGTGATGACTTCATGATCTGGCAAGTGGGACACGATGCCACGTGTCGTTGAACGTCGGTCAACATTTCGGGCCAGTAATAATACCGCTGCAGCTGCTGCCGTGTTTTTTCTACCCCGAAATGTCCCGAGGTAACTCCGTCGTGTGCCTCCTGTAACAGTAATTCCCGTAGCAGTGTGTACCCTGGTACCCAGATGCGGTCGGTCCCGGCTTTTACGTAATAGACTCCCTTTGCCGCTGCGAACTATTGCGAATGTCCTCCTGTGAAGAATGGATCCGTTTGGTACCCGTGTGTAAATAGGCCTGTCAGTAGTGGGCTAGTCTGGGCGAGTAGTATTGCATGGATCTGGGCAGTGGGGCGGGTCAATGCGTCGGCGATGTTCGATGCCCCTTTTTTGTAGGTGACTGTGTAATGGAAGTTTGACTCGAGGAAATCGAGCCAGCGAATCTGTCGTGGGTTGAGGTGGGGCTGTGCGCGGAGATACTGTAGTGATTTATGATCTGTCCGTACTGCCACGTCTGCGCCGGTCAAGTAACAGCGCCAAACCTTGAATGCATGCACGATCGCGAGCATTTCGCGGTCGTGTATCGGGTAATTCTTCTCGGGCGGATGCAGTTTTCGTGACTCGTATGCGATGGGCTGTAAACCGTTGCCAAAATCCTGTAGCAGTACGGCTCCAATGGCGATGTCGCTTGCGTCTGTAACTACTTCGAATGGGCGGTGTGGGTCAGCGATGCGTAGTACGGGCGGTGAACAGAGAACATGTTTCAGGGCAGAGAAGGCAGCATGCTCTTTCTCCCCCCACGTAAAACTGACCCCCTTCCGCAGTAAATCCGTCAGTGGGGCAGTTAATCGTGCCATATCGGGGACGAACCGACGCACATAATTAACGAACCCTAAAAAGCTCTGCAGCTCCGTGATATTCGTCGGGGGGTGCCACGCTTTTACCGTGTCCAGTTTCTTGGGGTCGATTTCAACTCAAGCCTCCGAAATAATGTGCCCCAAAAATTCTAACCTATCCTGGAAGAACTCGCACTTGGAACCCTTGGTCAGTAATCTGTGCTCGTCTAAAACCTTAAATACTGCTTCCAGATCTGCTAAGTGCTGCTGCTTATCCCGGCTGTAAACTAGGATGTCGTCGAGGTAAACTATCACGCATTTATCTAAGAGCGGCCTAAACGCCTCGTTCATGGTCATCTGAAAAGTCGCCGGTGCGTTGGTCAGCCCGAATGGCATCACGGTGTACTCGAATGACCCATACCTAGTTCTAAATGCTGTTTTTACGCAGTCCGATGGTTCGACCCGAATCTGGTGGTAACCTCACCGTAAATCTATTTTCGAAAAAACCCGTGCTGTTCGCAGCTGGTCGATCAGTTCGTCAGCGCGGGGGATGGGGTATCGCGACTTGACTGTTACCCGGTTCAGTGCTCTGTAATCGATGCACATGCGAAATCCCCCGTCTTTTTTCGGTGTGAACAGTATCGGGGCGGCGAACGGTGACGAGCTCGGTCGGATGATTTTTTTCTCTAACAAGTAGTCTAACTGCTTCCTCAGCTCATCGAGACCGGGCTGTGTCAGTCGGAACTGTCGCTGTACGGTTGGCTGTGCCCCGGGTTCTAACTCTATGCGGTGGTCGTGTGCTCGCTGAGGTGGCAGTCCCTCCGGTAAGTCGTCGGGAAAAATCCCCGGGTACCGTTTCAATAGCTCCTGCAGTTCGGGCGGTACCGCTGTCAGCAGTTTCTGAAAATCGCTCGGCTGCTCTGCTTCTCCTACCAATGCTATATCCACTGCGTACACGTCAGCTCCAGCGGCGACAGCCCGTTTCATCGTGATAGCGTTGACGTGGACCGTTGAGGACTCGGGCGACTGCCAGCGAGGTAGCACGATCCAGTTACCGCTACTTCGCACAGTGCAGCTACCCGTCGTCCAGTCGATTCGCGGGTTATACCGTCGCAGCCAATCACGTCCTAGTAAGATGTCGTGCCCATCCAATGTCGTCGCGAGCATTTCCTGTGTAAACCCAAAATTCCCCCCGCAGCGGACCTTTACTTTCTCCACCTTCTCCCGTATGGCCAGCGGCGTTCCGTCCACTAAGCGTGCATCTATTTCCGGTAAACACCGACTAAGTGTCAGTTGCAGCTTCCGTGCGGTTGCGGTATTAACTAAGCTGTGGCTTGCTCCTCCATCTATAAAGATTTTCACTGCTGCTCCCTGTACTTTCCCGTGAATCAGTACTGGGCAATCCGTCGCTGTACCCTCCTTATTCATCCGAGCCCGATCGATAGCGTGAATCGGTACTTTGACTCGGTGAGGGTCGGTGTGGTTGGGCGAGCAGGCAGTCTCGTCAGTAGTTGGCCCGATTCCTACTGACTGCTGGCGTTTCCCTGCCTTAGAGACTCCCTCCCCTGCTCTGCTCC